CCTCAAGTCTTTAAGAGATCAAAGGTTTACTCCTTAATAAAAGTTTTTTACAAGCTATACCAAAATTTGAATGGTGCACAAGATGATTGACCTACAATTAATTATGTCAATCATCATTAAAATAATTATAAATACTCTTTCGACTTTCACAAATTAACATTTTAATTATTCAAAATTCCAATCTTTTGCACTCAAACATAACCATTAGGTTTATTAATTTTTATTAACTCTATTTAGCTTCCATTAACTTAAATAATTATTAATATAACACCCAACCATTCAAAATCACACTTTGGAGGTCTAGGGTTTGTTCAAAATGGATGACCCAAGCTTACAGCCTTGTAAAAATTTTTAAACTATTTGTAGAATACTTAAACAACTCTCATTAGTCTCATTTAGACTAATTGGTTTAGACTTATAGCCTCAAATTTAAAAATTATCTTTTTCTAACCTTGAATCTCACTTCCAAAATGTGTAGAGGGAAGAAAAAGATATAAAGAAGGCATACCTAGGTGAACACAAGCTTTAAACACCTCAAAAATGCTCAAGAGTTGATGTTTTAGTAGAGAAAACACTCTCTTGATCACCACCTATTTGTTTCAAATCTCACACTCTATTTTTCGAACTGATTTTTGTGTTTTAAAAATTGGTTTAGAAAATTATGCTGTGGCATAATTTTTTATGCTGCGGCATAACGCATTGTGACCTAAAAATCTAATTTCTCTCTACAATTTAAGCTCGGTTGACCCAATTCACTTTCAAACCCAATCAAAAAACTAAATCCAAACCCAATAGATGTCTCTAACTATCTTCAAACCCAATTATATTTAAATTTTCATAATTATCCTTCATTAAATTAATAAATCATGAAATTTTTTTTTGGAATGTTACATATTACTAGGTTAAAATGTGCATTACATATACTAGATAATAGACAGCCTAATAATGGCTAATAATTATGTAATAATATTAAATAATATCTTTTAATAATGATGATTGAGTGAGATATATAAATAATAATGATGGAATATTTAGAGAATATTTTAGATAATATAAATGATTGTAAAAGTTGACGAACCCGCTTCTTTGATTTGCCAAGATATGCAAATTCCATTTTTTAATCACAAACGCAAATAAGTTGGATGTATGTGTATTGAAAAATCTAACTAGCATGTTTGCTTATTTATGCATGGATAGTTCAAACTGAAAACGTTTACCTATGAGTAAATTGTACTTTTTCTCAAGCTATTCCTACAATTGACAGCCATAAGACCAGGGATGAATCCAAAAATGATTGTGACTATAAATGAAATTTTATCAAAAAGTGGGGAAGCTAAAATTAATTTTATCATTTTTTATAAACAAAATTTCATTTGTAATGGGGGCTACAGCCTTGCTAGCCCCCCCCCCCCCCCCGAATTCGTAACTGCATAAGACTAACCTCTCAAAAAATTTGAGTATTATCATCTGTGCCCGCACCCACTTAGCAATTATAGGTATTTTATGTGCTTGTCAAAACATGAGAACAGAACAGGCAAGTTTTTATCAGCTACTGGGTAGCAAGGGTAAGCCCATGAATTCAGTGACACACGTATTAAGACGATGATATTGGCACAGCAAGGAGATCCCCATGAAGTAGTGATATATAGGAACCTGAAAACTATGATGTGTGTTGATGGTGAACTAGTAGTTATGATGGTAGACAAACACTGGGGCCTAAATCATCAGTGAGTGTTCCGTAAAATTATGAAACAGTATCGAGAATAAATGTAAGATAAGTTAGCGGAACTTGCAAGACATCAGAAAGTTAGAATGATCATAGCTTTAAGTAAAAAAGGCAAAGAGGTAAAAGAAAGTGCACAAGTTGGAATCATACCACGTTGGAAATCCTAAAAGAGACAGTGAAGATAATAATTATGGCGATGAAGTGTGAGTGACGCTTGGCCCAGGTAATAAAAATAATGCTACTCAACAAGATTATATATGCATTGACGGGTTGAGAAAGACAGCGTGATTATGAAACATATGACCCCGGATTCCTCTGTTCTGGAGGGGTTGGGGTTTTTATACGAAGAAGCTGATGCAGCCTGAGGTCATGAGCGTAATCATGACAAAGGGCTACACAAACACAAGCCTGATTTGTTGCAACAACTTGGTCCTTTACGTATGCTAAATTCTTTTCATGGACGTCTTTGCTGCTTCTTCTTTTTTATATATAAATCTGAAACGGGGCATATATAAATTGAGGCTAGCTATCTTCTATTGGAGAAGTGGAGGAGGAAATAAAAGAAAAACCACTCCCAAGTCTAGCAACAGAAAAGTTTCATCAAATCACAGACTTACTTTGAAGTTTTATATTTCTTCATTCAAGTTGTCGAATTATTACAGGATAGTTGTTGATTATTGTCACTGCTTTATTGTCAATCAAATAACTCCACTAATAATTATACAGAAGTAATTGACAACTTTAGTAAATATGCGAGACTTTAAAATGATTTTGTAATTTTACAAGACTTTTTTGTATTTAAATTTCTTCCCTGAGATTTGAAAGTAAAATTTTCAAAATAAAATGACATGACTCATCAAGACATATAATTACTCAGTAGAATGCATGGGACCATAATCCCAGTGTGGAAGTCACCGCAAGGGAAGCATCAAGTAACGTGACAACTATACAAGATCAAGAGGATAAGTGTCCTTCTATAGGCAAATTTATTTACAAATGACATAATCTGAACATTGCCGGGTCCGTAGCTATAAGATGCCGCCAACGACGCCTCATAAGTCATTACTTGGTACTTTGGTGGGGTCGTCTAATAAATGGTGGGCATCAATTGCAGGTTTTAACGATCAACCAGATTTTTTTTGTGCCATTGGCGGTAGGTTTTAATTGGTAATATTAGATGTGTTATAATGGAATGAAAGAAATAAGTTACATTGAATATGATTTATAAAGTTTGTTATCGGCCAAATCCATGTCAACCGAGTCACAACACATCTACTGATCTGCTGCTGTTGTTGAAGATATTACAAAAGCTGATAGATTGAAAATTCAAGTGTGTATGGGCAGATAAAGGCCTAAAGCTAGTCAATAAGTAACTAATGTTATTCAGAATTTATATCGGAAAACAGAAGGATTAGTGCCTATGAATTTATAATGTTTTGTTATTGATTTTTATCCTTTTTTTCATTATTCCATATTCTTATTTTTTGTTTGTTTGTAATGTTAGTTCCTCTACTTTGAAATATACCCAAGGGATGATGATGTAACACTAGTAATATTAAATTACCTTACGTGTAACTAATATTATTTTACTGGGCATCAACTGAAAGTTATGTTTTATTCTCTTTCTGTTTACAAGACTTCAAACTCATCTCTTCACTTTTACTTTGGTTTCATTTGTTGTGCTAATTAATCTTCATTAGTTTGTATTTTGTGATTGCTTTGTCTTTTTCTTTCTCATTTTAACATTCAATTGATACTATTGGTTACATGTTAGATAACATAATACTGTTAGCTCTATATCTTCATCATTTTGGGCATATTTAAAAATAAAGGGATTAATGTAACATATTAGAATAATATAGGGATCTAATGCAGCAAAAACAAAGAAAAGGAACTAATAACAAAACATTAATAAAATTATTCTCATTTCATTCAAATTTGAAAGATTAGATGTTAAAAAATATAAAAAATTCTTAACCTTTCAAGTTGTAATAATTATCTTTTTTTTAAAGTGCCCAAATTAAATAAATAATTTTACATTTAGTTTAGGGTGAAATATCTTATTAAATAGAGATAAATATAAAAAATTTGGGGATAAAATTCAGTTAAAAATATTTCATATTTTTTAACAGAGAGAGTAAAGACCAAGAATTATATTTTTCTCGTATATATATATATATATATATATATATGTTGATGTTCAAATGTTTAGGTTATTATAATGGAGTGAAAGTGAACAAACGTATGGATTAGAATGGTCTTCGCTTCAAAACTTAGAACTTTGCAGTGTAATTTTTTTTTTTATACAATTTGCAGTGTGTTTTCTTGATGATATTATTTTGTTTTGTTTTTCTCATGCATATATGATATTAATTTGTTAAGTTTCAGCCATAGCATTTTATTTATTTATTTTTGTTGATGATATCACTTTTTATGTTTTCATGAAAAGTTGAGACTTCAGTTCCAAAAACCGAAAAAAGGGAAAGTGAAAACTAACGTGATTACAATATCCTCTCCAACGCAAGATCGTAGGGGGGGAAAAAAATAAAAGAGATTGTCGCTGTAGGCCTGAAAACAACTTTTCAGGTAAAAAACTAGAAGTTAGATTTAAATAATACACTCAGAGTCCTTAATTTATGGGAAAGTTAACTAATTTTATACTTGTTAAAAAAATATTAACTAAAACTTCTAAATCATAAAAAATATAATTTTTTTAATTTCACCTTGCTTTCAAATTAATAGTCAAAACAAATTGGCAAGAGCCTTGCAGCTCAATTGCACCTCACCCTCCCCTTGAAGGGGAATGTTGTGGGATTAAACTCTCAAATGATATATATCTGAGTCAAGGAATAGGTTAGGATAAAAAAAATTGTCAAAAAAAATTATTATTTAGCAATTGAAAGGATAATAAATAAATTAATTATTTTAACTTTATTTTACGCTATTTTTTATTTGCGTCTGAACCTTATCTTATTTTAAGGCAATTTCCCTCACCCCGCAAAATATTTTGCCTCATGTCAATAACACGAGGAGGGAGTCCAAGAGTTTTTCGTAAGAGTTGGGTCCGTTAACTCAATTACGTGAATATAATTATTTTCGTCGAATTTGGATTCGAACTATTTTGGATGTTTCAGATCGCAATTGGATTTGGAACTTCCATTTCAACGATAAATGGGCCGTAGTCTAATCCAAATCCGATGTCCTAATGTAAAACCAAAAAAAAAAAAGGTGGTGCATGGCCTTGAAAAGTTTAATAGGTCTAAACGAGATTTCAGGTCGAGCAATGAAGTGGCCGGAGATCCTGCCAAAGCAATATGGGACCGTTAGAACAGTTAGCTATAGAACAAAGGTATGGAGCTTCGACTTCGCACCTTAAAATTAGCGATATCTGATGCTGCTATCTTTCTCCTGCGTCGGCTTTCATTGACAGGGATACACTCATATACATCGCAATGTTTCTCTAAAACTTGTATGAGAGCCTCTGCCCTTTTTTGCACCTGCATTTTCTTACTCTTTGTGAGATTTACTTCTAAAATTTTGAAGGTTTCATCCATTTCTAGGACGAAGCGAGTGATGTGTTAAATCTCAAAAGCAATGGCAGTAAGTTTTTTAATTTTTTTTCCATTACCAGTAATTTTGTTTGTTGAGAAATTGAGTACTGCATTGGTTTTGATTGTTTTCACCTTTTATAATGACATATATGATTTGATTTAACCAGATCTCAGTTACGTTTAACTATGAGAAAATTTATCTTATAATAAACTGGATCTGGAAAATGCACGCGATCAATAAATTTCAACTTTTCCAAAGCTATAATTAGAGACACACTCTAAGACTGTTTGAACATAATTCACAAATGGGTAAAAAAAGTCAACCGCATTTGACACATATATGATCTAATTCTGATCCTTGAGCATAAGGCGCACCGTGAAATCTTTCAATTTTTCAGCTGAATGGATCTTCAATTGTGAAATCTGTCTTATCTCTCACACAGAACCGGGAAAGTTGCCAAGTGGAAGGTGTAAAACAATTTCCATAGATATGAGAGGGCATGTAACGATGTTTCCCACATCAACTTCAAAGGCTTGACTATATGGAATAATATTAGGAAGAAGTGCTACCATCCTTAACGAACCACTTGGGAATTTTTATCACAATCTGTGGCTGCAATTTGCAGGAGCTCTCAAGCTTGGAAGGCCCTACAACAGAGGTGGACCTTGGACCTAAGAAGATTGAGGAAGAGAAAGAAGGTGGTCCCGCGTTCCATTGTGATCTTTATGATACAGAAATAGTTCACAAGGTGGCTGAGGCACTCCTTCCTGGGTTAGCCACGGCATGTGTTGATAACACAGCAGGAGGTCTCTTCATCACTCCTGGTTCAGTTGCTGCAGATTTGAGAAAGGAAATGATAGAGTACCTTACCATGAGGAGCGAGTCCTTTGTTGCAGAGCTGGTTGTGTTAGAAGGAGGGCCAGATAATGAACTTCTGGATAACCCTTTTGAGATCATTTCAGTTTTTGTGGATGACTTTGCAATTGAAAAGAGGAATCTTTTCAGTCGCTTTTCTGGTTGGCTGCTAAGTGAAAGAAGGGAAGACAGAATAGATGATATCGTTCAGGAGATGGAAATGAATGGGTTTTGGACACTAGAGCGAAGACAAGCAATTGCTGGAGCTTTAGTTAAGAATGTTGACTTCAAGAACTTGTTTCATTGCGACATGAAGTTCACCTCCTTGGAAGAACTTTCCAACCACGCTCATAATTGCGGCTTTAGGCCTATCATCTGTCATAACCAAGGGTGTGAGGCTAGATTCTGTGCAAGTCATTTGGAAAAGCATGATTCAGAATGTCCTTCCAAGATAATTCCTTGTGAACAGAAGTGCCCAGACCTCATTATGAGACGTGAGATGGACAGACACTGCATAACTAAATGTCCCATGAAGCTTGTGAACTGTCCTTTCTATGCTGTGGGTTGTCGGACCCCTATTGCACAATGTTTGGTTGATAAACATCGTTCTGATGAGCTTCATTTTCATGTCCTCTGCGTTCTGAAAGGCATCTACAAAGAAGCATCTGAAAAAGATCTTAAATCACGAGTGGATCAACTTGTGCAGGTAAGTGTCTGTTTAGTGGTTATGGCTAGTGTTTGATATACTTTGAAACCTTTGGTAACGAAATTTAGTTAGCTTTGAAGGTGATCATTAGAAAATGCTTTTTAGGCAGAGAAAAATGGCATTACTGAGAGTAGGAAAGAATGAATTTGACATCCTCATGCAGTTAATATGATTAAATTGAGGGTTCAGATACTCATATAAAGATACGAATTTGTAAGTTCTCAATATTACTTTCTTTCGAAAACTGTATTTCGCCATATTATTTGAAGATAGGGATTTGCCAATATCTTTCTCATCTTTTATATTCAGATTTTTAATCTCTTGTTATAGGAATCATCAAACAGCAGATTAGCAGAAGCTCGAGATGTGAGATTTTTTACTGCTGTTGTCAAGGATCTTGATTCAAAGCTAGAGCCTCTGGTGATCACTGTGAAGACAGAAAATGACGCGGAGAATTATGCGGAGAATGGAGATAGTAGCATAAAAGAAAAGGACAGTCAACAAAGCATGCAGACATCAAATGAGGAAAGTCCATTGGATAAAACTGAAGTCACTGTGGAGGCAAAAGGTGATGCCGTGAAGGAAGATAGTAATGTCAAGGAAAGTAATAATGCAGAAAATGGAGACAGTAGCCTAAAAGAAAATGACAGTCAACAAAGCATACAGACATCAAGTAAGGAAAATTCGTCGGATAAAACTGAAGGCAATGTGGAGGCAAAAAATGATGCCGTGAATGAAGATAGTAATATCAAAGAAAAGGACACTGAAAAGAATACACAGACGCCAATTGAGGAAAACTCATCAAATGAAGTTGAAATCACTGTTGAGATGGAAAATGCTGCAGAAAATGACAAAAAGAACGAAGATAGCTACACAAAGGAAAAGGACGATGAGCAGAGTACACAGATGTCGAGTATGAAAAATTCATCCGATAAAGTAGAAGTCCGTGCCTTCATAAATCAGGACAGTGTTGAGGATAGGACCAATAAGGAAGATAATGGCAACAATAAGGGCAACGCAAAAAGCATAGAGACTTCAAAGGGAGCAAATTCGTTAAAGGAAGCAGAAGTCAACGACTTGAATACTGCACATGTCGACAATAAGAGCAAGAATGCTGCAGATGGTAGTTTAAAACCCGAGGGCAATGAAGAGAGCACAAAAGCCAAATGAAAAGTGCATAAACAAAAAGTTGAAGTCACTACTGCACATGAAGATGCTGTTGTGAGAAACATCAAGGACGCAGATGCTAAAGATTAAAAGAATCAAGACGAGGATACGTTAGAAGATAAGGGTAGTGGCATAGGCCGATAATACTGAAAAGAACAAATGTTGGAGACGATACATTAGAAGACAAGGGTAGTGAAGGATGCATTTAGGTATCCACAGTGGAAATTAAAATTTATCAGATCCAGCTGAGGTCAGTGCATTGAAAGAGGATGATGATACGGAAAAGCAAAGGCCAGTGAAAAAAAAGAGAGATAGTTCTGGTGCGCCAAACTCATTAGATAAAAAGCTGAAGGCAAAATTTGAGAGCTTGTCTAATGAACTCTTACTAAATCTTTACTTGCTAAAGAGGTGTCTCACTTTGCAAGTAACCTATATACATTCCGATTACTCTAATTTAGCACGCTTTACCATCATTCATACATACATACATACATACATACATACAGATATTCCCTTTATGTTAACTAGCCTTTTCCATCGGATTTGTTCTCTAATTCCCAAAAGTTTTAGAGTGACGTTGGGCATTTTCATCATTGGCTACTTTGCATACCGCATCTTTTTTTTTTTTGGATGAATTAATCTTAATACTGACGTGCTAACAGACAGAGTGTTGCTGTGTTACAAATAACTCCATTTTGTTCTTGGGAATTTGTGTATGAAACCTAAGTGGCAGCTAAGTAGGAATCTTGCTGTGGGCTGTAGCATACCTTTTCTATGGCTATGTTTTGCTTTTGACGGATTAAAATCCATTGACAAAGCACCGCCAATTTAGTGAAGCTGACCAAAATCATAGCATTGGATTGGATATTACAAGAAATACTTTCAATATCAAAGTAAAACTCAAGTTTGATGAAAAATGCCACCATTCGATGCCATGTAAATACTTGTTGCATCGAAGCTCTGCTAAAGATTCCATACGTTAGCAAATGCAAAATTTGTGCTAGCGATTTCATAAAAACTGAAGAAAGATAGAGAATGATTCATATATTTTAAAATAAGAAATCTTCGCATATTTATAAAAAGAATTTATATTATTGACAAGTTATTAACAATATAACCTATCTCAACATTAATTTGTGCAGAGAGTAACGCACCTAATTCCTCTATAAGACAGTAACTTGTTTTTGGATAAAGTCAGGAATAAGGATTAGATTTAGATGCTCTATTTAAATAAGGATTTAAGCTTTTAAAATTATTTTTTTTAAAATAACCAAGCTTAAGGAAATAAATCCTGTAAAAAAAGGTTTAGACTTGGACAGCCCTTCAAGCCCTGTTATTTTATTATTATTTTTTTAAAATTTTTATTGCATTTGATTGGTTTGAAGAAGAGACTCTATTGCTAAACATCAAATTTTTAATCACTCAACTTTTTGAACCCTGTGATCACCTCTTACTTCTCCTTACTCATATCTCCCTCACTACCTCATGCCCTTAGCCATAGCCATTCAACCACTCAATCTCATGCCTCTTGTTCCTCGTCTCTCTCTCACCATCTTGCATCTCGTCTCTCTAACGAACTAGATTCTACTCTCCTTCTCACCTCTCGCATTTAGTTTTTGCATTCACACAAAGTCACTATATTATCTCCTTCTCAATCATTGTATTTTGACTTGTTTATTAGAGGGACCAATTTAATAGTGATCTCTTGATAGTGCTATTATCATTTTAAGTTTGTTCAATTGATATTTTTGAGGTGTGGTGAATTTTGATCTTAAGATTAATTATGAGAATTTAGATTTATAAATCTTCATCTTAAATTCAAACTTTTAAATTTTTATTGAATTTTATGTGAGATTTTAATTTATTTTATGTTAAATTTAGACTTTTAAATTTTTGTTAAACTCAAATGTTAGATTTTATTTTTTAAAAAAGAGAACTTACGGGTATAGCTCTAAACCTTGCATTTAAGGGTTGGGTTTTAGAATTAGGTTGAATTTTGGGCAATTGAAACCATTAAGGGTCCAATGAACCGGCTGCAACTTGCTCAAACATCCAACAAAACCAATCCGTTGCCGACATACAGGGGTCCAATGAGCCCATATCTTCATCAAATATAAGGCCCACTAGTAACCTCGGGACTGAATTGCAATGACAAGATAAGGTGGCAAAAAAAGTTATAAAAAAAACTTAAAAAAAAAAAGAAGGTCAATTTACCCGACAAAACAAATAAAACGCAACAAAATGAAGAAATGAGGAAACGATTAAAAGAAAACTTGAATTTAATTAAATGAAATTTACCTAACTTTCAACGAAACAAAATTGTTTTACCTAGCTAGTTTTAACTTCACGCACTTCCATGTAGATTCATAATTTTTACCTGCATTTATATTAACAAAACGGATTAGCAAACTAACAAACATATTAACACTAACAAATAATAAAGTAGGTATTTATCTAGCTATTATACCTTTATATATAACGCGTTGATATTGATTTTTTACCTGCATATTGATATTGATAAGAGCTATATAAAAACAATCAAGTATGTATAATTATTACTCCTTCGATTTCATAATGTCAATACTTTCATAACATTTATATTTTTTTTCTCATTACTCCTTAATTATATGAATAATCTAAAACTATTTTGATGCATTAAATTATGAGTAAAATTGACAATGTGATCAATATTTCTTAATACGTGATCATTATATCCTTTTTTTAATGCATTAACTTGACAATGTGATCAATATTTTAATAAAATAATTATATTTCTTAATATGAGTGCAAAAATTTTGAAAGACGTGTTTTGAAACGGGAAGAGTAACTCTTAACAACTTGTTTTCAATTAATTATTAATTATTTTTGTTTATCTGTAATTACAATTTTTTTTTTTTTTTGGGTAAGTTTACATTGTAAAGGGAAAACGTTTTTTCGTTCAATATGACATTCACCTCCTAAGAATAGTAGAGGGCCAACGTGTTGGGCATCGGACACTGCACTCTACAAAAGCTTGAAGGGAGCCACCCTGTAATTAACCTTCAGAGCCTCTGAAGATAAGAGGCCGATCAATCTCTTCATCTTCCTCATTGTTCGCTCTCTCTCTCTCTCATTTCTTCTGCTTCTCTTCGTTTTCTCTCTCTCTATACTTTTTGTTGGCTCTTCCTGCCACTGCCCAACCTCGCTTTGAAGCCTTTCTTCTTGTCCGGTGTCACAATCACAGGATAAGGTAGGCTCGTCAATCGCAAACCCTTCCTCTTGTTCATTCCTCTACTATAAAAACTCAATGTTTGTTTCCAGATCATTAATTTTTGAGCCATGCTAAAATTTCAGGAATATGTTAAAATGATTTGAGGTTAAAATTTGAAATGTATGTATAAAAAATTATAACTGATTCAAGGAGACGTTCTCAGAGGAATAAATCAAATAATTACTCCGATCATGGCATTGTCTCGTGACCCTGCTTCTCTCGAAATGCTTAAAACATGCGCGCGCGCGTAATTCTTTTAGATTTGATCGTTTACTTGCTTCCAGTGCATAATTGGATTTTATAGAATCTATTACGATGCTGGTTTTAGCTTTCCTATCTGCCTGAAATAACCGAGAAGTTTCTGTATGAGTTTTTGAAATCAAGTTTTACGTAATAAAGGCAATGGTAATCAAACCTAGTTTCCTTTCAGTGCATTGACTGAAATGTAAGTTTCCTACAATCTCTATTAGCAATCAGCACGCTTTCTTCTCTATATTTTAAAATCAGCTGAAATGATTAAAAGTGTGTCTAAGAAAATAACAACACTGCTTGAACTTCAGAAAAATAACTTCATTGTGCTTCAGTGATTGCTCCATTAGTGAGTTCGAGACGTCAAAATCCATATTTTTGAGACGGAAGAATCTTACAAGTGCTCCATACCTTTTCAATAATCTTCTTTAACCACATCTTTCATGCACATGCACTTTACATTTTGTCTGGCATTGTCTGAAAGCAAAGTTTTTTTATTAAACTGAGTTTTATCTATGGAGCAATTTGCTTCCTTTTTCGCAAACCATCAGTAATTTACCTGGATGTCTGGCACATCCTTTTGTTGGTGAAGATTCCATCTAATAATAGCCATAGTGCCAAAGTTTGATGCGTGTTCCGACCTTTTTGTTTTTCTTTTTTTATAAGCATACATTTTGTTTATAAAACTTGTTAATTTGGGGAATTAGACTTTTTCCGGACCATTTTCTGATATAAATGGTTAATAGTCCCTCCTTGGAAGCTATTCTCTGAAAATAAAATTTTTGGGCAGGGAGATATCAATAAGAGTCAAAGGCAGTGTCTCAGTAACAGTCACTGAGAAATCAAATCGTTAGAAGATGATACTTGAAAGCGCTCTTAACTTAAAGGGGCGGGAGTTAAAGGCTGTTTTTTCTTTCAATAGTCCCAGAGGAGATGTGGAGAATGACATCTCATGTAAATAAATAAGCATAAAGAATGAAGAAAAATTTGATAATCTGTCAATATCAACTAATCACTTCTCCGACAGCATGCTCCACTCACCTTTGCCACAGACTCCCTATGCTACGCCAAGAGACGAAGCAGCAACCAAATTGCAGAAAGTTTACAAAAGTTTCCGAACTAGGAGGCGGCTAGCAGATTGTGCAGTTCTTGCAGAGCAGAGATGGTTAGTATTTATCATTTGCCTTCTCAAATAGACATACTTTAGCTTTATTAGTCTCCTTTCAAGGTAAAACCGAAAAAAAAAAGCCCTATTATTCTCCTTGATCTGAGCGCATTGTTTAAGAATTTTATTTATAATGGTGGGGGTAGAATCTCATATTTAAGAAATCATTAGCCTTTTACATTTTCAGACTTTAGAGTTTTTACTTAGAACGATATCGAAGGAGTGTAGTTAACCGTCAAATTTTAAGATTAAAAAATTGTAAAAAAAAAATCATATTCCTATATCCCTCATTCTCTGTAAAAATTTGTTTTAAATTCAAATAAAACCCTTACAGGTGGAAGGTGTTGGATTTTGCTGAGCTAAGGCGGAGTTCAGTATCTTTTTTTGACATCGATAAGCCAGAGACTGCTCATTCCCGTTGGTCAAGGGCAAGAACGAGAGCTGCCAAAGTAACTTTTGAATCATAACGTTGACGTGTCCTATTGTCATTTACGTTTTATGAGCTGCTGAGGTTCTCTTTTTATTATTTGGCAGGTCGGAAAGGGGTTATCAAAGGACGGGAAGGCCCGTAAACTTGCTTTACAGCACTGGCTAGAAGCAGTGAGTCTCGCAGCTAAAGCAGTGCAAAATAATTAAAATGTTAGTTTTTCTGACTACTTGCTACTCTTTCAATGTCAGATTGATCCTCGGCATCGTTATGGCCATAATCTTCAATTTTACTATGCCAGATGGCTCCGTTGTGGCAGTGGTCAACCTTTCTTCTATTGGTAAGCATACACTGGTCCCGAAAGCAGGGGAAACAATCATACTAAATGATTGATGTAAATTAATTAAACTTCAAAATGCAGGCTTGATATTGGAGAAGGCAAGGAAATCAATCACGAAAGGTGCCCAAGATCAAAGCTTCAACTGCAATGCATCAGATATCTGGGTCCAGTAAGTTTTCTTGTCCTTTGACATCTCATTAAATGTTTCATTGAGAATATCAATCTCGTCTAACCCCAGCCAGAGATGGAGAGGAATTGGTCATACACTATTTCGTAAGAAGGCCAGAGTTAAAGTAAAATCCCATAACTTGTGGGTAGCTCAGTTGTCAAGCAACATGGTAACACAAAATTTTATATTTTTTGTTGTTAAGGTGGAAAGAAAAGCTTATGAAGTCGTGATAGAGAATGGGCGACTCTTCTACAAGCAGAGTGGGAAACTTGTTGAAACTACAGGAGATGCTAAGTGGATTTTTGTGCTCGGCACATCCAAAACTTTATATGTTGGACAGAAGATTAAGGGCAAATTTCAACATTCAAGTTTCCTGGCAGGGGGAGCCACTTCGTCTGCCGGAAGATTGGTGGTGGAAGGTGGTGTCATTAAAGTACGAATAGGAAAAAACATAAGATTTCTGGAATAGACTATTAGACTGATTTCCCTGCATTCCTTTCCTATTTAACTCTGTTCGTTATGCTGACATTAATATTTCTTCACTCCGAAGGCTGTTTGGGCTCACAGTGGTCATTATCTTCCGACAGAAGAAAATTTTCAGGCATTCTTGTCATTCCTCAAAGAACACGGCGTGGATCTTACAGATGTAGAGGTAAAAGAAACGAGATCTTGTTTCCGTATAAGATATCCTCTGCCAAAACGGAGATGGCTGCTGGCCATGCTATTCTGCTTAGGAACTTGACTAGAGCCTTCGTCAGATGTAAAGAAAAAGACATTTCAATACAAAACAGGAGAACAATTGAAGGCAAGTTCCTCACTTCCTTTTTTATGTTAAATCCAGGAAAACCCTATAGATGACGCAGGAGAAATGACCCGGGAGGAAAAGGATCTCATCTCCCGAGGCAATTCTTCATTGGCAGAGTTGCCTCACGACAATGATCCCGGAAGTTCTGGCACTGCAGCTAAGGTGATATCTGACTTGAGAAATGAGGATTATAATGCCATGTGCAATTCCCATCCGCCCTTGTCAAGATTGTCTGGAGGAGTCAGGTCAAAATTATCCACACTCGAAATAACAAGACGAGACAATGTATCAGACATATTTGGGAGGCAACAATCATATCCGTCAAGTGTTTGTTTTTTGGCTCCAGATTCCTTATCAGCTGGTTATGAGACAGCAGAAGATGAGACGGCAGAAGAATCATACATTGATGAGTCAGAATTCACGGTTTCTAAATCGAACTTGTTTGTTGAAGATCAAGGGGAAGGTGATAAGGATCCTATTCCGAGAGACAAAATAATCAAGAGGATAGATTTACACAAATCCATGATGTCATATCAGTTGGCCCATCAATTATCTACCAAATGGACAACAGGTGCTGGCCCGAGGATTGGTTGCATGAGAGACTACCCTTCAGAACTACAATTTCGAATTCTGGAACATCAAAACTTGTCTCCAAGGACTAGATCTCTTTCTCCATTTCCATCTCCCAGGGTCCCTTCAATCTCACGTTTCGCCCAAAAACCATAGCTTTATTCACCCTAGCCGATCATTTTCTTCAGGTAGGGGCAGTGTTTTGTACAGCAAGCCAATCAACTGGCAGTATACAGTGAAGGTCAAACTGAGTGATCCTGCGCTTCTCTTGGAGTCCAGAAAACCAAACTGACGTTCGTCCACACTCCGCAATGCTTCCGATGGCTGTTCTCCTACCCAAAAAGTTTTCGTAGGTCGAGTAGCGGGTACAAGAACCAGAAGAATTTTGCAAGCTCTGATTCCAAATGGAAAAAGAAAAAGAAGGCATCGTCGAAATCAATGAACTAGCAAGATAGTTGTGCCAAAACTTTCTAAGAGGGTGGTTAAGCCCTTTTGATCCATCCTTGAAATAACGCACTCCTGTGAGGATAACTAGGTGGAAATTAGAAGCGCAAAAGACTCCTATACGGTAGCCGAATGTGAAATGTGTCGGCTATAGTGACAACTGATGTCCTCTTTAGATGATCGATTGGTCACTGAAGGTGTTCAGTATACCAGGTTAAGGAACGCGTATTATGACCATTTGTAAAGATCTATAGGATGAATTACTGATATGTCCAATCAGTATATTTGGGCATGCATCAACATAAATTTTAAGCTTAGGGCAGAGTTCCTATGGCATTACGTCTTATTACAAGATGTTGTAGTGAATCATAACTACCAAAAGGCTAAAAAAAAAAAAAACATTTACTTGATACAACAACAAAATATTATCTAACAATGCCAGCATACTTATCTCCCGACACCAAATGTACAGCATTCGTTAGATGAACGGAAATAAGGCATATTCAGCATAAAAAAGATTCCATATAAATCGATAGAACCCTGAAATTCCTTCCTGCAGAAAACAATTCATGATGTTACAAAAGATGGAGAGAAAGATCCAGATTTTGAAAGTTTTACCACTTCATTCTAAGTGTATTGGACTAACATGATGAATGTATTGGAAAAACGACTACAATTATTTTCAAGGCAAACGGCGAGAACTGTTACCTTGGTATAATTAGCTTGTTCTAATACCCAAGTCTGAAATATAAGAAGAAGAAAAATCTGTTATGACAATTAAGTAATTTCATATTTTGTGTGCGCCTGAGTTTCATAGGGAAAAAAGAGTATAATAAAACACCAGACAATAAGCTTTCACAGACATTTAGGTTCCGATTAGCATACATTAGTAAGAACTACCAAAAGTGAATGCATTCTAATCAATGTCATTTTCACGAAAATTTCAACCACAGCAGGTTCTAGTGATATCACCAAGGACTTGAAGTCCATATAGCACTAAAATATATTGCATGCCAACTTCCAGTATTGCAAACTTAAAAGCAAGTTGCTTTCTACTGAAGGATATAATGGAGGGAAAAGAATTCGGGAATCTCTTCCTTCTTTTTCTTGTTTGTTTATGTCCATCTCTTCTAAAACATTCGGTCAGTAGTTAATCAACGATTATCCACAAAGGACCAAAATAAAGGTCAAAAGTTTTGGCAGCATGGACAGGAAAAACTAAATGTGTCCTTACAAAGAACTACAAACTTGAAAAGTAAAATGTAGGTCCCCTGGAACTTTCCTCCATTTAGTTGAAAGGTTTTGAGTTCAGGAAGGGGTATAAAAGGTGCTGGAGTTGAGCTCCTTTAATTGTATAACGGTTCATTTGGTTTGAGTGTAATGCGGGATTCAGCTCAGGGGATTTCAAAAGGGTTTACATATCAAACACGCAAAGGGATTGAAGTAATATCTTAAGCCAATGCTTCTGTTTTCTTTTTTGTCAAATTATCATTGTTCTAGGAGGATTCCTCATCCTCTTGTGATATCATTCCTCTTCTCTGTCAAGTCTTAACAAGTCTTCTTTCGTTAAGGTTATGTTACAGGAAAATGACATCCTTTAAGAGATTTTTTTCTTCCTAAACTCAATTCTACAACAAAATTTTCTGCTGTTTGTTATAATAAAAGTTTTTCCTCAATTTTTTTTTTTTTTTTGGTTGGGTTGCATGAAAACAAAAGGGTGGGAAATGGTAGATGGTGGCCAAGCAAATGGTTACACAACACAAGGGGGCATGTCTTCATGTATATATGTATGCATAAGCCTGCAACATGCATATAGGCATGTAGGCATGTTGTGTCTGCTTGCATATGCACATGCATGTAGGCATGTTGATAAGATCCCGGATAAAATTCAGATTTATTCAAGAAGAAAGCAACAAAAGATAAATTAGAATTGATTTCATTTTTATTTGATTTAGTATTGTATTTAGTTTTAGATATTTCTTCAGATTTTAGTTAGTTATAAGATTCTTTAAATTTTATTTAGATTCAGTATTTTATCTATTTAGATTTACAAGAGTTTATTTAGTGATCTTGTTATCTAGATTTTATTTATTATTTTAAATAGTATTTAGCATTATAAATATGACTGGCAATTCAAAAGCTAGGATATCAGAAAATTAATAAAACAGTCTTTCAAACCCTTTGGAGATTCTCCTAAGCATGGCTATTAAGTGAAGTATAGAGTGAAATTCTTACTCTATATCATCTTGATAGATTTATTCTCATCATTTCCTTATATTATTTTGAGCACCTAACAATTTGGCATCAAAGCCATAGTTACCACTCGTACTAGCCAAGATACCCACCCATCTGACAACACATCCAATAATGACCTAGAAAATCCCAACACACTCGCATCAAATCATTCAGCCACAATTGCTCAGAAACTTGAAACTCTTGATTTATTAAAAGAGAAGGCAGAGGCACGTGAAGCATTTACCATCAATAAAGACAAGAAGTCTAAAGATACGCATTGCAAGCACTATTATGAAGAAGAAGAAGAAGAAAGTGACAATGACCAAGAGAATTACAAATGCAAGAGATTTCCTTACACAAAAATTGACTTCCCAAAATTCAACGAAAGAGACCCACGAGGTTGGGTATTAAAAAAAAAATAGATACTATAACACCTGAAGAGCAAAAGGTGGATACTGCATCTATGTCTTTAGAAGGAGAGGCGTTAGATTTATTCGCTTGGGTTAATAATGAGCGAGCCATTCTGTACTGGGAAGAGCTTGTTAAATCGCTACAAGAGAACTTTGGGCCACCAAAATACCAAAACCCAGATGGATATTTGTGTGGCATCAAACAAACAGGGACGATGCAGGAATATCAGGCCGAAATATCTTTAAATGCTATTTTGGGAAGTAATAATGGGTCTGCGATGAAGTTAAAAGGGACATTAGAGAGACATGAGGTCCTTTTATTAGTGGATAGTGGATCCGCTCACAATTTTATTTCATATTCATTAGTGCAAGAAATTCATCTGCCAACCCAGTCCATGTCCTCTTTTGGGGTCCAAATTGGTGATAGTAGCATAGTTCGCTGCAACCATATATGTAAAGGGGTTGAAGTCCAACTTACTGGGATAACCATCAAGGAAGATTTTTTTTCCCCTTTACACTTGAAGGGGCTGATCTAGTTCTAGGTATTAAATGGTTAACATCACTCAATACGATGCAGGCTAATTGGAATAAACTCTTTATGATTTTTTCGGTAAACGGTAAAAGGTATAAGCTACAAAGAGTCCCCAATCCTACTAGAGGTGCCCAATTTAATTCAATGCAAGCTTTCGCTGACTCCAAACCTTTTCAATAATTCAACTTGAAACCTCTATTTACAGCATTCCCATATGTTTTTGAAGAACCCACACACTTGCCACCATTTAGAAATCACTCACATACCATTCCCTTACTACCAGGTAGGGGTGTTCATTTTACCCGCCCAATCCGTTGGTAAATGGGTCAACCCACACCCAACATCAAAGGAAGTTAAACAGGTACGGGCGGGTATATACTCGTATGTGAATAAATGGGCGGCTAATGGGTACAGCCTCGGGTGGTCCATACCTGCCCGTTTATATTTATTATTTAAAAAAAAGATAAGTGGAGATGGGCTATCAGTCACGCGGTCTGTAAGGCAAAAAAAAAAAAAAGACCCAACTCTCAACTCTCAAGCCCAAACCAAAAGTGTTTGGGGTCCCTCATCCGTGCTCTCAATCTCAACTCTCAAGTCTCAAACATTGTTAGACGCCAAACCCCTGACCTACAGACCAGTGTATGCATTGTGCTTGTGTGCCCTAGCCTTTCGTGACTCGTGATTGTAACATCCCAATTTAAATTTTAATAATTAATTTTGGTTAATAGAAATTTTGAAAAATATTTAGAGGTAAGCAAATTAGTAGAAAATAATTATTAAATCTAACTTAGGATATAATTCTAAATTAAATTTTTTTTAAAAAAAATTATTATTAATTAATTAATTAATTAAAAATATTATTAAATTATTATTATTAAAAAAACAGAGAAAAGGTGTGAATAAAAAAAAAAGGGAAGAAGAAGAAGAAGAATGAGTTTGCTTTCGGCGCCGCGTGCTGCAATCATTACGTATATATAATAATAATAATAAAAAAAGGGAGAGAGAGGAAAGAAGAAATAATTAAAAAAATGTGGGACCCACTGAATTTTTATAAAAACTCACCCGTTTCCTTTCGTTTCTTTAATTCTTTTCCTATGCGCGAGCTGAGGCGGAGAGAACGCGAGTCGCAGGTGCGAAATATCTAAATTTTCAAGGTAAGAGTTTTTAATAGGATATTTAGGGTGTAATTTTAAGCTTTTCAAGACTAAGTAAGTGTTCTAAAAATTTTTCTTAGTCATCCTTCTTCTTTGGTTTCTGAGTTTGTAGTGGTAGAAAATTTAAAATCTTGAAGAGGGATGAATTTATGTTGAATAAATATGGTTTTTGAGGTAGTCAGTAGTATAATAAATGTTCTCGAGTATAAATTTGTTGATGATCTTTGAATTTGTGGCTTATGGATCAAATTCTAAACTAGATCTGAAAATATATGTTGATTTATTGAGGTTTAGATGATTATTTGGGATGAGAAATGAATTATTATGGCTATAGGATTATGATTCTAAGCTAGAGACTCAATTTTTAATTTTTGAATATTTTAGGTACGAATTTATGAAATAAAAAGAAAATTTTGATAATAAAAATTAGTTTAGAAGTTGATTTTTAGATTATTAATGTTTATTGATAATTAAAAGAAGAGTTAAAAATTTTACTTAATAGTATTAACTCTAGATTTGTATTAAGATTGAGATTAGGAATTATGTTATATTTTTAATTCTATTATTAGAATTATTTTATTAGTTTCAAAAATTGAAACTAATATTTATAAATAATATGTTATTTGTAGATTGTATTACTGGTGAAGATTGTGGTGAGAGAGAAATTTTAAGGAATAATTTATTGAAAAAGCCACAAGGTAACCATGCTTTTAATTTGTGATTAGTGTTACTTCATGTTAATTGGGTGATTATTGAGAAAATTATGAATTTTGTAATATTGTATAATTGTGCAATATTATTATGAATTTGTTTAATTATTGTGGGAGGTGTTGGGAGACTTGCTATTATTGTTGTATTTATGTGCCACATGGTACGCCCCTATTGGAGCTCAATAGGTAGCTTGTAAGGGCTCGGGCTAATCTACCTTTGGCCAGGTAATTTAGCACCGAGTGAGGGCTACTGCTCGAGGTTAATAGAGGGATATAAGGATGGTTGTTTGTGTGTATTGTAATATTTTTTATATTTGTTGGAATTATATTATTTTTAATTCTCACTTAGTAAGCACACACTTAACTGTTTGTATACACTATCATAAATTAGCTTTGGTTACTGGGACTTTTGAGTCTCATTATGTGGTTAACAATTTTCAGGAGAAGAGCCACGAGTGACACGTGAAGGAGTCCCAGAGACTTAGTGGTATAGATCCACTGTCTCTTTTGGGTATTTAATTTATGATTTATAATGTGTTATATTGTCAATATTAGGGCTTTTTGTTTATTGTCAATTATATGAATATATAAATGTAATCATGCCTTTCAAACTATTTTTATTTTTGGTACAATTTGAATTACTGTAATTTTAATATTTGGTTTACTTTAAATTGGTTAAAATGGCATGATTATAAGGCCAAATAACTGGCTTGTGTTGAAAATTGACTAAATTGCTTATTTTACTTGTTGGGAGTATAAGGATGGACAAATGTGATTTAGTTTACTTGTTGGGAGTATAAGGATGGACAAATGTGATTTAGCCTAATGGCATGTGGGAGGTAAAAACTTATCTGAAATGTTATAGTGTGTGAGTTGAAGCCAATTATAAAATATTTTATATTGAAATTATTGATATAAAAATGTGTTGGGTGGCTATAACCCAACTATGGTTGAGTTAAATTATTTTTTTAAAAAAATTTTGGTGTGTTACAGTGATCATGAGCGGCAAAGCTGCAGCTGCCTAAGTATTGAGCTGCGACTGCCTGAGCTCTTTCATCTTTGCCCTTCACCAATCACCACTGTTGCCTTCGAGGCTTCGACCTTCACTCACTCTGTTCACGCTCACTGTTCACTCAGTGCGTGACTAGACCATTCCCCTATTCGGCCATCACCAAGTCAACTTCAGCTTCAGCTTGAGATTCTATCACCTCTGTCATTGATCTCATTTGTAGCAGTCGCACCACGCAACCACGCACTATTGCACTTACAAGTTGCATCTAGTTGAACAGCTCCTTACACCATCACATGCACCAGCTAGTTAGCTACCTTCTTCTCATCCCAGAATCTAAGGTTATTGCTCTTGCTTACTCCCTCCACAATTTTCTGTATAATCCTGTTCTTGTCTTTTATCAATTTTTTGTAGAGTCTAAAAGCATTTTGTAATTAATGACTTTGGCTAATGATGAAGTAATTAATGTTTAGTGACGATGAATTCTTTGAATGCTACTATGTATCAATTGTCTTTGGTTTACATGTTGAGTTGCTATGTGGTCTACATGTTGAGTTGCTGTGAAATAAACAACATTTTGCATTTGTCTATAACTGTTGGAGAATTTAAATGTAATTCTTGTTTATATTTAAGTATTTCACCATAATGCATATCTTAGTAATCTAAGACAAAACCAACAATGTAACCATGATGATTTGTTGTAATCTTCAAATTGAATGATTTGCTTGTCAATGATAATTTGTGGTAATTGAAATTAAATTTACTTGTCATACACTTTTAAAAAAATTGTGCTGGGATTGTTTTCTCCCCCTTTTCTCATCGAAGCCTGGCTGATCCACAAGCCATAGTGTAATCAAATTGAACCATTTTATAGGTTGGTTGAAGGGGAGTGCTTATGCCATAATGCCATTACTGTTTAGAATCTACCTATATTGTTGTGAACTTGTAATTTTGTTTATAGTTTAGTTAATGTGTTGTGCCATAGACCAAATGGGTTTGTGATTGGTTTGGTTTGGCTGTTGTATAATTTTTATTTTCAAATTAATTATGAAAAATGTGCACGCTACTAAAAGGGAACATGAGTCTAAAGCTACCACCACCATCCCAACACCCACTGAATCTAAAGCTACCTAAGCTGAAGAAGTGCCTCCCTCCACACGAAAGAGGAGTGCAACAACTGAAATGTGGAATCATTATGAAAAGTTTATAAATAATAAAGGTGAGCATAGGGCCAAATGCAACTATTGCGGAAAGAATTTTGCTAACCCTTCTTCTAAAACTGGGACTAAGAACCTTTGGCGACATTTTGATTCTTGCCTGAAGAGGCCAAACAAAGCCAAGGCAGGACAATCCTTGTTCTCTACTTCTTTTGGTAAATCAATGACTCATCAGCCGTATAATGCATAACGATGCAAAAAAGCAACTGCTGAATTTATCACCTTGGATGAGATGCCATTTCGAGTTGTGAAAGGGCAAAGTTTTAGAAAAATGTTGGTAGTGCTTGAACCGAGATTTACAAGCCCTTCCCATACCACCACCATGGCTAAGTAGTACTACAAGATATATCTAGAAGAAGCTAAACATTTGAAAAGGTATTTTAAGAAATCTAAAGTTTGTGTGTCCCTCACCACAGATTGTTAGACTTCAATACAAATTCCAACTATATGTGTCTAACAGCTCATTAAATTGAAGAGAAATGGACATTACATAAATGAATTTTAAATTTTTGTGTGGTTGAAAACCATAAAGGGGATACCATTGGCAATGAAATTGAAGGATGCTTATTCTATTAGGGTATTGAGAAAGTATTTGCCATTACAGTTGATAATACTTCTTCTAATGATTCTGCTGTTGTGCTTTTAAAAAAAAAATTAGAAGATTTAGGAGGTCTAGCATGTGAAGTTCTTGTAGATGCAGTGTACTGCTCATATTTTAAATTTAATTATTTTAGAGGGCCTTAAACATATGAATCAATCTATTGAACTCATTCAGCATGCAATCAAGTTTGTTAGATCTTTCACATGCAGGCTTAGCATGGATTGTTGCATTGTTTGTTTCAGAGAGTCTACTTAGCATGGATTGTCCAACTAGAAAATTTACATTATTGTTACATTGTGATTGTTTTCATTGTGATATGTAATTTTTCTTAACATTTGTTTTTGGCTCATCTTAATAGGTGGAATTCAACATATCTTATGTTGCAAAATGCCATTAAGTTCACTAAGGTCTTTGATAGGATGGAGGATGAAGATCAAGATTACAAGAACTATTTCAAAAAAAAAAAGTTAAGCTGTCTTTAAGCTTAAGCTATGTGGATGATAGGATAGGAATGGAGGATGAAGAGGAACTTGGTGATTATGATGGTGATGGAGGTACAGTTAAACCTCCTAATGCCTATGACTGGAGTGTTGCAAAAGAATTTCTCACCTTTTTAGAATTGTTCTACAACATGGCTCTTCATTTTTCTGGATCAAATTATGTCACATCAAACACATGTTTTCAAAATATAGTTGTAATCAAGACACGATTAGATTCAATTGGAGGTGAATCCAATTCTTTGTTGAGTGACATGGTAGAAAGGATGCAAAGTAAGTATGACAAGTATTAGGGGAAAGGCAAAAAACATGAATCCATTGTTGGTGATAGCTGTGATTCTTGACCCTAGATACAAATTTTCTTATGTTGAAGTTGCTTTCAAGCATTTTATTAGTGATTACACAAAAAGAGAAATGCTGAAAAAGAAGATTATAGGGCTCCTGCATCACTTATTTGATGAGTACTCTGCAACTCTTACAATCAGTGGGAGTGAACCATCTAGAACTGGCACAGAGGTAGGGGATAGCAGTGCCAGTAGTAGGGGGAAGCAAGTTCCTCCATCTTCTAAAAAAATTATTGATATGATAATGCAAAATTTCTTAACCATTACAATGAGTAAGCGTTCGAAGAAACCAATTTCAGAGGTGGGAGGGTATTTAAATGCAGAGTTAGTAGATGCTTGTGATGATAATTTTGACATTTTGGCATGGTGGAAGGTGAATTCTTCTAAGTATAAAGTTCTGGGTTTGATTGCATGTGATTTGTTAGCTATACCTATCTCCAGAGCGTCTTCAGAATCTGTTTTTAATATTAGGGGTCGAATGCTAGATGCTTTCAGGAGTTCTTTATCTTCAACAATGGTCGAGGCACTCATTTGCACTCAAACTAGCTATCATCAACATCATGCACCCCGGTGGAAGAGATTAATATTGATTATTTTGATGAGACTTTACGTGCTGTTGATGGTAATCTGAATAAGTTATTTGATTTATATTCATTTTGATTTATAATATATATATATATATATATATTATTACTTACTAATCTAGCTGTCTTAATTTGTTTTGTAGAGGAGGAATCAATAGCTCAATCTTCTACCGTATCAAGTGACTCCGAAGAAAACAATCATTGAATAAGGATCCATAAGGCTAAATGGGTTATGACTTTAGAAATTAGAATTATTGATCCTTATTTATTTAGTATTTTTTGTTAAAATATTTATCCTTGTATTATCCAGATATTTAAACTTTATGAATGATGCTACTTAAGTACTTATGTTAATTTAGAACGGGATGAGAAGCATATGTTTTTATTCTTTTTTTTTTCTTAAGAAAATGGGTGGCCTAGACCTGCCCATACCCATTTGTACCCGTTTAAAAATGGGCACAAACGGGTATAAACGGATAAGGGTGGGTGGCCACCCATTTACACCCGTACTACCAGGGGCAACCCTCTAAATTTATGACCATATAGGTATCCTCATTATCAAAAAATTGAGATTGAGAAGCAACTCAAAGAATTACTACAAAAGGGGTTTATTCAGCCTAATTCCAGTCTATTTGCCAGCCCAGTATTATTGGTTACAAAAAAGGATGATTCATGGCGTCTTTGCGTAGATTATCGAAAATTGAATAGCATCACGATTCTAGACAAATATCCAATCCCCAACATTGATGAGTTACACAGGGCAGTTTATTTCTCCAAATTGGATTTGCGATCAGGATACCACCAAATTAGGATGTCACCTGATGATATTTACAAAACGGCATTTCAAACTACTTTGGGTACTATGAATTCACAATCATGCCCTTCAGCTTAACTAATGCTCCAGCCACTTTTCAAGCAACTATGAACAATTTATTTGGTCTTTTTTGATGATATTTTGATCTACAGTTCCTCTTTCCAACAACACCAAGATCAATTGCAAATCGTCTTACAGACACTACAAAAAAATGTGTTCTGTGTTAATTTAAAAAAATGCTTCATTGGGAGGCCAAGGGTTCCCTTTTTAGGGCACAAAATTTCTGCCTAGGGAGTTGAAGTGGAAGATGAAAAGCTGAAGGCAGTACGAGAATGGCCTATTCCAAAAAATGTAAAAGAGTTACGCAGGTTTTTAGGCCTTGCAGGACATTACCGATGTTTTGTGAAGAATTTCAGGATTATTGTGCAACTCTTCACTGAGTTGACTAAGAAGGATGCCTTCTAGTCTGAACCAGCTCAGAAAGCCTTTAATCGCCTTAAACTTGCATTGATGATGGCACCTGTCTTACAATTGCCAAATTTTGAGGAGGAATTTACAATTGAATGCGATGCATCCACAGAAGGGATTGAAGCTATACTGGTGCAAAACAACCATCCTATTACTTACTTCAATAAAAGGTTTTCTTTCTCTAACCGCTTCAAGTCCACTTACGATTGTAAACTCCTTGCGTTAGTGCTTGCAGTACAAAAATGGCGCCATTACCTACTCGGAAGGCATTTCTTTGTCAAAACCAATCATGCCAATCTCCAATATTTACTACAATAGCGTTTCACCACCAACACCCAACAAAGGTTGATCATCAAACTCTTACCATTTAATTTCACTATTATCCATAAGGCAAGAATGGAAAATAAAGGGGCCGATGTATTGTCAAGATGACCACAACATGCTGATTTTTTTTCAACTGGCAATCCCCTTCGCATCTAAGCTACATGACCTCTCCTCTGAATTGGCATTAGATCCCTTCACTAATGAAATAATGCAAGATTTGCTAAAAAATCCAACATCTCGACCTAGATTCCATCCGGTTAATAACAAACTTTTCTATGATCATAGAATAGTCATCCCTTATTCATCACAATTGCGACCAAAGTTACTAGCCCAAGCTCACTCTACGACTATTGGAGGACACGATGGGTTTCTCAAAACATTTAAATGTCTCTCACAGAATTTTTATTGGCCAGCAATGAAAACAAATGTGAAGGCCTATGTACGACATTATGTTACTTGTTAGCAAAATAAGTATCAAACTTTGGCACCAACGAAACTTCTTCAACCCTTACCTATGCCCTCTCACATTTAGGAGGACATCTCACTTGATTTTATCAATGGTCTTCCAAAGTCTAGTAGGTTTGAGGTCATTTTAGTAGTAGTGGATCATTTGAGTAAGTATGCCCATTTCCTGGCCCTTTCGCATCCTTACACAGCAAAGAAAGTTGCCACGGTCTTTTGTGAGGAAATTATCCGCCTACATGGGGTACCTCACTTGATCGTCTCTGATATGGGCCCTATATTCATGAGTTCCTCTTGGCAAGAATTATTCCAATTAAGCCAAACCAAGTTGAAGATTAGTACTACTTACCATCCCCAAACAAATGGTCAAACAGAAGTGGTCAACCACTGTCTTAAAGCGTATTTGTGCTATTTTGCACACGAGCAACCTAAGTCGTGGCACAAGTTTCTTTGTTGGGCAAAGTACTCATACAACACTGGTTATCATACATCAACCAACCATTCACCTTTCAAGCTGATATACGGGAGAAATCCTCCTCCCCTACTACCTTACATGAATGGATAAACACCTGTAGCTGACTTGGAAGATCAACTTGAGACCAAACATGCAATGATCCGACTTCTAAAGGATGATCTATGCAAGGCTCAGGACCGGATGAAGGCTTGTGTTGACAAGCATAGAAGAGAAGCCGAGTATGCTGTGGGCGATATTGTGTGGTTGCGAATACAGCCTTTTCGTTAACAATCCCTTACCAAGCAAAAGTTTGAAAAATTATTACCTCGTTTTTTAGGCCCTACAAGATTCTTTGAAGGATTGGCAAAGTAACTTATGAATTAGATTTACCAAAAGATGCTCGTATTCACCCTATTTTCCATGTATCTCTATTGCGCCAAGCTCATGGGATGGATCCGCCACTTACACCAGCTCCCTTACCACTATCAGTTGATTTTGAGTTACACGTAAGGCCTCACTGAGTCTTAGATCATCGACAAACTTGTCATCATTCACTTGAACTCTTAGTGGAACGGCACAAGTGACCTGTGGAAGAGGCAAGCTGGGAGGACTACGACCTATTGCATGCTCAATTCCCTTCTTTTCAACTTGAGGACAAGTTAAGTTTTCAAGGGGGTAATGATAATAAGATCCCAGATAAAATTCAGATTTATTCAAGAAGGAAGCGACAAAAGATAAATTAGGATTGATTTCATTTTTATTTGATTTAGATTTCATTTTTTATTTGATTTAGTATTTTATTTAGTTTTTAGATATTTTTTCAGATTTTAGTTAGTTATTAAGATTCTTTAAATCTTATTCAGTTTCAATATTTTATCTATTTAGATTTTATTCAATATTTTAGATTTTAGGAGAGTCTATTTATGGATCTTGTTATCTAGATTTTATTTATTATTTTAAATTATATTTAGCATCATAAATAGAACTAGCAACTCAAAAGCTAGGATATCAAAAAATTAATAAAACAGTCTTTCAAACCCTTTGAAAATTCTCCTAAGCGTGACTATTGAGAGAAGTATAGAACAAGAATCTTGTTCTATATTATCTTGATAGATTTATTCTCATCGCGTCCTTTTATTATTTTGAGCACCCAACACATGTGCCCATCCATACAAGAGCGTACCCATTTGCATGCTAGTTTGTATATATTTGGCATGTTTACATGTGTGACCATACAAGTGTAGATATGTATGCATTTGTACTAACATGTGGGTGTATATGTGTACTTGTGTGTGTGTTTGAATGAGTGTAATGCCATGTGAACAAAAGGGGTGTAGTTGCATGTTTATATATGTATGTGCAATTAGCTTTCATACGAATGCAGAGTGTTTCTATATCCTTGCATATGTGCATGGGTACTTGCATGTTTAAACATGAAGTGTATGAACGTATGGTAGTAAGCTGTCATAATAGCTAGTTGTCGATACAATATAAACGCTTTCCATACTTCTTTTTTTTTTTTTTCAAAGAAAAATCTTCCTTTGAAAAGAAAAAAATTTTGGATGGCAGAAAAATTCTGGGAAGAAAATTTTCCTTTCTGGCAAAACAAGCAGATTTTCTCTCAGAACAAACACGGCTTAAAAGGGAAAAAAAATGGAAAGTTAAAGGAAGAAGCACTTCCAAATTGTGATAACATTCTTTAAGAACTTGACATATGCCTAAATATATTCAGTTGAATACCCACAATATGAAATATATCAGTAACCACTTTCTGTAAACAAGTATAAACGGGGCAAAAGAAAAAAGAAGAAGCATACTTTGTTTGGCCTATGGATTTATATAATAAAGGGGAAGAGCAAAATCAAGAATATAAAATAAAAAGAAACAGCGTGAAGCATGCCTGAAAATCCACCTGGACAATAATGACAGCCACAAAAGTTATGAACCCAAAGAAACAAACCTGAAAAACCAGGCTTGATGCAAATAACAAATGAGCTGGTATCAACAGCCAGCGCCTGAAAGCCTGTAACATGTGGCCAACTTTACACATGGTTTTGTTTTCATGGAAGACAATATAAATAACTTAATGCAAGTGACTGGTAAATAACGCAAGTTTGTATTCACCTGTGGTAAATATATTGCTGCCAGTATGGAAACGATATAGTTCATCAGCAAAATTCCAGAACCAAGGAAAGCAATATTACGAACTCCTAGTTTAGTAGCAAAGGTTGAGATCTGATACCTAAAATAGTTATTACATTCAATTCATCATCAGATGAAATATGAAATTACTCACAGAGTGAATATGCATTAAATACACACACGTGCATGTACACCTAATATAATACATATCTATATATAATATAAAAGCTCTAACAAATCACACTACACAAGGCTCACAAATAATGACTTGTTTTTCAAACTTTATGCAATGCACAGGATTCACCCCAGTTAAAAGAAAATACTGTTTTATCATAGGGGGAAAAAAGGCACGGTATCTGCAAGTCAGCTGATTGAGATAAATAGATTATAGATCTACAGCATTAAAAAACTCACTTGCGATCCCCCTCAACATCTGGAAGATCTTTTGTTATGGCAATTACCAGCGCAAACAACGTTACAAATGTTGTGATGAAAACCACAGGAGAGCTGCAGCAAGGGAAATATGAATAAGTACGCAATAAGTTATCAAAATATAAACTGCATTGCTGCGATAATGAAAAAAATTTGAATGAAAAGCTAATGTCATCCTGAACTTTATTGGCATACTAAGGAAGCATAGATTTACTTGAAAAACACAATTGACTGACTCAACCATTTCAAGGTGGAGCCCGTCATTGCTCGTGTCCTTCATTAAGAGAACCTAACTTTCACAGTTTCTTTTCATTTATAACCTTTTCTATCGGAACACCATACATTCATAACTACTGTGGTCTTCAAGGAGCCCTATGTTTGAACATTAGGCACCTACAACCTTTTTTTTTTTTCACATCGTCCAGTTACGAATATGAATATACAAATGCTAAACTCCAACAAACCTCCACTGAAAGGTAAGTCCAAGAGCAGCTCTAGTAGCGTAATACACGCCAAAGTTAAGAAGAAAACCCCGTACCTGCACATGCTAATTCTGTCAATCTTTGTACAATAGTATGAACTAATGAACATACAGATCATATAAAAAATGAATTCAACCAAAAGAATTGCAACTAAATCAAAGTAGAATCCCTTTTAGATTTTAAGAAAAATCAATAAATCAACAGTTAATACATGCAAAGACTGATGGAAAAGAAGAAGAACTCTTACCGTGGCAATAATAAGAAATGCTGCCACAGGAAACCTTTTCATTCTAAAAGGAGGAACAGAGTAAATGGTGCCAAGAAGAAGGCCAAGAGTGTAAAGAGAAAAAATAAAGGGCCCAAAGTTCAATCCAACAATCAACAAGCCAGCTGCAGCAAAAAATATTACCAAGAACCAAGCAGATTGAACTGAAAGATCTCCTGCAGCTATAGGTAAATAGGGTTTGTTTACCCTGAAAACAAACATAAAGCTAACTTAGATGCACTTGGCAAGGAAGTCTACTAGAAGCATGAAAAAGTTGAAATCCGAGGAATGGAATCTCAGAATACAACTGTTCTGGAGTTGATGCAGCTTTAAAAGATATATTGCAACTTAGCAATAAATAAGCAATGACCAGGAAATAAGAAGATAGGAAGAGGACAAACTGTATACATCTGCGTCATACTTGTCAATACTAACATCATAAATTTGATTGATGCCAACTATATAGCCATTCCCGCATATCAAGGCAAAAAGACCTGAGAATGCCTTGAGCAAAAGCGACCACTTTATCAAATTTGAATTCTCAACTAAAGCTCTTGCCACCAAAGCGCTGTAGGCACAGAAAGTGAAAATGAGATTAAGTATGCTTGGCATGAAGTAGCAAAAAAATCCATAAAACGGAAGAAGAAAAAACATTAGCATCAAGGTTTGATGTTACTCACACAGAACCTAAAGCTGTACCACGTATAGTATGGGGTCGTAAAAATCTCCAACATGCATCTTTGAAAGCTGAAATTCTGTCTGCAATTGCATGATCAGGTCCAGCAGCTCCAGCTTGACTACAGGCCTGGGAGCATTCAGTTCAATTAAAGTGATACAACAGATTCACCAGAGAATGGTGATAAAATAGACTCAAATCACGTACATCAAAATCAAACTTCATGAAAAATCACTTCTTTGAAACCAATATAAACATTTACAGGCCAAGGGAAAATTGAACAGCAAAACATGTGCTTAAGGTGAACAGTTATTTCCATTAAAAAGCCATGGAAATATGTGTTATTTGTAATGTATCTGCAATCTCTTCAAAATGTATTAAAAAGCCATGGAAATATAAAGTTAATCTAATTGACAACACTCAGGATAAGTGTGCCAGTGACAATCTTAAATTCACTAACACTATAGCTGTCCCCTAATTATTTTTCAGTTCATTCTAACTGCCTATTTATTGCCACCTCACCGTACCATGCTATCGACCTGCACCATCACTGCAAACACCACGTTGCCACTGTCACCAACTTGGCCAGTTAGATTGTCATCTATGATCATTGATATTATCATTGGAATCAGTCCAACTTCGTTATTGCAATGTTATAACGACAATTACCAGGTGGTCCGGGCCCGTTATGAGATGTAACACTCAATGTTATTGCCCTACTGCAGTGTACTAGTACTAGTCTTCCACCAATTTTGAAAGTTCCGCGATCCGCGACAGTCAGTGTCAATGCTCATCAACTTGCCATGCCACAGGGTCGTGAGTTCTTATCCTACACGGCCACTTAACTCTTTCATTTGACGCATTACCTGCTTAACAACCAGACCCGACTGTTGACATTATCTTCGTCGTTGCACCCTCTCAGCATCATGGCATGTCCAGGATACCACAGTTAGTCCGTTATTACAAGTTGCTTCCATTAGAAACATGTTGCCAAATTATATCATTTCCTAATCAGAGCATCTCAAGACTAAATAGCGTGCTTGTACGCGAACTACTGGCATGCAAAATTAGTGGCGCCATTGATGCAAACTCAATTTGACTACTTAACGACTCAGTCCAAGGATATTGTGTTCTTGGTCACCCTTAGACCTCACTTTGTAACGAAATGCCAGGCAAAACCCAAGTATATCCAGCAAAGCACGGATAGTTGAAACAAAATTCTAATAGGATGCGGAAAGAAATACTAACCCTGATGGAATTGGGTCTCTGTTGTCTCTTTGAAACAGGCTTAGAACAGCTTGTGTTATCGAATAGGCCAACGGAATGCGAGTTTCTGGAAAATCCCAAGAACAAATTCGAGATTATAGGTGTTGCCTGACACGGTATTTTCACGCAATACGAAGAATTCCACCTAGGAACTATAGCAGGAACCCGAATTGAAGTGGAACAAGATGAAAGCTCCATGCGGAGCAGGGAATATCAACACTCACAGGCACCGAAGCAAAGCAAATGGCAAAATAGTTGTGTGGTATAGCTAGCAACAAACACGCCACATAAGGGCGGTCACAAATGTGGGGTCACCCTTTCCCAGCGCCTGCACTTCAAAACATTGTTCGTCAGCGTCTTTTAAATGAAGGGGTAATTCGGGTTAAAAACGGGAATGCATGATGAAGGAGTAAAATATTATTCATAATTATTTTTTTAAAAAAATCAAAATAAATATTAATATGCAATTTAAATTGTGAATTATAAATTTATAAAAAATTTAAATCCTAAACCCACTATTAAATTAAATCAAATGTATGTTACTTTAAAAAATAAAATAAAATCTAATGTATGATTTTCTCAAATTTTACTCTCTCTCTAGTCCCTACTATCTTTTAAGAGAAATTGTACATCAACTTTTAATTTTAAAAAAATAATAATAAATGTTTAGTTTAATTTAATTTTGAGAGTAAATTACTCTAAATTTAATTATTTAGAGTTTAAAATGTATTAAATACAAATTTAGAGTTTAAGTGACCTCTAAACCTATAATTTAATATTCAAATTGTATATTAATTTTATAGGAAAAATAAAATTAATGGTAAAATATATGAATTTTAAATTTAATCACCCCTGATTGTATATTTATATTGAACATTGCTGGATTTTTTTTGTTTAACAGTGCAGCAATGACAAGACATGATAAATAACGTACAAAACTAATGATTTTGAATCCTATTATTTGTGTGAATATTTTGTTGATAAATATCAATCCTCTATTTTTAAATATAAGTAAATTTTAATAAATTCACACAATTTAAAAATGTTGATTAATGGTTAATTTTAATTATGTCTATGTCTAAAATTAAAAAATTTCGATCAAAATGTCCTCGTCGTTAATGATTATTTTTTATTCAATGGTATTATTCATTTATGAGCTTTAATTTAAAAATATATAAAAAATATTTCTTCAAATTTATAATTTTACTTACGAGAAAAATTAAAATAGATGATATTTTTTCTTATAATAAAAAATGAATGAAATATAACATATATATATATATATATATATATTTGAGATATCATATAATTCAAACACGAAATCTATGTATAAGTGATGGGAATACACTTTTATACTTAAATTTATATGTTGGAAAAAAAAATATTTAGTCTTATATAATTAACATACTTGTATTTAATTAAATCAAGGCGTATGAATCTTTTAAAAATTATTTAGTTTATAATAAATTATTTTTATTGATATTATTAATATATTAAAGTTCATTTGTTTGATTTGATTAAATAAAAATATATCAAATATATAAGGTTACAAACCTAAATTTTACTCTTAAGTGATTGCAATCATTTTCACTAGGATTAAAGCTTATTAATAATAATAATAGATCCTAGTAATAAATGAGTCATTTTCTATAAGGTTAATGAAATATCACCAAATTACTTCACATAATTAACCATATCAATTACAATCTATCATGATAATTTGGGAATAACTCATCCCGAGTAACCCATGGTGTAAGATACTCTAACTTTCTAAGACTAAAAAGTTATAAAGATTTGAGTTATAAAATATATGAAAGCATGGGATGTCCAAAAGATTTGAAAATCAATTGAAAATGAGTTTTAAAATGTCATTTTCCAAAATCTAAGAAATCTATTGCAACTACTAGGGTGTTTGTTATGGCTAACAATAGAAATGCAACACACCATAAGTCCACAACTAAGAGTTTAAGACTTACTACACTACAACCAACTTGTTTCTATGTCGTATTGTGACATAGGCACCATTTATCATGAGACACTACACAAATCCATGATAGCAACTTTGCTACCACAAACCAGATTCAAAGGCTAAACTTCTAACGCAGCTTAAATCTTCACCCAACACCTAGTTGAAATGATATAGGTGCACACATATAGATTGCTTAGTGTGCTAATTAACGGCATTGATTTCATTTCAAAATTAAACCATATCACTAGGTTGGATACTTGGAACCATGGTAACCACATTTTCACACTTTTAAACCATCAAAAGTGTCCAAAACCCAATTGAAGTGCTAATAGCCCATAACCACACCTAGACCAGCAAGGGACTTGGGAAAGCTTGTGCAATGCACCACATAAAAAACCACAATTTTTCTCATTTTCAACCCCTAATGCAATGCCCGTCTTAATATTACCAGAAAACACAACATATGATACGCTATCACGATAACTAAGATTAGACAAGTCTTCAGGTTAGATTACCATAATATAAAAGAGTTAAACACAAAATCATATTTTATAAAAATGATGGAAAATTTTGAAATTCCAAGAGACCATTTTGAAAGTTGTTTAAAATCAAAAAAGAAGAAAAATGCATAAAAAACAATATAAAAGCACGGGACACAAATAGGCTGAGAACAAGATAGGCCTCTTTCAGGCAACCTATAACCTAGCTTGGCTTGGGCTTGGTATAAAGAGGCCTAGCCTGAGTTGGCCTGTTTAAAGGCCTATATACCCAAGCAAATCAGGCTTAAAATTTTAAAGATTGCCTCATTTAAGAGTATGTGTGTGTATTATACTTATATATTATTATATATTTAAATTTTTATATATATTGTATTGTATTTATATATTATATTATATATTTTTAATCCAATGGTAGCTAGTTCCATTTTCCTCTCGTGCCCTAAAATTTAATTTTTGTAATTTGGTGGCTTACAAAATATGACGTCTTGTCTTCCATTCTCTCGAATTGTCTTGTCTTCCATCGCTGTTCTCTAATCTCCACTCTCCATATCTCCTTTCATATAACTCTTTAGTTGCTTTCACTACTCCAGTCCTGATTTTGTGATCATTTGAATGCCTCTCGCCTCCTTCATTCAAAAGCTTCTTTAGTCTAAACTCGTTGTTCTCCTTCTCCTTTATTTGAACACTTCTTCAACTTCATCTCCTTTGATTTTGCTTCTCACTCATGCTTGTGCTCATCTTTGTAGGTTTGTCCTTTTGCAATTTTACTCTTTTTTAAAATTATTATTAAAATAGGGCAAAAAACAATATAAGCTTTAGATGCTTTGGATTACAGGTCTTCCAACGTGGACTCTCCCTTAAATGGCAATATTACAGTAGACATAGTGCTTATCAACGTCCTCATCTAGAGTTAGTAATTCAAGTAGGTTGGGTTTATTCGAATTAGGCATAAAACATCATACATTATATAAAAAGCATACATAGTCAAGCTCGACCTTAATATCTTCGGGCTTACTTGGGCTAGTATGAATATCCAAAATTTTTTAAAAATATTTTTTCTATATTTCTTGAATCAATTTATACAATGGTCACGTATAAGTATTTTATATATTTTAATTATGATCAAGTTGACTTCAATTCAATTATGATTAGATTATTAATTTAAAATCATTGCCTCAATTAATTTAAAGTTTTTAATAACTTTTAGATAAAATGTATTTTTCGCTTTTAAGAATATGAGAAAAGTAATCATCATTGTATTTTATAAAAAATAATTAAATTTTGAGTAAAATATTACTTCTTCATAAAATTATTTTTTTAAATTTTTTATATTATTTAACCCCTGCGTATAAAGAGTATTTACTTTATTATTCTTAATTTTTAATCAAGTCTAGTGCGAATGATAATAAAATAATTATCCAAGGACATTATTATATTTATTATGCTTGTCTAATAGCAGGGTCGATAATTCATACATGCTCAAATTTTATTTTTAATTTATTTTTTACTTTAAAATTAATTATCTAATTTTATAAAAAAATATAAAATACATATTTTTTGATACTCAAATGATGTATAGGACTTAATTTTTTTATAAAATTAAGTGGGTCTTAAACTATAAAAATAAATGATAAAATATATTTTAAAATTTTTTTGATATTTATTGATTATTAATAATAAAAATATGGTCTTTTAGTATAAAATAATATGAAACTTAAATAATTAATTAATATTTATTATATTTTATAAAAATATGTTTTATTCAAGTATTCAAGCAAAGCTCGAACTCAATTGGGCTTGGCCCTAATATTAAAAAAATATTATTTTTTATGCCCCAACCCTAAATTTTTTAAGTAAATTTAGGTTGTCTCATTGAGTTTGATCCAAATTATCGGCTTTATCCTTAACAGAACGCCACACTTATTGCCTTCAAGACTTTCTTGCTCTGGTTCTGAAGCAAGCAACTTGGGTAGAGGGGGGGGAGAGGAGAGAGAATGCGAGAGAGAAAAAAGGTGATGAGGTTTACTTAACCACAAGTGAGGTGTCGAGAGGTAAGTGAGACATGGTATAATGTTGCTCATGATTTGATCGCAAGTGATGGCATTGGCCATGGGTGCTCCAACTAGGGCCACACCTAAAACCACCAAGCATGCCATCTTCATGAGCGTGTGAGAGGGAGATGAAAGACATAAAGAGGAAGTTGAGAGAGGAGATAAGGGGGAGAAGGTGAAAAAAATATTAAAAAATAATTATGGAGCCCACTAACTAATGAGGAGGAGAATGGTAGAGTGATAGAAGTAAGAATTTTTAATATTGAGAGATAGAATTAACTTACAATTGAGTTTATGATACTCCACAACCTTTTGGATAACTGAAGGATTAAAATTAAAGTTATCAATTAGGGTCGAGCCCCTACAGGCCTTTTAAGTCCAAAAAAAATTGAGATCCAGGTCGTTATTTTAGTTTTTAAAAAAGTAAATCAAGCTTAAAAGGACTGATCCTTTTAAGTCTAAAAATAAAAGGGTCAACCCTTTAGGGTCAGGGTTGGCCCTTTTAAGCCCTAATATTTTTTTTTTGAAAAAAACAACATAAAAAAAATAAACAAAAAGAAGACATCACATCACTCAAGCTTAACACTCACTCTCTAATCTAGAAAGTAAAAACACACATTATTATTTACTTACTTTGAATATTTTTGCATTCTTTAAATGCCTTGAAATTATGATTTTGGTTTATTATTTATTGCAAATAACGAGAATGGAGAAAGAAGATGTGAAAAGCTTAACATATTTGTTATAGATGAGGATCTACAAGGAGAACGATCAAATTATATTGATATTGATGATGATAAAAATCATCAAAATTTAGATGATAATGCTACCAACTTGTAATTGATGTCGGAGTTAATTTTGAGATGTTATTTTTTTATCAGACTTAAAAGTTTTGTTGTGTGAATTAATTTTATTTTATTTTTCTAGATTTAATGTGATGTGTAAAACTTTGTTTGAATTCTAAAGATAATTTTTTTAATTTTTAATATTTTAAATATATTTTTTTAATTTTAAAATTAAAAATTAAAAAATAATTAGGACCGAGGCCCTGAGGGTCGGCCCTTCAGCCTTAAAGGTCAGGGCCAAACTGCTAAAAATAAAGTCTTAAGATATAATTAAATTTAAAAAGATTAACCTGCTTAGGCCCTGACTCTTGAGTCTTAAAGGACCCGTTCTAATTAACACCTTTAATTAAAATAAGCTTTAATCATTTTTTTATGATGTATGAATGCAACTTTTACTCCAGAAAACACACCGGGCTAGATGCAAAATGCGCTCGGCCCAGTGGAAAGATGAAAAAATAACAAATAGGAGGGCAAAATCGTAATTTGATGAACGAAGGGCCCTTATAAATTTCAATCAGGGTTTTGCAGCTCGATTCTCGTTTGCAGGTGAAATCGAAGTAGCGCCGCCCACACTTTTCCGTGCCTCGCATCCCTCACGTTTACTGGATCAGGTGTGTTATGAGTCCTATTACCGCTGCCTAGGTGATCTTTTTCATTCGAAATATTAATCTGAATGCGTTCAACAACTCTTCCAATTTCTGTTTTTTTTAATGCATCCAATTTCTGTTTTTGACTTACTGTAACATGCCGTGTGCATGTATTTTCATTCTGATTATGGTTACTGTTAAGTCGAACTGAAATGTCTTTAGAGTTCGTGGCGATTTTGGGATCTTTCTCTGTAGAAAACAGTTGCTGTTTGAGTGGCGTCAGATTTTTGTAGATGGGGGAAATCAGGGTGTGCTCGCTTTTGACTTGGGCTATGCTGGTGTTGAGGAAAATTAAATAAAAAATATCTTCCAAGTCTGGGAACACAATAATTTATTTTGTATGCGGTTCTCTCGATAATCAATACTTTATACGGGGTTTTGTCTTTTTAAAAGAGCTGCTTAATTGCTGATGGATCATGGATGTTTGCTTTAATGTTCAGTCATTAATGATTTTTTATATCATAGTTCAATGAGCTTGGATGTTTGTGCCGAGGAATGTACATACTGACATGAGGTCATAGCTCTCGTGAGGATACTGTTGGTTCTCACGTTAACTATTAACCATGGGAGCTGTAGGCATTTTTGGTAGAAATTGATTTTTATTGCCCTGTCCTTTGGATATCTTGGTCAGCTGCTGAATATGTTATTTTGAATACTGATCATGGAAGAGCCATGATTGAGTTGTTTTAGATTGTGACATGTCCTTCCACTTTTCATTTTTCTCACCTGTGCAATGTTTGATATATCTCCTAATCCTTGTTCTGTTTCCCATCGTGATTGTTAATTGTGTCGGGCAGGATGGAGTCTCAGGCGAAGCATGCCGTGGTCGTTAAAGTTATGGGTCGTACTGGATCCAGAGGGCAGGTAACTCAGGTTAGAGTCAAGTTTTTGGATGATCACAACCGGTACATCATGAGGAATGTGAAAGGACCAGTGAGAGAAGGAGATATTCTCACCCTTCTTGAGTCTGAAAGAGAAGCAAGGAGGTTGCGCTAGAGAGGGTTCTTCCTTGGGGCTTTTTGGTGCTTTGAATATCCTGATAAAGACTGCTTTTTTGTGGTAGTGGAACCAATCATAATTGTAGCTTTTCCGTCGTAAAATGTCTTTCCTATTATGACTGCAGTTTTGATGCCTTTTCTTTAAGCTTTAATATTGAAATGAAACTTTCGAATTTTGCTAGTTTATGGTTTGATCTATATAAATATAGTGCATTTCTCTACTGTTATCTTGGATCGCTCGGTTAGGTCGAGGGAGAAATGCCTTTGCTGTTAACCGTAGTGTTTATCCTGGTTTGTGGCTTGAGTTATAAGGTGAACGCCACCCAAGCTTGGTTTTGGATCTTTTACCATCGGGGCTCTATCGCATTGATAGTGGTCAATGGCCTGTGAAATTCTGGATTGACAACGGTGATGAGTAGGTGCTCGGGCTGAGTTTTGGGAGAATGAAAGTACATGATATCTCACCATATTGAAAGTTGTCTGCCGTTGAAAAGTTCATTCAAACACGGAGAAACGGAAGAGGTGCCAAGCTACATCTGCGAGCAGAAGTAAAACCCTCGAAACCTCGAAAACTTGTGTAACCGCAGGTCCTATTTGAATAGATGGAAAAGCGTATTGTGTGATACATAGTAAGAATGAAATTGATGCACAGCCAATAAACCAAATCATTTTAATTTAGTCATTTAAAATATAAAAATGAAATCAAAAAAATTGGTATGAATATTAGTTTGACGGATGAATATAACTATGACATAGTATTTTGATATTATGATATATCAATATTGATCATTATAATCTAGAAGTCCTGGAATCCCTTTCTGTTCTTTCCACCAAGGTACGTAAAACCGGAGCGGTCATTGAACCGGTTATGGCACTGGGTCACGGGTTAGTGGTTCAATTAGAGTTGAACTGGAGGTTGAATCGGTGGCAAACCGGTCATGATTAAAATAATACAATTTAAATAAAAAGACATTAATTATAAAAATATTCAACTAAATTCAACCACTCAAAAGTCTAACAGTAATAAAATATAATATTTTAAATATCTATCATGATTTATTACACTTACAACTCTTCAATCTCAAAAGTCTAGAGAAGAGATGGAAATAGAGTTGGAGAAGAGACGGAGATTGAGCTAGAAAAAAGACAAAGAGTCAGAGACTAAGTTGGAGAAGAGATGAAGATAGCAAAGACAGAGATAGAGTTGGAGAAAAGATGGAGATAGAGCTGGAGCCTGAAGAAGAGACGGGGACTAAGCTAGAGAAGAGACACTGATTAGATTAGGGTGAGAGAGGAGAGACACAAATGAAAGGCCAAAATAAATGCTGTCTGAAAATCTGAATTGGACTTAGCGTGCTCTATCTCTAATTTTTTATTTTTTGACTTTAGTTGTACTTTTTTTTTGTTATCTTATTTCTAAATTCAGTACTCTGAAAAATAAAAAATGAAAAAAAAACTCAAAAAAAAAATAACCCGGTTAACCCAGTCAACCCACCGGGTTATACCGGGTTGAACCCGAGTTGACCAGGTTACACCGGTTTATTTCGTTACCGGTTTAGGAGTAAACCCAGACCGGACAAGGGACCGGATCACCAGTTTCCGGGTTGATCCGGCCGGTCCGGTCCGGGTTTCAATACCATGCTTTCTACCACTTGAGAAGTCAAACACCATCCTGACTCTAGTGGACCATGCTACCGAACACCGATGAAAATAGTGGATCTTGTGAACCTGAGGGGCAATTATACTGTTCAGTGTTTATGTCTAATTAAATTTTTAATATTCTATATAGAAAATGAAAAAAGGAACTTTCTATTCCATTTTTTCCCTCGACTCTTGCTAGCCACCCTTAAAGCCGGACTTCTGCTGGCGGCTACTCAATATGGTAAAATACAACATTTCTCGCTTCGAAGGTTTCTTTGTTTTTGGCCAGAGCTTCGAAGGTTACAGGGATGGAGCAACTTGAACTGAACCCTAATTCTGTCAATAAACTCAGCGAGTCCTCCTCCCCCTCGGTCGACGACGACGACGACCCACCGGTTTTGAGCTCTCATGCCCTAGCCGCCCTCAAAGAATTTCTCGCCGACCAGAACCACTCCGTCGCCGATTCCAATGTGGCAACTGAAGGAGACTCGGAGGTTACTTTGGTATCCGAAGATTGGAGGTTGAGCCAGTTCTGGTACAGTGCAGAAACCGCAACGACGTTAGCTGAGGAGGTTATTACTCTCTGCCATGGCAGCGACGATTCTCGAGTTGCTTGCATTGCTTGTCCTACTCTTTATGCCTATCTTAAGGTCATTCCCGATTTTAACTTATTTCTTTTCCTTCCGGCTGCGAGTGTGTTCCTGTTTTAATGCTACTTGTCCAATGAAATTGGAGAGTCGTGACTATTCTTTTGGCTTTATCTGATTAGATTTGATATTTTCAGCGATTAGTCTAAGAGGTTTTTGTTATGAGTCTTTATATCTGGCTAGAGAAGTGGGCTTTATAAGTTCACTCTCAGTGTAGATTCATAACATTGTTTCTTCCATTGAAAGACTGAGGACACTAGAGAGAAGGCGACCCACGGAGGGTTGTAACTGGCAGTTGGCCGAAGTGGACTTACTGGAAGTGAACTTTTATCTTTCAAATAGAGTTGTCTTGACTTTAAGACTTGTGCTCATACATAACAACTTTCATCGAGAAAATTTTCCCCCTCCTAATGTTAGCAGGGCCTTTTGAATTTCACGTTGGATATACTACAGTTTTACTATTACAATACGAACGCAAGCTTCATTTTTACCGATATTAAATTAAATTATGTAATGAAAAGTGGTTCATTGTCCAATATGTTGACTCATCCGATTTTTCTTTTATGTTTAGAAAATGCATCCGAATATTTCCCTTCAACTTCTTGAGTATGACAAACGTTTTGAGCGATACGGCAGTGATTACACATATTATGACTACAACAAACCTGAAGAGTTACCTTCGGGATTGAAGAGCGTCTTCAAAGTTGTAGTTGCGGATCCTCCTTATTTGGTGAGAATTTACTGCTGAAAGTTTACTTACAGTAAATTGCTATGCTTCTTAACCTTTTCCTGTTATTACTTTATTCTACTTCCATTATTTTCAGTTGTGCACGAACTCTGTAGAAGACTAGAAATGATTGAGGCGCTGTTGTTTTACATATCGTAGAAAGTTTGTTTTTTCTGCAGTACAAGATCTAATGGGCTGGACAAATTGACAAAACAGGGGATATTTAGCACTGTTCATTGAGTTGAGCTGCATATGATATAAAAACTGAAAAACTTGCTTTTCCATTAGTCGATGCATCCAAAGCTATGATATTTCTTGAGGTTTTGCTGCGTTTCATTGTGATTCATGCGAAACTTTCTGCATATCCCCTCATAATTATTGTTGTAGAAGCACCTTCAGTAAATGATTGAAATTCATTGTTACGACTTGTGAATACTTTTTTGGTGATAGAGCAAAGAGTGCTTGGAGAAAGTTGCTCAAACGATTTCTTTCCTCAAACAACGTGGAGAGTCATATATGCTACTACTCACCGGTAAAATTCTCCTTCACAGCTATCTAATGTTTTATTGTGGACTGAATCATTGCGCTGAATGATTACATATTGCTAAAAGAATGTGCGTAGTGAGGCCAGTGAATGTAAGTTTTTTTTTTTTTTTTTGGTTGATTGGAGAAGGCTAGCTAAAAGCTAGAAATTACAAGCCAAAGAGTTAAGTCTGTCTGAGGAGGGCATATCCCCTGTCTTTGTCCTGAGATAATGTAAGGTATTACTTTTGCTAAAACAATATTTGGGCCTTTTAAATTGCTTTATTCCATTTGATTGCAGGTGAAGTGCAGAAGGAAAGGGCGGCTGAGGTCCTGGGTTTGCATCCTTGTGGATTTAGACCTCATCACACCAGCAAACTTGGAAATGAGTTCCGGCTGTTCACAAACTATGACCCAGGGACGAGATTAGGCGGGTGGGAAAAATAGGTAGTTTCTTTTCATTGGTTTTAAATCTACCATACGGTGGCAGTAAAATGTCTTGAATAATTTAGTTGTGTTAAAATTCGATTGCAGATATGATGGTGGAGTGATTGGACTATCTTGTCTGTCAGTTAACTGTCACTTCGTTGTGAGCTCTGTTGCCTCTGATTCTATGTCTCAATCAAAAATGATTAATTTTGACTTTAGGCCGAACGAGATATTTTTAACTTGTTCGCTTGACCTTCCGTTCCCAGTTTCCAAACACAATAAATTGAACTAATGCAACATAGTGTTAACTTCAGTACGGGTATTCTGAAAGTTCCATGCTCGCTATGATGCACGAAGAAGTAATGCGTCCATGCTCAATCTTTGCCTGAAATATTTTTCTTGGGTTAAAGGATATTTTTGTTCCATAATTATTTTTTTAGGAGCATTTAGTATAGAAAATGACACATAAAATTACAAAAAGGACTTAAAATGACATAAAATTGCACATATAGTACAGAAAATTGCAAAAAGGACTTAAAAATTATAGAAATGACACAAAATTATACATAACTATTTTATAAGAAAATTAATATCAATTAAATCTTTTAAATAACATATAAATATGGGGATACAAACGTTATTTCCAAAATGTTTGATCAATCATTATTTTAAAAAGTTAGTTGATATTAATTTGTTTATAAGATACTTGTAATTTTAGGGGTCTTGTTTTGAAATTTTTTGTCTTCTTGTTTTAAATTTTTTTTTAAGTCAACTGAAGATTAAATTGAATTTTTTTAATAGTGGAGTGTCCGAGGAAGAAATAATTGAGGGGTAAATTTTAGCCCTTTTTCTTCTCATAAATAGAGTACCATGAGGATGGCAAGTATGGGAGGTTTCATTTCAGCAGTCTGTACGACGAGTATTAGGAGATCATTTAATTGACAATAATTTCATGGTTAGTTCGGGTAAATTTACAACTTGCAGAAGTTTAGGCCCGTTATTTGCAAAAAGAACCAAAATAATTCTCTGCAACTCTTGTCGTTTTCCCCACAAATGAAAGCTCGTCACGATATTGTGAAGGGGAATAAACAACCTCGTCATGGTGCAAGGGTCACACAATCAAGTCCATGCAATATGTACAATGCGAAAAAGGACCTATTATTTATCTCGGTGCACAGTAGCCCAACTGCACTCTGCTTTCATATAAATCAGGAGGGTGGTAACTGCTCCGTCGGTGGTTTCACTATGAGGACTGGAGTTTTCGCTTGATTAGCGCAGTAATCGCTTACACTTCCTAGAAATGCCCGACAATACACAGTACAAGTGATTGGCTGGTTATAAATATTATTTTCTATCAGCTCATCCCAGCTTCCAGCCATCTTTGAACCGAAAAATATTCGCTTATGAATCTTCTGTATTGATAGTATGAAACTATACATGTAATGACTTGTGTATTAATTGAAAAATCACTGGCATTCAAAGGGGTCAAGTGCTGCAGAATTGGAAAAATTAATTACCTGAAAACCGGGCCAAGGCCACGGCTGCCCACAACCAGGAGATCAGCATGCACTTGCTCCGCAGCTTGACATATCTCCTCTAACAATTATGGTCTCTGCTTTCACCTGTTGTATATCCTCATCAATATCTAATGATTCAAATTCAAGGGCCCAACGATTCAACTTGGAAGATGACTGGGTTCGTCAATACCAGTTTATCCATGCACATCTGTAATGCTCGACACAGTAAGGCCTCAGATGCTTCTTCCTGTGCTTTCTTCACCGTATCCAGCTCTGCTGCCGTTGCATCAAATACTGTTCATGCCAAATTTCCGCTGTTTTTGAAATCATATATATAGTTTGCCGCGAATATTGAATCCGAGAAAGAAAAGGTGATGATAGGGGAAGACAAGAGGATATACGAACCGGTTCCGCCGGCTTCAATGGGGTGTCCATATTCTTCTAAGAACTTGGGTTGCACGTGAACCAGAAACACCATACCCGAGCTCTCAAGGGTGGCTTTAGGAGTGGCGGAGCCCACAGTAGCTATGGGGATGAAGAGGTTATCGAGGGCCCGCTTCAGGCCGTAGAAGCTACCGTCAGAGTCGTCAATGGCCACCACCACTTTCATCTGCGTCCTCCTCTCCACCCCATCCTTCCCTGTACCTGCACTCACCTGATCACCGCTAACCGCTGCAGCCGCCTCCATTTCTCTTGGATATATGCGGTTCTCTATTATTATTAAGAAGATGGAGCTGCTTGGAATGATCGCTCGCTTTGCTTTGCCACCAACTAACTCCTTCCGGTTCACCGCCCCGGATCCATAAATTGTATTTTTTCGCGTGGTAAAATGTTGGACACGTGCCAGGATTTGGGCTGTGCTGGTATATCCATTGCAAATACGTGTAGACCTTACCCTTGCGGTGCACGACTGCCGGGGATGAAGCGCCAGATGATGAGATAATCTTAAAAATTTATAAAATGTCAATATCGATGTATTAGTATGCATTAATAAAAAAAATGTAAACTTTATATCAAGTAATTATCGTAGTAATTGTATTTGTCAAAAAAAGTCTCACATTGTTTAAATTTTCAAAATGAAAAAAATTCTTAGCATATAAATATTAAAAAAATAAAATGAAAGAATAGTGAGTTTATGCTCACGAAACAGGACAATTTAGGACAATTATAGTTGAGAATAGTTGATTTGCCCCTTGCGTACGAGCTCAAGAGGCATTAGGTTTCTTTTATTAAATTATTTTTGAAAAATAAATAATTATTTATTTAAATGAGCTCAAAACCTTGTTTTTTGATTGATTGAAATTTAGATTTGAACCACAACCATTTTCTGGCTTTAACCAAATTTCTTAAACTTGTTTGTTCCCCAACAACTCTAAATTAATGACATTTTATGTGTGCATAATCGAGGCTTAATGATGTTTAATCAGATGATTATTAGTCCAATGTTTATGTCTATGGTTTCAACCTATATATAGGCATGGGTGTAGATAGAATAAAGTGCTAGGCCCTTGAGTTTTTGAGTTACTTCTTCCCTCCCTTGCCTTGACTATGTCCTGTGTTCATATGAGTTTCTTTTCTATGAGTGTTGTTATTCTGTTGCCTTGCTTGTGTAGGATGTGCATGTTTAATCTTGAAAAATTATCGACCTGTTGTCTCGATGTTATTAAAATAGTTTTTAAGGACAGTCTCAATATTATTAAAATAGTTTTTAAAGACAATATTTTTTTGCATGATTCAAGCAGCTTTTGATTTTCCACCAGGGGCCAACAGTAATATGCTTAGGGAGGAAATTCAGTTTGGGCTTGTTAAATTCGTGTGAGTCTCAGAATTAAACAAAAAATCTATCCTATGTCTCTATATAACGAGCATCAAGTACGGATGGAACGCCCAAAACATGGAGATCTTAAGACCAATTTAATTTCTTCTTCATTATCGTCATCTCATTTTGAAAATTAATAATTATACAGAGAAAGAGGGGTTAACGACCATTTGATTTTATCAAACAATCCATGTGCGGGTCCATTTGGTCCCATTTAGTTAATAGAATAGATTAGATTGAAAAAATCAAAATCAAAATAAGCTAACAATACTCTTTTCCTTATGATAAATATGATAAAATTTATTAATATATATTACAAATATAAAAATCATCACACCTTTTGAAAATTTCATGAATTATGATTCTCAATTATATAAACTAGATTACTCATCTTTTTATAAATGTTCTCACTTATTTCTTTTAATTATTTTGTTTTTGGTTTTATTTTTTTCAATCTATTTTATTTTAACATGTAAACGTGACCGTTAGTAAGAGGAGGTTTACCACCAAATTCTTACTTCCAATTCAAAATTCCGTCTGCCACATCAGTCATTTCATAGCACCCAAATTGAGGTCGGATTTTTTTTTTTTTGGGGGGGGGGGGACTTAGATGAGAACAAGTGCATTAACATTTTAAAATTGTCAACTTTTTTAAAACGTACGTGTACAATCTATAATAAATTGTAACATTGTGGCTTATTTTTCAAACTCTGCACCAAAAAATACATCTATTTACAAAAGCAGACATTAAAAACAAAAAGTTTGTAGAGATATAAAGACTACATGATTAATTTACTTCTTGCTGTTCCAAGACAAGAGTGTTTATGTGTTGCATTTGGACTTTCTGGTATAATGCCTACGTTTGGCAATTCTAATATTGTGGCAACATCGAATGACACGGAAAAACTTCCTCCCAAGCCTGCCTTTATTCTTTTAATCTAATGTATTCGGCAGTATATACACACAACAGCTAATATTGTGAATTCACACACACACACACACACACACACACACACATTATATAGGGAAATTATTAAAAAAAAAAAGTATGTCTGGAAGAAAAAGGGGTACACATGCACCGCTGATTCGGGAATGACCCATGAGACGGGACTAGTGCTTGTGGTGAAGCTCCATGTGAGGCTTCACTATCAGGATTGGAGTTTTTGCATGATGTGCACAATAGTCGCTCACACTTCCCAGAATTGCCCTGCCATCCCACCCAATCAAATTCATTATAACCCCCCCCCCTTTTTTTTGTTGGGTAATCAATCGCAATTGAACTACATATACAATATAGTATATGAGATACTTAACCTCTTGAAGGTGCCGAGGCCGCGGCTACCCATGACGAGCATATCAACTTGCATTTTCTCTGCAGCTTGACATATCATTTCTCTCGGATCTCCGTTCATAATAACGCTCTCTGCTCTCACCTGCTCATTATCAATACACGTTTTTATCCAATATTTATCTTAAATTTTTAATATCCACTAATCTGTGTATCATTTTTCAGTGATTAATGAAATTACTTGCTTGTCCTTGCACATTTGTAATGCCTGGGTCAGTATCCTGGCAGATATTTCTTCCTGAGCTTTCTTCACCGCGTCCATCACTGCAGGCGCCACATACGCTGCTGTTCATCCCTCCAACAACACCACACTTTCACTTCAATTCAAATCCATTAATGACTCTTCAAATAGTTCTTGCTTAAACAATTTCTTAACGATTTCTTTTTTTAAAAATCCAAATCTCTTAGAGGCAAAAGGAACAAAATTAAAATGGGAGCCACAACTTGGAGGCTAAACTAGAATTTTTTTTTTTAAGGGTCTTACTTAAATTACGAAAAAAAAAGGTAAGGAAAAATTAAGGAGAAACAAACCCGGTCCGACGGGGTAGACTGGGGGGTAAAGGGTGGGCTGAACATGAACGAGAAACAGCGAGCTGTGGTTCCCTTGGGGGCCTGGATCTGGCGTGAGCGGCTCCACGGCAGCCATGGGGACAAAGAGGTTATCAAGGGCCCACTTAAGCGCGTAGAAGCTCCCATCACTCTCGTCAATGGCCACCATCACCTTCATCTTCATCCCTCGCTCTACCTGATCCCCAACCCTCGGCTCCATTGTCATCTACCTCTCACGGGCTCACGCTGCTTACTATGACCCTTTGATTTGATTAGATTAGCTTCCCTTTGTTTTTGCGTTCCTTTCATTCTTTCGATCCTTCTGACGCGTGGCACCACCGCAGCTATCCGTTGTTTTTAGAGCATTACACGTGTTAGTCCTCCTCCTGTATGTCACCAGAGGCCTCATGCACTAAGGATGGCCACGGTGGATTCTCTCGTACAGTTAATTAGCATGCATTTTTGTTCACATGAGTATAAAGTATGATCATTTATTAAGAGGTAGAAAAGTATTTAAAAAAAAAAGCATCTGTCTTATTTTTTAAAATATACCCTCTTCATTTTAAATTATAAAATATTTTTAAATAAAATTTAACATATCAATAAATTTTATTAAAAATTTTTAACAGCTTTATTTTTTAAAAATAAAAATAAAAAATTTAAAAATATTTATAATTTAATATATTAAAGGAGAAGGGATATAAATTAATTATAAAGAGAGAAATAGTAATATTAAAATTTATACATTTAATAAAATCTTAATTTACCTAAATTATCTTATATTTTTAAAAGAAAAAATTCATTTAAAAGTACCCTGTAATTTAGGACGAAAAGAATACTAAACATGTAATTAGTATTCTTTTATCTCTATTTTTTTATTTTAATAATAAAATAATCACAGAAATAAAAATTGAGTATGATCTTTTAACAATAAAATTTTACACATTACTCCTCTAGTTCTATTTATAGGGTAGGAAGAGAAAAAATATTGTTCTATAAAAAGGACACTTGCTAATTTTCAGTGCTCCTATTTATATTTTTATCCTTATTAAATACTTTGAATAAAAATATTAGTAATGAGATTTAAAAATATTTATTAGGGGTGAAGGTGAAAACTTATTAAATTTTAAAACAAAGTTAATAAAATTAAAGTTTTTCTTAATTCTAGTAAAACATGTTAAAAATGAGTTATAAATAAGATCAGATAGCATACTTAAGGGGAAAAAAAGAAATTTTTACACATCAAGCAAAAAATAATCACTTTTTGTATATTTTAGTATGTGCCAACCTATGTATTTTTTTTTATTACTCATATAGGTATAGTTGTCAAAGTCTCAAATTGACTCTATGAATAACGTTTTTACATTTTCAATTTATAAAATTGTGTTAACTCATTCATAAACTTAAACTAAATATAAATTCAATTAAACTAGCAAGTTTATTTTCAAGTTTATCATTTTTAACGTTTCTAACTTATGAACTTGTATCGACTAATTTATAAACTTAGATTAGATGCAAGCCTGATTAAACTTGTTAAGTTTGTCAATTTTTTTTAGTTGAACGAATTAAGTATATATTATAAAGAATTTAATTTTTAAAATTTATAGGATATGGTTCAAAGGAAAAAAAAACTTGAAATGCAAAAACTAATATTAATATAAAAGAAAACAAAAATACCAAAAATAAATTCTCCTATTTTAAAATTTTTATGTCTTGTATATGATAATTTATCAATATAGATGAGTTTAATTTTAATTATTTATATTTTTAACATATTTAAATTATATTATAATTATATTTTAATAATTATTTATTAACAGAAGTAAACTTTTATGAGTTCATGAACTTTTAATCATAAACCATCATGTTTAAGACAAGATTGGACATTAAATATAAATATACTCCTTCTGTCGCAAACTATATGACACTTTTAAAGGAGATTTTTCATCTCAAAATCTAAGATACTTTAGTAAATTAAGGTTTTATTAAATACATTAATTTTAATATTATCCTTTCTCTTTTTCTATAATTAATTTCTATTTCTTTTTTTTTAATATATTAAATGATTGATATTTTTAAAAATTTATATTTTTGTTTGAAAGGATAAGGTTGTTAAGTGTATTTTGAGATTTATTAATATATAAAATTTTATTTAAAAATATTTTATAATTTAAAATTAAGGGAGTATTTTCCAGTGAGATTTGAACCAGGATTCGTACGTTGTGAGAGAGACCAATTCTTTTTGTTTCGTAATCCCAATCTTGTTGCCAATTTCTGTAGTTGTAATGGCATGACAAATAAAAAGGAATAGCTTACCATGGTCCTTTAATTATTAACTTAATATACTTAAATCTTATTGATATTTTCAATTCTTTTTTGAAGAATAATAATAAAGCACTGTTCATTTTAATGGACAGTGGAGGCTAGATATTTTCCCCCCCGGCCAAAAGATAATTCATTTCAAATTTCATTGAAAGTGGACGATCATGGAACAAGCACAAAACGACAAAAAAAGAGTCAAGCAGGTTAAGATAACAAAGCAAATAAGTCATCCAACGCCAGCACGTGCTCCTCGAGTAACTTCCAAACCCAGCAAGTCTTAGACTGTTCGGATAGAAACAGCGATGATTCTAAGATATTTTCTTGCCCAATGATCATTCTAAGAAACTAGATTCATTTGCACAGGATATTTTAATATTTGAAAGATAAAAACAAAATATATAATTTAAAAGGCTAAAATTTTCTTTTAATCTTCTAATTTTATATAAAATTTTCAGTTTGGTCTTTAAATTTTATGAAGTATATTTTCATTCTTCTAACTCCTAATATTATTAATTTTAAATGATTATTTATTATATTAATAATTATTATTTTAAAAAATTAAACTTAGGATGTCAACATTTAAAGATATTTTATTAATATTTAAAAGTTCAATACAAAATTTTTTTTATTAATAAAACTAACAGTGTTAAAATTAAGGAATTAAAAAGAACCTTTATAAAATTAAAAGATAAAAATAATACCTTATATAAGATTAAAAAATTACATATCTAATTTAACCAATTGAGAAAATAATTTATTTTTATGTGTTCAAAATATCATATTTTGTTAATTTACATAAATTAAACTTTAAATAATAATTTAATCTATATTAAATTTTTTTTGCTCATATGTATCAAAGATAAAAATAATTACTTATCTTTTCTTAAAGTATGTACATTTGCACTTTTTCTTCTATTAGTATGTGGGAAAATTTTAAAATCAAGTTAAAAAATATAATTCCTATTATGTTCTTCCCCATAGTTAGTTGAAGAAAAAAACTTACCCTTAAAAAGTATTCCTAAATCCATCATTCTTGGTCCCATATAAATAAAAATCTAAGCAGTAATTTCTATTTTGAAACGTGTTATTCTCTTCATAAAGGGTAGCTTTTTAATATACGTAAGAGAATCATGTATATTAAAAGATGTAAATTTTATTTTATTTTAAATTTATATGATAATAGCATTTTTAAATTAAAATTATAGCCAAAACTAATATATATATATATATATATAATAATTTTAAATTAAGCAAATAACATAGCCTATATTATACTATGTCCTCCTATCACTTTTAATTGTCTCACCGTAATTAAGAAAATATAGTTAAATAATTAGTTTTGTTTAAAAAAGAAAAAAATTAATTTACCTTTATTAAATGTATCATATTTAAAAGATAATTTTTTTATATGTAACTCTTTTCTCTATTTATAAAAAATTTGAAAATAAAAATTAACAGCCCGCTTTCTATATAAAAATACTTTTTCAAAAAACCATCAATTACCTATAAAAAGTGATTCAAGTATGAGATTGGTGGTGGTGCTATTTATCAATCACCGTTTTTATTAAAAAATATAAATTATTTTTAATTGAATTTCATTCTCAATAAAATAATTATTTATTTTTAAATTAATCCTATTTTTTTAACATTTATTTCAATTTAATAGCACATTTCATTCTAAAATAAATATAAAATAATTTATTTAATAAGAGTACTTTGAAAAAGAGATAATAATTATATTTTAAAAAATTAAAAATAAACATCCAATCTTTAAAAAAATATTTTATATTTCTTAATAAAGAAAGTGCACGAATCGCATTTCTCACAGTTTCTCAAATCTTTTCAACTATAAAAGTAAAAAAAAAAACAGAAAAAATATTTTTTAAAAAAGTTTAAGAAGGGGGTTACTGTTCAAAAGAGTGTTGATGAACAGTAAATCCCATTAGACTTTACATTATGTCTACATAGTTTATAATTTTTTACCCATGTATATCAAAAAATAAAGGATAAATTGGCCCACTAATAAAAAAAATTGTGTGCAGAAAATATGAACTAAATTTTTTAAAATTTAAGAATATGATCAATTTATATTGACAATATACAAAATTTATTATTAAAAATTTATAAAAAATTTATCATTGATATACAATAATATATCATTAATAAATATAATAAAATGATCATAATACAAAATATAATAATTTTTGAATTGTTGGTTTGGTTTTGTCCTATATAACATGGGTTATATCATTAAAAGCCACAAAAATAAAAAATAATCTTTCATTTGAAAATATTATTTGCATTTTATTATATAATTTATTAGAAGCAACCAACAACGTCTCATGCATATCATTTTAACATGACTTTTATATCCACTACCATTTTTTTTATTGTGAGTCTCACAATTAATTTTCATTGCAAGTCCCACGTGATCTTTAAACAGATAAAAGTACAAACAAAAATCGTTACTGTTCATCCATCTTTAAACAGACAAAGGTACAAACAAAAATTCTTACTGTTCATCCAACTTAGATGAACAGTAACAAATGACACATTTTACAATATACATAAGAAATAAGAGTAAGAATATAAGAAAGACAAGATAAGTTTTAAATTTCCAATCACTCGTCATCTACCGATTTACATAACTCTACGCGCTACCGATATCTAGAATAAACAAATTAAATATTTTTTATGTATTATAATTTTAAAAATTAAAAGATGTGACTGAAAAATTCATATCCTATCAAATATAAAATTTATAAGAAACTCAGCTATTAAAAAATAAGTAATAAACCGGGGCCATTCTGGATTTCTGGTACTTTAAAAAATAAGGTCCTGTGCATTTTTTATTCATTCAATAAAACAACACATTTTAACACGGTTTTGATATTAGGAAAAATAATTCTAACTATTTAAAAAAATTTATGTGGGGAAAAGATATCTAGTTTTACCTTTATGTCCATTAATTTTCTATTTTGAATATTTCCATGCATTCATTTTTATTAAGGTCGTTAAACAATCTGAATGAGCAATGTGATTCTCCCGCCCTTCTCCAACTCGATATTGTCGTTAACGTAATGTCGAAAAATTGATCACCAGAAGTTATTAGTATCCTAGTATATTCTTCGATGTTGTTTTTTTTTTGAAATGTATAAATATAAAATTTCAATTAGGCCATGCACGTCAAAGAGGGAAAGAGAGACACTTTATACAATACTAACGGTTGATTATGAAGAGTTCTTCATTTGCATGAGTGAGGGATCGAATGTTCTACCATATATTTAAGGGATAGAGCAAGATAGTCATTACACTGACATGGTGAGTAGCCGGAGTTTTAATTTTAACTTGGAATGTGAACTTTCAGCTTTTACGAGTCCGACATGGAAGGGTTTTGCATTGCATAATCCGAAAATTAGAAACATCGATCGACCAACATCTGTTCCTAAAAATAGCCTTTAATTCGTTCACTCCATCCAGGCTTTTCTTGTCAGTATACACAGTTTTTTTGGCCCTCCAAAAGTGGCTGGTACTGGCAAATTTTGTGTGTGTGTATGTGTTTTTTTTTTTTTTTGGGTGTTGGGCAATAAAGACGACAGGACGTAAATGCGAGTGCTTTTTCTTTGTCAAGATTCAACGTGTCAGTTTTGATTTTTGAGTACTGATTCTCCCAATTCTCTAAATTTTGCTTCCAGCGTCAGCATTCAAAATATTGCTTTTTCGTCTCTTCTAATACATACAACTTACTCTTCTCGAAAAACAATTGCTTATATTAAGATCTAAGGTTCTGCCACACGATTGTTTCACACGTTCTAGAGGGCCCCACCAGTGAAAATTGTTAATGCATATTGCAAATAATTAAACAGCTAATTAGTTTCTTGTTTTGCTTGGTTTATTTCTGCGTGATATTAATTTTATTTTGAAAGGCACACGTTATTGACGATAAATAATATGATTATAGGTATATACCCTTCTCGTTGGCTCTCTCTCTCTCTCTCTCTCTCTCGGCAGGAAAACACAATCTCGTTGACTCATTTTATTTTGATGACTTGTATTCTGTGAATATGGACCTCAAATATGCATATCGAAACAAATCTAGCATAATTAAAGTAAAAATAGAAATTTCAGTGTTTGGCTATCTATAATGGTCAATTTTTTTGGCTGTTTTGTCCATGAATTAAATGAAAGAATTGTGCAGGGTCCCGCCAGGTTGTATATGTGAAAATTCACAACAAGGACCTTAATGAATTACTAGCTGAGAGGTGGAGAAAAAAAGTTTGAAATTTCCTCGTTGGACAAAAAGTGTTGACTTGACTCGGGTTTTCACCTTCGCTTCTACTTCTTCGTCTTCTCCAATTCTTGCTCATTTCTTTAGTTTGCTTTCATTTCAGATTCGTGGATTCCACGATCTTCTCTAGAGTAAGCCAAGCCTCTCTTCATCGTCTGGCAACCTCGGCCACCAAGTACAACTTCCAAGTCTCCTAAATATCCTCATTCCTTATCTCCCAATTACAGGAATCTCTCTAGTATATGTATAGATATTCTTAAATCCCTATATATAGGTAACTGTCATCTTGATTCGTTTTCAATATCGCGGGAACAACCTGTGAGCTTGTCTTCGCAATCCACTGGGTTTAATTTTCTAAATTATCGCTTCGTCGTCTTTCTTATACATGCTATGTTTTGAAGTCAAGCAGAATGGAGAATCAGCAGGGGATCAATAAGGTGGTTGCTTTCGACAAATTCACATGGAAGATTGAGAATTTCTCGAAACAAAACGCCACCAATCTGCGCTCCAAGCCCTTCAAAATCTACGGTTTTAAATGGTACTCACCTTCTTTCTGGACTGACCAAATTAATAATGCTTCAAATTTATGATTTATCTCACCCTAATATTTTGATCCTCCTTAATTAATTAATTTCCTTCCTTAATCTTCACATACAGGAAGATCCATGTGCATCCGCTGAGGAGGGACGTGGACCATTTTTCTGTGTATTTGACGGTTGCGGATTCATTACCGCCATATGGATGGAGCAGAAACACACATTTCAAGCTGGTCCTCGTTAATCAGATCGACCCCAACAAGTCCGTCATCAAGGGTAGCTCTCTGTCTGTCTGTCTCTCTCTTCGTCAATCTTGTTGGTTATTTTTCATAACTCCATATTAATTATATGACAAATAGTCTGTCATTTTCTTTGAATAACCTAAACTATAATAAAATTTAATTTGATGAATTAATGATAGTATTTTATCAAGATACTCTTGACTTGAAGATCTCTTGAATAAATTATTGGAGTAGGTTGAGAAATTAACGAAAAATAACAAAAGAATAATGCTTCCTTTTAAAACATTTTATAGGGACAGGTATTTTTAAATAGTATGAAACTCCAAAATAACAATTGCTATATCGTAATTAAAAAATTTTATATAAAGAAGATATTGTAAATGATCACTAATATTAAGAGAAGCAATCTCAAATTAATTTCCTTGAAATAAAAAGCAGTATTCCTTGTTTCCTTTAAAAGTTGAACGTTATTGCGGTTAATTGCCATGCGCATTTCGCATTTGTGCTTCCTTAATGACTTTGCTTTTGTTGGCTAACAATGAGTTGTTTAGATGAGCAAAGAGAACATAGCCTAATTAAATAGATTTAGTATCCTTTTATTTAAGATTAAAAAATAAATAATTTTCAAGTAGTTTAGAGATTTTATAAAAAAGATTTATTTTATAAAGATTTTATAAAAATCAGATATTATTTTTAAATTTTATAATATTTTCCTTAATTTTTATTTTATAAAAATAATTTATTATTTTATCATTTTAAAATTTTATAATATATTTATGTATTTATCTCTTTAAAACATTCTCTTTTATCTATCGCATGAGATTATTTTTCAAAAGCTACTCAAAGTAGCTTTTTAAAATAATCATAAATATGCTTTTTTTATTCAGATTATTTTTAAAAGTTTAAACAAATATCATAAAACTTATAAAATAGATTTTTTTAAAATAAGTGATTTTTTAAAAAAATAAGTTAAAACAAATGGACCCTTAAAAGCACGGTAACTGATCTCTTACATAGCAGTATAATGTTGGGATTTTTTTTTATTCCAACAATCTTGGGATATTTGCTAATAATAGATTTAAATGTACGTTTTTAACACTTCCTCGTTTTCCTATTTTTTTCTTTAAGAATACATTGATTAAGAATTACTATGTAAAAATTATTTTCCAATTTTTAAAAATTTAATTGAATTTATTTTATTTATTATCTCCATAATTATCTTTCTTATTCCATAATTAAAGTTGATAAAGATAATATAATAATTACAACAACAACAATTTATGTTGATCTCGAACTTTAATAAAAACATTTTCCCCCAAATTACAAGACAGTTAAAAAGAGGAGGAAAATTTTGGGATATTTGCCATCATACACCTACTTCGGCTGATACATAAATGCGCTTTGATTCCCCAGAAACACAGCAGAAATTCAAAGGAGGACATCGTAGCTGGGGCTCATTCTTCGTCACTCTCAAAGACTTCTACGACCCCAAACAAGGATATCTCCTCAAGAACACATGTATCATCGAAGCCCACGTTTGTGTTCCCGACGTTGTCCCCAAAATTCAAGCCACCAAAACGACCAATATCCTTCCAACAATAGAAGGTGAACAACAAAGCACAGAACCCACCATACAGAACGAAGATCAAACAACATCAGATCAATATTCCGACGAAATTAGCGACAGACCTAGTTCCCTGACTAGCGTGTCCAGCCATCCAGAGCTTGACGAAGTCCAATGCTCAGATTTAACTCTACGAGACCTCATAGATGTGAGCAGTTTTGGACCAGATGAAGCAGCTTTCGTCCCTTTATTGGAAGAAGCATGCACGTGGCATCCTCAACTGATATCCTCACAAAGGGACAGAACTCGCTGGTTCAAACTATGGGCATTCACGTCTTTAGGCCAAGTTCTGTACTTTCTCAAGACAAAACGAGTTAAAGACATGGACGAAGATGGGTGCAAGTACCTTCAAGGTTTATGGGACGAGCTTGTGAAGTCGTCTGGGTTTAACTTGAGCTGGCTAGAGCCTTATGTTCAATCGGCGTTGAGCGCGAAGAGTAATTTGGTAAAAGCCGAGGAAGTGGAGAAAGCTACGCGGAAAGTGACTGATTTGGAGATTAGAGCGAAGAAGCTGAAGGGAGAATTGGCTGTTGCTGAACTGGAGCATGAATTAGCAAGAAGAGAGTTGGTCGAAATCAAAACAAGTTTCCATGAGTTGGATTTGAACGCTGGATTAGATTATGCCATGTTTTAACACACACACGCACGCACGCACGCACGCACATATAGGAGCTACCGTGCGCTCATGAAGATGGTAGTGGGACTCCGCGTAAAGATGTTGAAGGTTGACACTTGGATTATTAAAAATGTAATTAATATAATAACCGCGTAAAGGTGTGAGAATGGACGAGATTAAGGTTCTTTAAAAATGTGTAAATAATTCTGTCTATATTGCTGATTGCTTCCGCGTTTCGACTCTTTCATTTTTTTCGTTTTGTTTTGGTGGGACGACTCTTTCAGCTTATATTAAAAATATGATTAAATATAAGATACCCTCTCCAATGCAGTATATTTTCATGCCGGAAGACTTACTTATGTCACAAGGTTCTAAACAAGTGATCGGCTGTAATCATCAGTCATGTTAGGAGAGAGATTTACAAAATTATTTTCGACAATAAATAAAGAAAGTGCAATGACGATTTTGAATGCAACGAACTTTTCAAATATTCAGTTCATGCAGAAACCACATTTCCAAAGTTCCAAACTAGTTATTTGAAATTCATCTGAAGTTCGTTAACATTAAAAAAAACAGTTAGAGTAACAGACCGCAGAGAGCAATAGAGGCCAGGATATTCTTTAAGTGAATAGATTAAAGCTGGTTTCTTATTCCTTGAAACTTTAATCGAATAGATCTGCTTAACGTGTGCTGGCGTTGAAATTTCTGAGCAGCTTCATTGCAATTTACACATTCTAATCCAGTCCATGAGTTTGAGTTGATTATTAATTGTGCTATCTGTCTTTTTCCAATTTTCAGGTTGACTTTTGAGATTCAACGACCTACTCTCGATCGCTAGCGTGTTTCTCCGCTTCTTCTCTTAGCCAGTGGCAAGCAAAAGGGTCCATTAATCTTCAACTCATTCGTTCTTTAGCTTCCTTCATCAACTGGGATTTCCGTTCATTAATTCTTCCAAATTCCACCGAGTTTAAACGTAAGTGTCTATATAAAGTTCTGGCATTCAATCACAATACTCTTAGTTATATTTTACATATACATGCAATACGCAGATAGGTTTCAAGCTTTTGACGCCATCAATTCTCAAGTATCTATCTTTTTTCTTGGTGGGTGATAGCGAGGATGGAGAACCAGCAAGGAAAGGGCATCGTTTTCAAGAAATTCACGTGGGTAGTACAAGATTTCTCGAAAAACAAGACCAAGAAACAACGCTCCAAGGCTTTTGAAGCTGGTGGTTGTAAATGGTAGGTACTTGTTGAATTTCAGATCTGCTAGTTAGTTTCCTGCTTTCCCATGACTAATCACTAGAAGAGATAAAGTTCTAAGTCAGTCAATAATTTCTGCAATGGCCAAATGATTTATTAATTATGATTACCAGACAAGTAATTAACAACATGCGCCTCAATCTCAGGCGAATCCTTGTGAATCCAATTGGGAAGGGTGAGGAATATTTGTCCTTGTTTCTGAAGGCTGCAAATTCTTTACCATTATATGGTTGGACCAGATATGTCTATTTCAAGCTGTCTCTCGTCAATCAGATCGACAGCGAGAGGTCCATTTCAAGAGGTATATATTCGTGTCGTCTAAATTCAGTTCGGCTTTTATTATGCATTTCTCTTTGTTTTCTTGTGTTCTCAGAAACTATGATCATGATGGGAAACCTGCATTTTTCTTCACGGAACACTCGAAATTTTCAAGTGAATGACGCAATTAATATTGGATATACAGCCGAGTTCCCCAGCAAAATGTGCTCAGTTCAGCTTCCAAGAGATTTGGCTTTAATCAACTATGTCAGATATAATTAATGAGTTTATGTTGCCATTAGTAGAATTTAGAACAGCTAAGAATGTTACTGCATGCTTCAAGTTATTACTTATTAACATGTGTGTTTCCTTTTCAGAGACTCAACAGAAGTTCAATGCAGGACATAGTAGCTGGGGTGCATCATTCTTGCTTCTCAGTGACTTCTATAATACCATAAAAGGTTATCTTGCGAACGATTCATGCATCATAGAAGCTCAAATATCCGTCTCATATGTTGCTTTTAAGATTCCAGACAAAATCAGTAACCAAACACACGAGGAACAAGACAAAACAGAAGAATCCACAGAACAGCTTGAAGATCATCAATGCATATATTTCTCGGATGGGACGCCTAGTTACAAATCCTCTGATGAATACATATGGAATCAGTCAAGTCAAGCAGAATCAGAAATCCCACAGAAACAAGAAAAACAAGATATTGTTGGGGCACCAGCTGAGACACCAAGTCCTAATAAACCAGGGCATTATGAACCAACTGCTCCGCCTTTATATCCTCGTGTAGATGTATCACCCGTGGAAATACCCTTAAGCCCTCTTAGTGATCTTATAGATTATCAGAGTTTAAAGCCAGAGGAAGTAGGTTTTGTTCTATTACTAGAGGATGTTTGTTCACGGAATCCTTCACTGATAGAGAGCCAAAAGAAGAGAAGTCCCAAGTTCACACACTGGGCATTCATAGCTCTAGGTCAAGTTCTGCATTTTCTGAAGACTACGAAGGCGAAAAATATGGATGAATCTGCTTGTAACTACTTCCAAGGTCTATGGGAAGAAGTTCAGTTATTTGGATTTGACTTGACTTGGTTGGAGCCTCATGTGCAGTATGCCTTGGGAATGAAGGATTATTTGGAAAGGGCAAAGAAAGTGAAAAAACTGGAGGAGGAAGTGGTTGCTTTAGAGAATGAAATGAAGAAGCTGAGGGCATGTTTGGCAGCCACGGAAGTTGACCTTAATATAGAAAGGAGACACTTGAGAGGGGAAGAGAAGGGATTTGAGGAGAAAGACGTGGACGCTATATTGGACTATGGCATAATTTAGATTTGCACTGCACGATAATTACGGATACGGGTTAATTTTCCCATGGTATTATTTGGTTTTTAATTTTTGATTTTTGGTCTTTATTGATTTCTTGTTATCCAATTAATCTTAACTAAATGTATTAAAAAAAAAACTCAAACTAAGTATGAATTCATAATCTCTGTTTTTTTCCCTCTCCAAAGCAGTTGTATGCGACTACGTAGCATAAGTCATCTTCTTGAGCTGATACAGGCAATAAGAGCACCCAACTTTTTTTTTTATATATATAATAATCAATTATCCTCACTAATTTCCTTGATTTTTAAATGAATAAAATATTTTTTTAAAAACCACGTTAATAAAAAATATTATAAACATGATATTTGTGTAATGAGTAAGTCGGTTAGATATAATAGATTATGAAAATAATTGATTAAATAATAAATTTTAATCATAATTAATTATGTTATAATTCAATCTGTTTGAATACTATTTTTTTAAAATTAATTTTAACATAATTGAAGAGTTTGGATAATTTATTCATAATTAATTTTAACTGTATAAATTATTATAAAAGATATTGCTTTTCAAAATTAAATTATTGTTAAATTTATATCTAATATTTAAAAAATAAAATATATTATTTAAATTATATATATGATTAATTATAAAAATTTAAATTATATTAATATTAATAATTTTAATTTACATAAATAAATAACTTCAATATATCTTAGTTTAAATAAATTTAATAAAAGAGAAAAATTTAATTCTTAAATACCAAACATCAATTTTACAATAATTAATGAAGATGATAATATACAAGTCGATCTTTAATGATATCACAAATATAAACTATATTTGATAAAGATGTTAAGCACTGCTTAAAAATTTGGCAACAAAAAAAAAAAGCAATATAACAAATAACACAAAGCCTCTCTCTGTGAACTTTTACAATAATTTTTATAATAACCTTTAATTTTAAATTAAATTAAATTAATTTTCATCTACCAATTATTATTTTATTTAAATTTATAGCAAGTGGTAAATGGTGGTTGGCAGAAACTTATACTAATAATTTTATTAAAAATTCAAACTTTGAATTTTATTGAGAAAAAAAAGAAGAGAAGAGGGTTTTATTTTATTTTCATTAAATTTTATATGCTTTTTTTTATTTTTTTTAGGCTTTTTATGTAATTTTTTCACATAACTTTGTAATTAAAAATGCAGAAGCTGAATCTTGCAGCTTGGGTAAAATATCGACTTTTTCCCAAAAAAAATTTTTTTTGGATAATTGATGTTTGGGTCAATTATGCTTTAATTCATTTTTTTGTCCAAAAAATTGATTAACTCCTCAATGCAAACAGGCACTAAAGTGAAATTATTCCTCTACTTTCCTCCCTAAGCAAACCGCATTAGAATTCATTTTCTCATTCATCAACCAAGCCAAACAAGTAATGAAATGTTACAATGCTTCGTCCAAATTTCTTTATCTTCTTCTTCCTCGCCGAACGCATCATCACATCTTATACGGCGTCACACAGTGATAAGCATTATGTTTATTGTTGCGGTAATATATAATCTATTTTTAAGTGATAAGTAAAAGATTTTCGTAAAAAAAAAAAGTGATACGTAAAATATTATTGTTATTTTAATTTTTTCACTTATTTAAATAAAAATATTTAAACATAATAAAATTAGATTAACTTCACTAAATTTAAATTTAATCGTTCAGGTTTGTTAATATCCCATCTATGCTCATCATTTGGCATAAAAAAAAAACTTATGCCATCATTCTTAACTAGCAAGATATTTGTTCCCGTGAATATTTTCCTTATTTGTCTTTGGAAAATGACAATTAAAAATTTCATAAGACTATTAATTATAATTAAAAATTTTAAATTATTGTAATATCAATAATAGGTCATCGTTCTTATTTAGAATTAAACATATATATAAATTTATAAAATTATTTTTTAGTATTAAAATTATTATTATGGATTGAAACTATTGTTAATTTTAATTGAAAAAACTAAGATCCATACATGAGAATTTGATTGACAATAGTTCCAACATAATAATAATTTTAATAGTCTCAAACTATAATATTTGGGATCTTGGTTTTTTAATTAAAATTAACAATAGTTCTAATTCATGAGAGTAATTTCAATAATGTTTTTTCTTGATTTTTCAAGTGACTTATCTATATATTGACAAATATAAAAATTTTAGAAATAATTTTAATAAATTTTTAAGTGATTATTGTATATTTATAAGTACCTTTTGAAAATTTTATAAGTGAAATTTTATTTTATATTGAAAAGCAACTCATTCCTGAGTGTGAATCTTGATTTTCCATATTAAAACTAACAATAGCCCCAACTAAGGTTGTTAAACTTATGAGTTTAAGTGAACTCATAATATGGATGTAAATTTAAAACATAAACTCAGATTATAAACTCATAAGAACCTCTATTAATAAATATTTTATAAAAGTACATAATTAAATAATTAAAATATAAAATGTGACCATAATTAAATTTAAATAGATTTCAAATATAAATGATTAAAATCAAATCTATCTACACTCATAGATTATTATGCTCAATATAAAAATTTCAAAATATGGCAATTTTTTTTGGTATTTTTTGCTTTATTTTTTATTGATATTTTTTTTAGTTTTAGTTTCAATTAAAATGGATCCTACTGCTTTTCTAAATTAAGTTGTAAACGATATATACTTATCTTGCTTAACGAGTTTATGAGTAGATTAGTATGATTTTATAAACTAAAAATTCAAAAACGATAAACTTGAAGAGTCAACTCATAAATTTTATCTAATTTAAATTTATAAGTGAGATAATATGATTTTATAAGTTATAAACTTACGAATGATAAACTCGTAAAATCACCTTGAGAGTTTGATAATAATGGTCTCAACCCATCATAGTAATTTCAGCATTTTCTTTTTTTTATTTTTCAATTGAGAATAATTTTATAAACTCATATATATTTTTAATTTCAAGTAGGATCATGTTTGTTGTTAGAATTTCAATAATTTAAATTTTTAATTGTAATTAATAATTTTATGAGACCTTTAATTGTCATTTTTCTTTTATCTTTTCGGCGTCTGGTGCGATGCTTGTGCTTTCGTGTATATTTGGATTAAAAAATTTGTAACTGAGGTTAGGATTCAATTGAAGTTAGCAAACTAAGGTTAGGAAAAATGTTTGTAATTTTAACGTGATTTTTATTTGAATACTTTTTTTTTAAAATCAGTTTAGAAATATAATGATAAAAAAGGACATAAATTTTATTATATATTTTTGTGATTAATTTAGGTTTTTTAAAAAAATATTAAACTTTGTGATTAACCAACATTTTGTTTTAAAAAATCAAACTTTAAATTATAATTTTATTTTAAAAAATAGAGTTAAGAAATCTAAAATAAATTAATATATATTAAACAGGTTAATCAATTGGAGATTCTTCTTCAACCTCTCTACTGCTTTTGTTAGTGAAAAATAAGAAAAAGCTTTCCCTCTCACACTGAATGTTGATGCAGAAATAAATAATAATAGAAAATTTAAATGGATTAAATGGTTCCAACGCTGCTCAACACCGATGCAGGAGTTATGAAAATGAGCTTTGAGAAAAAAATTCATTTGAATCTTAATTTTAGTTGAAATTTTTTTTTCAATTCAAACATAATTTTTATTTTGTAATGAGCTTTTATTAAGATTTGGGCCATTTCAATTTTAGTTTGAAGTTAATCCAAACATAGCCTTCGTCCTCTTGGCTTGCTGACTCGTCTTTTATACCTCTGACTTTCTCCGCCCTCCGCGGTTCCCCCTTGCGTAGAAACTCCCCAGCTCCGGTATGTCTCTTTCTGGTAACTTTGTTGCCTACATCCTTACTTATTCTTGCTGTTTCGTTATCGTGACATCCATCATCTAGTTCCCATCTGACTCAGAGCTTCCGAGTTTGAAGCTGTCATTGTGTGTGGGTGTGGGTGTTCACTTTTTGGATTCTGGATTCTACTTTGTTGATGACGCTCTGTTTTGGGAGATCAGATTTCATATACGTATTCTAATATTTAATGTGCTTTATGTTGTGTTTCTTTGAGTCTGAGTTTTCGTGTTTCTTCATTCAGGGCTGAACAGGGGGCCGAGAATAGCTTCACCACAAATTATTCTGTTAAGGTTCGTAAATCATCATTTTAATTTTTTATTTTTCTAAATATGGAAATTTAATGGGTTTACTTTTCAGTTTTACCGTTGCCAACCCCTAAGGCATGTTGTATCATTTTAATTTTTTATTTTTCTAAATATGGAAATTTAATGGGTTTACTTTTCAGTTTTACTGTTGCCAACCCCCAAGGCTTGTTGTATATTCCAGTTTTGGTGTAGGAATTGGTGGGCTGCGCATAACTACAAATGGATAATAAACGAACAAGTCATTTGCCCAGTGAGAAATTCACATGGAGAATTGAAAACTTCTCTAGGTTGAACTCTGTTAAGCTTTACTCCGAGACTTTCATTATGGCCGGTTATCCATGGTATTTCCTTTGGTTGGAATTTACTGAATGTCTATGTCCTCTCTGACATTATTTTCATGTGTTTTGAATTTGATTTTATTTTGGCTTGCTATCAGGAGAATTCTCATGTTTCCTAAGGGGAACAAAGTGGACTACTTGTCTTTATATTTGGATGTTGCGGATTCCATCAATTTACCTGCTGGTTGGTCCAGACATGCATGTTTCAGCTTGGCTGTAATTAATCAAGTAAGCGTGAAGAAAACGGTCAAGAAAGGTACCTTTAGTTTGGGAATTTCTTTTCTCATCTGCCATAGTCCGCTTTGGTTTTGTTATCAAGTTTTTGGATGGAAGGTGTGTTTCTTAACATGTTTTATAAAGAAGTATTGGATTGAATCTATTTGCATTCCCAGTAGGTGGTATCATGGTTAACACCTGACAGCCTTATTTGCCATTTAATATAGTAAGTAATGTGCTATTCAAATTTTTGCTACACCCACCCTTCAATTCCTGTCTGGCCTATTTCTATCATTGTCATCTTTAGTGGTGTAATCTACCGTCCCAGATGATTGTCATTTAGAAGTGCTGGAAAATTGAAATTATCTGATGAAATCTGTAATCACGAGTGATATAGTAATTAAGCATATGAGATTGAGAATCTACTGAGTACTGACTGAATGAATGCTATTTAATTTAACAAGGTTCACCATTTAGCTCATTTGGTTCAATGGTGCCCGAATAAGATAAAATCATTAGAAGTTCATTTAATCGAGCAAATCTGCTGTTGGGGAGCTGAAATATTTCACGCTACTGCTGATTCATGTGCTTAAAAGTTAAGACAACTAAAACTTGCGCTCTCTAGCCATACCTTTCTATATCATTTTCGATACTACTATAGTAACTGAGAGTTGGGATTCCCATGTTCACTAATATGACACCAACTTAGTAATCATATAATGTCAACTCTTTTTGGACACAATTGACTCTTGAACCTTCATGTTTGAATTTTGCAGAGACTCATCATTTGTTCAATTCAAGAGACAGTGACTGGGGCTACACATCATTTATGCCTCTAAGTGAACTTTATGACCCTAGGAGGGGTTATATCATAGAGGATACATGTATAATTGATGCTGAGATTTCTATTCCCAAGTCTGGAAAAGAGAATCAAGCAGCTGGCCCGGTATCCCTGGAATCTGGAGATCAAACTGGACAAATGGAAGTGGAAAGTTCACTGCAAGATCGAGAGCGAGAAATGAAAACTCCCCCACTTTCTGCATGTGTTTCCGTTGAGCCTGCGCAGCATACTGGTAATCCTTCATTGCCTGCAGGACTGACCTCAAACCCAATGGATGAGCTTGTGGATTTCTGGGGTCTTGGGAAAATAGAAAATGTTTTTGTTCCACTCCTGGAGGAAGTATGTTCGAAGCACTCATCACTTATTGAATGTCAGCGGAAGAGAAGTCAACGATTTGTTGAATGGGCGTTCACATCTTTGGGCAGAGTCCTACATTTCCTGAAGACTAAGAGGGTGAAAGACATGAATGATGAGGCTTGTGAGCATCTTCAAATTTTAGGGGAGGAACTCGAGACTTTCAGATTTGATTTGAGTTGGCTGGAGCCTCATGTTCAATCAGCCTTAGGCATGAAAAACTATTTGGAGAAGGCAATGCGGGTGAAAAAGTTGAGGGAGAATGTGAGTGCTCTGGAGATGGAAATGAAGAGGCTTAAAGCAAAGCTTGCTGCTGCAGAGATAGATCTTGAAATAGCAAAAAGAGACTTGGTGCAAGCAGAAGAAGGGTTCGAAGAGAAGGATCTGGATGCTGAACTAGGATATGGGAGGCCATAAACCGCAATTTAATTCCATCTTGGTAGTGCGTTATCATGAAGAAACGCATCAGAGTTTGATGTGTACTAATATATCTAGAGTTAGATGCGGTGACTAAAATGTATCCGTGTAAATTGTATTTGAAAATTCCTGTGTTGTAATGAGGTAACTACAATTATGTGTCATTGTTTGTAATTCTAAGATACAAGGGTGTGTCATGGCATTAGCATCTTCATTCTCGAATCCGGAAAATTAAGTGTGGGATCTGACCGTGATCTCTGTTGCTAGTGAAAATTCCAGCTTACTGGGGTAGATATTCATGATACAAACTAGCAAGTATTTACCGATGCTAGTCATGCTTCTTGCCCGCAGGTTTTGTATGCGAGACTTCGGTTATGCTACGAGGTTCTAAGTGGAGGGAAATTAATCAGAAGTGTTAGTTGAGGAAGAATTTCAAAATATTTTTAAAAAATGTCGATAGTTGAGTAAGACAAATTTGGTACTTGATGAACTGGAAAGCAACCTACAGTTGACTTTCTATCATCGTCATTTTGGTCGTCATTATGATATATACGGTGTACGCAGAGATGAAACGTTCTAATCAATCTTACAAAACTCAACTAACTTCGAAGATCTGATATCACAAGTTTATTAATTTAAAAAAAAAAAACAAAATAAAGTAATAGAGCACAAAGAGGAAGGCAATTTCCAATACATTTAGCAAGTAATTGATTTAAACTTTTTATTACGATCAATTTGGAATTTCTTATGAGATTGACAGCGGATACCCAGTTGACTTTTTAGGTGGGCACGTTTGCCGCAGTCCTCCTAGTTTGTCTGCAACAAGTTGTATTCTTTATTCACCATCTTTTGATTCTATCAACCATTCTTACTTTCTAGGGTTTCAAAATATTCATTGACTTGTTCCTCTGGGTTTGCATGATAGCTATTGTACTGGAAGATCATCTGAGAACTAATATTGCTTTTCATAGATTCACTTGGACAATTCAAGATCTCTCAGAGAGGATAACCAAGGAACTACGCTCCCAATCTTTCGAAGCTGGCGATTGTAGATGGTACTTACTTGGTGAATTCCCAATTTTTATATATATATATATATATATATCTCGCTTTGTGTGTGTGTATTTAAGTATGAACTTCTACTTTCCTTCACGTGATTTCTTAAGCATTCGATGTGGGTCGTTTCCCAATGCTCAGGCGAATCGTTGTGAATCAAGTAGAAAGGAACGGGGAGCAATATTTGCGAGTGATTTTGAGGGTTGCAAATACTTTGTTACCATTGAGATGGAGAAAATTTGCTCGCATCAAGATGATTCTTGTTAATCAGATGGATCGGAACATGTCCATTGAAAAGGGTAATTTATCTTTATTATTTCTCACTTGAAATTGTAATGATGTTGTCTTTAGATCAATCTCTTGATTCCCCCCCCCCCCACCTTATAACTGTACATTTGCAGAGACTGAACAGAGGTTTAATGCCGGATATAAAGCCTGGGGTACACCATTCGTGAATCTCAGTGAGTTCTATAATACTACGAGAGGCTACCTTGTGAACAACACATGCATCATAGAAGCGGAACTATACATATCTCATGGTCCTTTTAACCTTCAAGACAACGCAAGGACTCAAAATGTTGTCCAAACCCATGAATCTCCGACAAACATGGAGGTAACAACACAGCTTGGAGATCAAGGAATAGATTCTTCGGATGACACCTTGAGTTTCACATCCCTAGAGTCTACATGGAATCATGCCAGTCAAACAAATCTAGAACTCCTAGAGATGGAAGATCAAGTATCTGCAAGTCCTTCCAACGGGAATCATAGTTTTACAGAAGTGTGCTCTTTACATAGGGATCGCCCTTTGTATCCTACCATAGATGATGAACCTGAGGGAGTGCCCTTATCCCCTCCTCTTAGTGAGATTATAGATTTCAGAAGTTTAGAAGCAGAAGAACTGGCTCTTGTTCCATTGCTGGAGGAGGTGTGTTCATGGAAACCTTCACTGATTGAGAGTCAGAGGAAAAGAACTTCAAGGTTCATTCGCTGGGCATTCATAGCTTTGGGTCAAGTTCTATATTTTCTCAAGACAATGAAGGTGAGAAATATGGATGATGAAAGTACTTGTAGGCGGCTCCAGGGTTTGTGGGAGGAGCTTCAGATATTTGGTTTTGACTTAACTTGGTTGGAGGTTCATGTTCAATCTGCCTTGGGTATGAAAGCTTATTTAGACAGGGCAGAGCAAGTGAGATCACTGAAGGAGAAAGTGGCTGGTTTGGAGATTGAAATGAAGAAGCTGAGGGCTAATTTGGCTGTTGCAGAAGTTGAAATTAACACAGAAAGGGAACGCTTGGCAGATGAAGAGAAGGGTTTTGAAAAGATTAACATGGATGCTCAACTAGGCTATGGCATGTTTTAGACAATAATTTAGTTTTATATTGTTAGTTAGCTGAAGGCTCTAGGAAAGGCCTGCCATGCTATGAATTGATCCGTCTCTTTGATCAGCAAACTCTCCTTCAATATCTTTCCTACTCTTATCCAGTTCTCATTAACTTGAATTTATCCCATTGACCTGGCTTAATTCTTATTATAATACTTCAAATTATCTGTTTGCTTTAATTTAATTATTGGATATTTAATTTATTTTTCAATTTGGATTATATTTATTAAATAACTTCATTCAATATTTTAAAATAATCCCTTAATTTTCTTCATAGTATTTGAAAATGATTCTTCTGCTAAGTTATCATTTTATATATTAAAAAAAATAAGGGCTAATCTAAACTACTCGCATTTACTTTCCAGCCAAAAAAGAAAAAATTGAAAAAGAACACAAAACTTAAGGGCTGACTCATTCAATGGCCAGTAAAGAAAGGGCCAACCCACACATAGGTTGAAGCTTCCCATAGATTTTACATGAACTCTCCCCTCAGTGCTGAAGCAGCTCTTTTGATGGCTCTGGCAACCCTCCAGATCTCATGTTGAATATCTGCCTGCCCTTCTTTTTCACCACTTCTGGCCGAGCAAGCGATAGAATCAGCAACTCCGGGGAAGAAATCCATCATACTTTCATGATCTCTTGGAGGTCCAAACACCTTTGCAAGAATACACATAATCAGGTTTATGATTAAGAATCTTTGAAAATGACGTCTAATGAAAGTAATGATCATGGATAGGGGGATATGATCCTCGTCCCCGATCTTGTAAAGATATATTTTCCTCATTTACAGACCTATATCCCAGTTCAATAAATTTAGTTGTTAAACTTAATCCCTTTCCAATACCTAGTTGCGAGTCTAACTACTCTGGATAGTGAGCAGCTACTCATCTGAAACTTGAGATACAGTCAGGGCTTTCAAGGGGTAATAACTAATTATCCAGTAGATTGCCACTATGAACCAAGATTATGATGGGACGTATGAAAGGTCCGGGGCCTGTCCTTAAGGGGTAATAACAGATTCAGTTTTGGTTTGTATTATGTGGTTTGACATCTGCCTATACCAGTCTAGCAGTCAGGGTAAAACATATTTTTCAAATCGATCCATCCATACTATTATAGTTGAAACAATGATGAACACGAGTCAAGGTTTAGAAGGCAACACACTCACAAGATGCTTGAACCAGTTCCTTTCTCTAAGCCCATCTGGATCCAGGAAGCCTTTTTCAGCAAGCATTAATCTATCATTTAAAGCTCGCCTTTTTAAATGCATGGAACAATCAACGGTTTCTTGCAATCTCAGTGCCTGCACTTCAAAACAAAGATGCATAACTAGATAAGAGACAATAAATAAAAAATAGGAGCAATCATAGCAGCTTTATATAGTAATCAAATCAATAGGGTACTATCGCTTTACATTTAATTCATCATCAAATTCTTCGACAGCTGATGCAAAGTCTTGTATCGAGGCAGTTAATGGGTGCAGAGAGATTGATTGGTCTAAAAAGTTGCTCAGCCTGTTCTTGTACACCTGGCCAAAACAGATGAAAGTTACACAATCCATTAAGATATATGAATGTTACAGCAGAAATGAGGGAAGTGTTTACTCTGCAACTCCAACATCACTATAACTTATTTCACGTTGCCCCAATCTCTCTCTCCCCCCCCTCCCCACCCAGCAAATTTCATTTGTTCTTCCGTAACGGATGAAAACCACTATTTATTGTGAACTAAACCTTGTGCACCTAATTGTGAGCATCCCATCCCATGATTTCAAGCTTTTCTTTTTTGTCATCTGTTCAAGACTTCAAGGTAATCAATCATGTGCGTGCATGCGCACGGCATGCACATTTAATTCACGAAATCATTGTTTAATTATTTAAGGCTAGTTGATATCTATGTTCTAGAAAGCTCAAAACAGGTTTCAAAAAGTTGTGGCCTCAAAAATAGCACCCAGTAGAAAATAGTAACGCAATTAAGTTTTGGAGTAAAATCTCGTAATTGACTCGACTATATAATTTCCTTTCCTGAAAGCCATGATTTAGCAAGAAATATCAACTCAGTGAAGACGAAAACATACCTGTAACTGATCTACATAAGAGTGGTAATTAAAAGGAAGAATTAGATCATCAGCCAGGTGAAGTGCTAAAAGTCCCCAAACTCCAGTTACTAATCAACATGGAACAGAAAAGAAAAATCATCTTATGTTTCCAATTTATTGATGGAAAAAATTCATATCATATTAACAGTAAGTAGAAAAGAATCAGTCTAACCAGCCACATGGCGCAGAAAGAACGGATCTCCATATTGTATCATCCAGTCGTAGGAGTCAAAAGCAGTGTGATAGACAGGAAAATCTACAGAAAAAGTTCAATAATCTAAATTCATTTAACACCCAAGACTATCGGACAGATTATTCTCATTAGCATAAACAGCATGCCTGAGACAGAATTAGTTGTCATGTTACAATTTGATGGAACCCTGCTGTTCAACACTAAAAATACAGAGATAACAACAATAAAACAGCCAGCAGGTCAAGGAAAATGCTAAGGTTTGATATAATGATTCCAAAAGACTAAATCAGTGTTCCAAAGACACTCCACTGATTCAGAACCAACCCTATTCCCTACAACAACCAAAATATCCAACAGAACAGTCAGCACGCAATGCCATCAAGCATGCATTTTGATTTTCGAGAGCCAGTCTCGACTCTTTTTCAAAATACAAAATATAACTTACTTCTCCTAAAAGACACTAGTGACTACCATAATTTCAAAAGTATCTTGCACAATCTCCATCATCATTTTTTGCTAAGACAGACCTAAAAACTCCCCGCCAACACTAAGTCAGTATAGCTTTCCTTTTAAGAGTAAGAATAGCAAAGTCAGCATCCAGCCCCTCCTAAAGGTGCTGTTCCTTTTTCTTGCATTTTCCTATTTCTCCTCTTATAGGTTTGTAGCTTCTTATTTCTCCTCTTATAGGTTCGTGCAGCAAAAGAGATTCCATCACAATTCTTGCTTAAAAGAACTAGAGATTGATCATTACACTTCCGGCTCCCAAACTAACCTCTAACATGCACAAAAAAGCCAATAACAAAATAATATTACAGTGTATTAAAAATAATAATAATAATATTACAGTGCACAACCAGAGTAAGTGCCTTCATATGTAAAATTTCCCATTGGCTTGGCTTTTCAATCATTCACTTACATCGCTGGTTTGCTTTTTGAAAACATTTTTGTTCATATGAATGAAGTAATGTACCTCTTCCATAATATACATCAATAGATGGAACCCCCGCATGTTGCACAAAGGGAGCAAAATCAGAATCCAGTCCACTGAGCCTCAAAATCTGTAATCAACCAGGACAAACACTGGTAAGCAACAAAAAATATATTGCGCCAATTGCCTCACAGACTATAAATCTAAATTGGCACTACTAACTGCACAAAAGAGATAGTATGATAGATGAATTGAGAATATTTACTTTCTATGCAGACTCTGGTAAACAACTATATAATTGAAATGCTTTAAACATATCTAAACAAATGTTACATTAAATGCTATTCAATAGATAGAGGTAAAAGAAGCAGTACATTATAATTTCCACTAACAGCTGCCCAATTTTCATATACAGTTGTACTCGTGGAGTCAGGATCCTTGACCTGAATTTGACACACATTGTAGTTGATTTTCAGCATTAGTAAGAAACCCAAAGTAAACACAATGTATTGTGCCATACAGACCTTGAACCATAAAAAACGAAAATGATGTAAAAAAATAAATCTCCCACACCCTTCAGACTAATTTTTGAATGTTATAATACAATTTTTTCCTTGAGAAATTCATTAAATTTAAACTAGTCAAAGCAGTGAATTACAAAGGATGCTAAAGGGCTGCTCATCGACATTTAATTAAAACATGAAATACACACACACACACACACATTTATATACACAACTTACCTTTTTTGAAACCTCAAGGATGAGACTATCAAGCTGAGGAGTGGAGCTGGCAAAGAAACCAGATCCCTGCACAGCACAGTCTACATTTAGATATGCGATCGCTTTAGAACCAAGATTGATTAGGTTCTGTTCCACCCACTCAGTGGATCCAATCTACATAATTAAATAAACTTGATTAGAGAGCATGTTACAAGAATTGTTGCCATAATTGCAGTTGAGCAAACTGAAATGTGAGGATTTTTCCTCTACAGGAGCAACTGACAGTGCTAGGAAAAAATTTGAAAACATACAAGCATAAAGCCAGTCAAAAGCTGAAATGTCCAAGAAATAAAATTTCAGCAAGGCAAACCAAAATCCCGTTGACGAAGGCATAGACATTTAATTATTTGCCTTCATAAGTCCATGATAATCTCTTTTACCAGATTATTACAACAGAAGTAGAACTAAGGAAAATTAAAAGGAAGGAAAAATATTAAATTTACAGTCTGTCCATTTTCCGGAACCACAAAAATAAGTTCAAAAATGAAGATGAATTGCTGCCTACCATTCCAAACTCCTCTGCATCCCAACTACAGAGGATAATTGTCCTTCGTGGAGTCCACCCAATGTGCAATAGAAGAGAAAATCGCCGAGCAATGTCAAGTAAGGCTGCAGTCCCACTGCTGGGGTCTACAGCACCATAAGTCCAGGCATCCCTGTGGTTACCGAGCAGGACAAGTCTGTCGGGTTCTTCTGATCCCTTTATAACCGCAAAAACATTTTGAATGCCAACCACCTTCTTTTCCCCCTAAAGATCAGACAAGCAAGACATAATGAAGCAATGACCTAAGAACCAGCTTAATGACTCTTCTCTTTTCAACTTTACAGCCATATTTTCACTCCATGTCAGACATGCTAAGATATGCTTGATCTTCTATGCATGTTGTAAATGATAAAACATTGCATCTTTAGGTTCAGCATCAATGATATTTGAATGGCAAGAAGAATCATATCATTTACATCTTCACATATGTTATTATCTCACCCAATTCCTTCAATCATCAAATAAGCACTTTCTAGCATCTACAATGTTTCACATCAGGGGGAAAAAAAAAACCTTCTAGCTCAACCATAAAGGCGAAGACGTGAAGGCAAATTAGGCAACTTTCAGACTCATCATGACCCTTCACCAACTTCTCTTTTTATATTTTCCTCTCTGAATTATAAATTTAGGATTTCGAACTGTTCCAATTATCTCTCAGTCTAAGTGCCAAATACTCAGCAAAAGTCACTCACATACACATGCACGCATGTATCCTGCCCATGTACATATTTCCATATACATATGCCGTCAAATTTAGTGAACGTCTAAAGAGGTTATCCACAAAATATAACAACAAAGGACAAGGTCAAAAGTCAAAGACGCCTCTATAGGCTCCGACATAATAATAATAATAATAACAACAACAATTCGACCACTAAAATGAAGAAGATGAGACACAGACATACCCACACTCAGATGAAAGTCACAAAACTTAGATTCCAATATGGCTCAAATGATCCCATCACCAACCTGGTACGTGAAATTGAGCATTGTCGGGCCAGGACCAACATGCCTGAGTACCTTGGACCCTAGCGAACTCTTCCATTCCTGTGGCACCTCAGCGCCTACTAGTGAGTGCAAAATGGTCTCAGCAATCTCAGTAGAAAGGGGCATGGATGGAATTTTGGGAAACCTTTTCAAAACCTCACTATCTTCCAAATCCAAGCTCTCGCCGCCATCAACCCCAGCCCACCCAGGGCTTAGTGGGTCCCCAATGCCTCTCATGACATGTCCCCTCTCAAACCCATTTCCAAACCTGTCCCCATCGGTATATATTAGCACCGCCACTGCACCGTACGTCTCCGCCTTCTCCACCACGGCGCCTCTGGTCAAACCGCTGCCTTTCCTCGCTAACACTATGCATCCGCTAACGTTCACTCCTAGCACCCTCAGCGCCCGGTAATCCTCGTCCCTCCCATAATTCACGAAAACCGCCATCGCATACGCCGACCCAGATGGCGAGTAAGCATGGTATGGTGGCACCACGTCCTCGTCAAACTTATTGGATCGAACCATTTCACCCAAGGGAAACTCCGAGCAGGATCCGTCGCTAAAATGCGCGGAGATGGAGGAGTGGAGGGGATAAGAGAGGAGGGCTTTGTAGTTCACAGTGTGGGTCTGAAGGCCCAGGTCTCTGAAATGGTCGAGAACATAACGGGCGGTGTCGGAGCCAAGTTTTGTTCCGGCGAGGTGCGGGTGCAGGGTGAGGTCACGGAGGTAGGAGGCGATGGTGGAATTTGAGGAAGAGGAAAGGAAAACTTGGCGGAAGTGAGACGCATTATGGGAAGTGAAAGAGGGCGAAAAAGAGTGAGGGAAATACAGGGTATAAAAGCCCAGAATGCAGAGGATGAGAACCAGAACGAAGGCACCCAGAGGAGAGGGTTTTGCAGTGAACATGGTCTTCGGCTTTGACAAACACTGAACCATTTTCTGAATAACCTGGGAAGCAATGATTGGAGAAGAGAGAAAGGGGTCGAGTAGTGAGACTTGAGGGGAAAAAATGAAGAAGCAAAGCAGGTTTTGTTGAGAAAAGGAACTGATTTTCTGCGGCAGTTACTACTACTTTCGAGGAGAATGCAATGATGATGCATTTTGGATTTTTTCCCAAAAAAATATATGAGCGAAGGCTTTTTTCCTGTCTGCTTCATCCCACTAAAAAATGATGCTTGCTTTTTGGATGTGATCGGATCGCAGGGTCTTGCGAAAGCGTTCCGCGAAACCCAGCGCGACGATCCTATCGTTGCATAGAACAACTCCTGCTCCTTCTTCATTTGGAGTAGACTAAGATAATTTCGTCCAATCAGGATGTTATACTATAATTAGAGCATACAAGCTGATTATTAAAGTTAGGATTTGAATCCGAATCCTTAGTAATTATACGTCTCCCTGAAAACTACTCCCTCTGGTTTGTATGAAAAAGAGAGGAAAAACACAATATAAGATTTTATACTTTGATCTCTTTTTGTTTCTAGTTCTCATAATTTGATTTTATTGTTTTTAATCCCTTTAACTAGATCGGTTTCAACGTTGATTTTTCAAAATTGTACTAAAAAACTATGAACTTGTATTAGCAAAATTTGTTGACATATACTTATCTCTAATATGACTAAAAATAAAATATAAATGGAATTTTTTTTATATTTGATTTCAACAAAATGCAGAAGACGAAGATAATACTTAAAGCAAAGAAATTAATATAGTTCAATATATATAAGTAAAATTAACTCTATTGATACCAACTACGCGATTCTTACATGCATTTTTAAAAATTATATAATTAGCATTGCAAATGAATCAAACTAAAAAAAAATTGAAAACAATAAAATAAAATTATAAAGACTATAAAATTGCAATCAAAATATAAAGATATATTGTCGAAAAAAGAAAAACTCTCCACCTTACATCATCTTTAAAAAAAAATCTAAAAAAGGTAAAATTTAACACGTTACCACTTGATGAATTCTTTGTTTCTTTTTATATATATTGATATTTAAAAAAAAAAAAAGCAAAGTCGAAAAAAATATTATAATTAACATCTAATAAATTACCCTGTAGTAACCGGCTCATTCCTTTTCGAAGAAGAAAAACCCGAAAACGGTAACCAATTAAGCATAAAAACGCCTTGCTTCGAAAGAAAATATAAAACACGTGAACAACTGGAGTTTCACGTGAAGAAACCAACATCAGCGTAACTTCCTCCAGGCTCCAGAAACCATGCAAGTTTAGTACCCTTCGCTCAGCTTTCAAATGTTGAATATTCTAAACCGAGAATGTAGTTACGCGCATAAATAAATGAAAAGAACTAGAATGAGATTCAAAGTTCAATCAAATTACCTAGCCAATGAATAGCCATCTTGCATTAAATGACATGAAAGAGAGCAAACCTTCTCTAAGGGTCATACGTGCTGCCTTTAAAAAAAAAAACAGAGGAGGGGAAAATAGAACCTGTTTATTAAATTACATAAGATCCTGCGAATAAGAGGAAGTTGATTACCTCAGATCCTGCGAATAAGAGGAAATTACAGAGAAAGTTTTAATGGAAGAGAGTTGAGTAGCTCAGATACGGCGAATAATAGGAAAATATAGAGAAAATGCTAGTGGAAGAAAGTGGTAATGGTCTTTCATGAGGAAAAGGAGATGCATTCATTATTAAAATGTGAAGAGGTGGATGACAGCAGGAGGTTTGTCTTGTGTTCATGAACGGTGGGGATTTTAAGTCGCATTATAATTATGAAACTAAATCAGCACTTCCTGCCACTCCTCACATGAATATCTTGGTTATTTTCCAGGAACATCTTCTTTTATAGATACTAAGAATAAACCCAATTTGTGGCTACAAATCCATACTAAAGCAGCCCCCTGCTAGCATGGCTGAAGAAGCAGACGTGATAGCTATCGCCTTTTGATCGATTTTTTTATTCACCTCTGTCTGCTATATGAAAAAAGAATGAGAACCCATGTCTTGTTTGTTTCAGCCCTGTCTTTTTCATTTCCTCTAAGATCCAAGCCAAAAGCAGGGTAAGTGGAGAGAGCATTAGGCTCTCGAGTATCCAAAAATGTTAGTACACATCAAAAGATATATGCCAGCATAAACGTGTAATCATTATAATATCCTTTCACGGAGCAGAGGAACTCAAGGTAGACCCAGCTGTTCCCATAAGATTCTCAAAGTCCAAACACATGTCTCCACCTGGACTTCAAACCTGGACTTCAAGGATTTCCCCTTTTCCGGACTGAAAAAGGATTTACTACTTGCCATCTTGTTATTGGGCAGTGTCGTGTCAATTGCATCAAAATCACAGGCTGGGCCGCATTATTGATCCTTTATCGAAGTCCCTGTTATGAACATGTACAATAACAAAATGGTTGGAGAAAGATCCAGGGGCTTCATGCAAGGCCCACATAAGTAGATAAGCTCGGGTTTGGACTATGTGAAAGGGGCGTGATTATCGCTGAGTACTAGCACGGATTTATTTTTATTTTTTTTATAGGGAATTTCAATTTGCCACATAACTCGATTTCATTGACAAGAGAAATGAAAATCAAAAGGATTTAAAAGCTACAATTTTGACATGATAATGATCTTCTCAATACATCAGTGGTGCTATGGTCTCCACCGGGATGCAGACAAGACCAAGCAAGGTGGCGGGGATAAACATGAACTTACTGATTATTACCTTTCACTGTATCAACTCAAGTCAGTTCTGTAGCTCGATATGTTGTGCAGGCCAAGGCCACAAATTCAAAAGATTAACGACCTGACAAATGCAAAGAAGCAATAGACAAGTTTTGGGGCTCATCACTGACAAGAGGAAGCTGATGTAGTCCAAATTTGAGGTTGCGGGAAATCACGGTTCCGTATAACTTAATTAACCAAATTGGGAAGGCTCATGCAACAATGAAGGGGGGAAAAACAGCATCTTGTGCAGCCCGCATGACATATTCACAGTAAGCACTTGTTGTATTACATGAAAAATACCGATTTGTTTTCTAGAAAGGCTTTTACTGAGTAGGATGCAGGTTCAGAAGCATTTAAACTCCAACTATGGTATTGTGTGTGCCATAAACAGCAAAAAATAAACCACAGAACAGTACAATAAAATCCAAGGCTTTCTGCCAAAGATGTAGAGAAGAACCAAATAGCTTTAGGTGAAATGTGGCTGGCAAAACAAATGAGATCAATGCACACACAGTACTCCCCACAAATGAGGCAAATACGCCAAAAGCTGGCACGCATGAGGCCAAGATAGCCAACACAACCACCACAATTGCTCGACTTATATAGATCCAAGTCTTTCCTAATCTGGTTGTTGAATCATTATTGTCCCAGTGGCAAGGCCTGTAAAACCATTTGAGCCTTTTCAGCTTTCCCTCCACAATTTCATTAATAGGGTGGACCATGATTGGGAATGTGAACACCAACCCTAAGCATAATCCGATCTGTCATAATAGCAATTCGAGATCTCAATGAATAATCAGAAACAAACAATGTTAAGAAGATAAAATATGAAAGTTGGCGGCAAAAGAACTGTTAATTGGCTGCTTTATCTGCTACTTATAATGCTTAAAATTTGAAACATTTACCTTAAAAGTGGATTTCATAAACCATGTATAAGCACAAATCGATCATGTCTATGAATATAATGTGAACCACGCACACAGAGGCAGAGAGATACACATGCTGGCATACACATGCAAATACGCCGACTAAACAGATCACATGTACAACACAATTTAGGTGACAAGCCTAATAAATATCAAATACTAAATCATCTTCAAGAGCCAGCTGCTTCCGCTAGTGCCCTCAAAAGGATATCCAACCATTTCAATCGTATCCAACCAATCATATCTGATCGTAAGATATCTAGCCCGGTTGGTCTGCATTCTTGGAAAGTGGGAGACTGCAAGTCACTAAAATTTTCTCAAGATCTGATTCATGCAATGGTACATTTGCTTAATGACTTTTGCTCGTCTTTTGGCTTTTATCAAATAATATAATTTCAATGTTTATTCATGTCCAGGATACACCAGGAGCAAGATAACACAAGATATATATCATTATAAATCCAGAACCAACTAGCCGAGAAAAAGAAAGGGGGGAAATGCAGGATATTGATATGCTAAGTGAGAAAACCACGAGAGAGTAATACGTCAAACCAAAAGGGCAATACAACATTCCATAACTTAGTGTCTTAACCATATTACCTGTACTACCATAGATGACCAATTCCTGGGGAGATTGAGGGTCACGATATCTCTAGTTTCATCACCATAAGCCATGTAACCAAAAAACCCAAAAAGAATGTACACAAGTGTTATCCCACCAAAGGTCTGAGCCAGCAAGCTTGGGAACTTAGCCCTGTCCTGCATCGAATTCTCCAAGGCCAATGTCATCCCAAACCCTTCAAAACAAAAGACCGCCATGCCTCCTGCAAAAGGCAGTCCACCTAAATTGGATGTGATTGCAGTTCTCTGTTCAAATGAGAATTCACCCCTTAATGCTTGCCGTATATCTTCCTTCGCCACAATTCCCATCGCTAGGACATTGCAAATATCAGCAAAAATGCTAAATGGTGCTAAAGTAGATAAGCTCTTTATCCATGATAATCCAATTTCAACTGGCACTAACAAAAATATATAGGATGTGAATGCGAGACCGTGGTTTAGGAAAATAGATTGGAGGTTTTGGCCAATGAATACCAAATATGCAACGGAACCTCCACTCTGTGCTACCAAGATAAGAAATTCTGACAGATAACGACCAATGGATCCAAAGCTCTGATAGCCCAGATCCCCATACGTTTTTGCTTCGACTGATGATCCATCTGCTGCCAACTTCTCTCTGCACAAAACCTGTGGCAAGGAAAATTAAATGCAACTTTTCAATAACAAGACACTAGCTGACTTCCAAGGAAAGGACGGAAAGGTTCTCTCAGCTAATTCCTATAGGACCTGAGTCACAGAAATAGGTCAACTAGTTCCCGCAGAAATTAATCGTTCCCCAATTAACACCTCGGTGAATCAAACGTATTCAAACTTATGTGCTAGACCAATTTAAGAAGAAAAACTAAGAGAAGGGATGCTCACTCACAAGAAGGAGCATGCAATAGTAGGTGGTTATGCCAACGATAGAAACTCCCAGTGAACCAGCAAGCCAACCAGCGATCCGAAAAGCAAAAGGCAATCCCAGTACACCGGTACCAACTATAGAGACTATGATATTTCCCAGGGTTTGAAGCTTTGACGTTGTTCCAGAAAGAGGCGATTCCAGCAGAGGGGTTGCGTAGCTTTTTGTGTCTTGCTCCATCGTCTTCTGATCCTCAGCCACGAGTTAACGACCGCTCGCCGATCTGCCATGAATACCTAACTCTTCTCTGGATTCGAGTATTATTGGGGTTTGGGATTCAATTTTGGTATAAGAGATGCATTTTCCAAATCATGATGAATGGCCCTCTGGAAACAGGAAACCAGTAAAAGGAACATTTTGCTACTTGGTACACGTTGATTCTGGTAATTTGTTGGCACGGAAATTACCAGTTGCCGCCATTATGAGCCGCCATCCTGCTAAGGCGTTGCTTGAATCTTGAGGAGTTTACGTTCATGATATGACAATTCATAATACAGAATGAAGGAGATCAGAGATTCTTAATCCCGCTTTTCATTGACGGATCTTGCAAACGTTGGTCGGTTTGATTCGATTTGGTCTCAAAATGTATACATTTAATTGATCAAACAATATTAAAAATATAAATCGAATTGAATAAGGTTATCGAACTAAACAAATATTGAACCAATTTTTGATTAATTCAATTTTGAGTCAGGTATTTGGACTTCAACCAATTTTATTATTTTTTTATTAAAACAAACCAAACTTATATATAAAATTAAGTTTATAAAATAATAATAGTTCATTTTAATTAAGGGTTAAAATTTTAACTTATTAAATGATATATTTAGTTTTATTTAAGAATAAAATTAAAAATAATAAAATAAAGCAAAGTAATTAATAAACTAAATATAATTTATAAATTAATAACTTATATGTGTGTGTGATAATTTAATTTATTCAGTCAAACAATTTTAAATTTTACTAATAGAAGTGAATCAGTCAATCAATATTTGAAAGGATGAGAACAAAATCTAATTTAAAATCTTGATTATTGTCTTTAAAAAAAATTTTACGTATAATATCATCTGTTTAGGAAGAGATTCATTTTGGGCCCCCAAAGAAAATAATAATAAAATAAAAGGAGAGATTTTATTTTGGCCAATAATGAGTGAGAGAGAGAGAGAGATTGATTCATTAACTTTAAACAGGCAACTTCGTTTTATTTTAACAAAATACAGCAACTAATTCATAGCTCGTTTGGCAACAAGGAATTGAGATAGGAGAAGTGAAAGTGAAATCAATATTTTTATCTGTTTCGTACCATAAAACCCAATTCTCCATGAAACTCAATTCCATAAAAAATGATAAGACTCGGTTCCTAGCTCATGCTTATAGAACTATGTTCTCTCCTCACTTCCTTTCTCATTAACCATCTTTGCCCTTCAAGCTTCTCAACTCATGACCTAAATGCGACAGTGCTTGATCGACGATAGTGCATCACAGCCACAACGATGGCTATTGACTTTTTTGAGTCAACTCATTGGATTCTTTTGCCCATCAAACATGATTCAATTTTTTGGTTCCAATGAATGTCTGCAATGAAGGCAAAAATGGCACGATTTGATTTTGGATTCAATTCCAAGCACAAATTATTTTTTGATTCAATTTTTATTTCTCAATTTGAGTTTGACAACTTTCAAGCATGATTCAGTTTTTGTTTTGTTTTCTTCTCCATGATCTGGGTTTGACACATTCAAGCATAATTCGACTTTGCTTCTCAATTTGATTTTTGGTTCAAGATTCTTGATTTTTTGTTTCAATTAAAACTTCTATTTAAAAGTTTCACACTTTCAACTAATACTTTTATTTCTATTTTTGATTCACAACTTTTGCTTTTGAATCTAATTCTACTTCTACAAACAAGTCTCTAATTTTTCTTTGTTTGATTTGATAGAGAAGGAATGATTAGCATGTGTTTTGCAAGTCTAGAACTACTCTTTCAAGTCTATTGATAGCAAAGGCTGCAGATTAATTGAATGAAAAGATGTGCGCATCTATAATGCTATTAGAAGAAATTGTGTCTGCTTCATCACAAAATTTTACAAGTCTTTGATTTTTTATTCTTTGACCTTGGTGTTTATCTTCGACTTAGATTTTTTGATTCTCCATTTTTAACAATTTTTTGGAAACAAATTTTGAGATTTGGTGGTTTTGTTGTTTAGACATTTTGAGATCCAGTAGAGTGTTTACTAGTAGAGATGAACAATGAAGACAAATGATGAATATGAAGATGACTAATTTTTTTAATTTTAGGGATATTTTTGTTTTTTCAGAATATTTCTATGTTCATTAAATATAATTCATATCCCACTTTCATATATATATCAAACATATTTTTATACTTCAATTTCACTTCCATTTCCACTTTTATTTCTAATTTTATTTATATTTTTCTTCACTAAAATCATTTCCCCGTACCAAAGGGGCATTTTTTTTCATTCTCTTCCTTTCTTTCATTTAACTGATAAATTTTAAGTATTTTAAACCACTAATAAAATTAATATGGTAACTGACAAGATCTTTTCATGCATTAACTAGGAATTAGAATATGTTTCTCATGCATTATTTATTTATTCCAATGAAACTTTCTCCTTGAGATAGTTTAAATAAATTTTACAAATTTGAGCTTATTTATTTATTTTTTAAATTTGAACTTGAAACTATTTAGATTTAGGATTAATAAACAAAATGGACCTTGAAATTACATGAAAAGTGCCCAAAATTCTAAACTCTTAAAATTTGCAAAATGGACTCTAAACTTTTAAATTCATAGTAAATTAAACCCTATCATTATCTTTTTGTTAACGCGTGTTATTGTTCACTGTGAGCCCTAGTTAAATGCTATCGTGGCAGTCCCTTACTGATACGTCATTTATTAATTAGCATCACAGATCCTAAACTATTATACGAATAGCTTCCTAGACTTAACTTTTAAAATTTCAAGTAAATTAACCTCATCGTTTATGTATAAAACATTGAATATTATATAGACCAAATTAGACTTAGTGTGATCCACTACGGTGAACGCATCATTGACCGTGGCAAACAATATATAATTTTGTGAAATAATATTTTTTGCCTTTTTTTATAATATTTTTCAAACAATTGGTATTCCATACTTCCGCATACTCTATAACTCTAATTTAGTCTTATTTTGAATAATGTTTATTTATTTAATAGTGAAAACTTGGAATCCTGTTTGAAAAAAAATTTAAATATTATAGGATTTTACAGATGATAACAGCGAAAGTCGACAACTTCATAAACAAATTTAAAACCCAAATTAATCAGTTAATTAAAATCATTTGATATTTAAACTTTTTTTCTAATAGGATCTCAAGTTTTCACCATTAAATAAATAAACACTATTCAAAATAAAATTAAACTAGAGTTATAGAGTATATAAAAGTACGAGACACCAATCGTTTGGAAAACATTACAAAAAAATGGCAAAAAATATCATTTCACAAAATTATGAATCATTTGTCATGGCCCACAATGCATTCATAATGGCAGATCATGCTAAGGCTAATTTTGTTTACTGTTAAGTAAATACTCCAAGCATAAACATTAAAAGTAATTTGCTCGAAATTTCAAAAATTAAGATCTAAGTCGCTACTTGCATAGTAATTTAGAATTTGTGATGCTAATTAATCAATGACACATCAGCAAGGGACAATTACGTCAGCATTTGATTAAGGCCCACTGTAATAGTTATGGCATTAACAAAAAATTAACGGTAAAATTTAATTTATTACGAATTTAAAAATATATAATTTATTTTGTACTTTTTAAGGATTTAAGGTTAAAAGCCCTTTCCGTGCAACATTTGAAAGTTCATTGTGCTCTTTAACCCATAAATTTAATAGGAACTACCCAAATTAATAAGAATAAAAATAAAAGAAAAGGATTAGGAACAAATTTGACTTTCTATAGGCTAAATGAAAAATTAGAGATTTAACAAATGCCTAACACAAAAAATAACAATAATTTTCATCATGAAAGAAACCCAATTATAACAGCTTTCATCCTAACAATGTCCTACTGCCAGCTGAAACCAGCACGAACCAGTTTGGCGCTCAATGAGAATCGGCGTGGCCAGAATCACCCGAAGCAGGGTACAATCTCACCGTACGCGTTAAAGAATTAAAGCACGCAGTTGCCTTTCGCTTTGTACGGGCTTAAGGGCTTTTGCTTGCCCCGTTTGTAACAAAAAATACAGAAAACAGAAAGAAAAAGAAATCATGGTGTGCATGTTGTATAACAATGTCTCATATTGTACAAGTGTCCATTAAACCACGTGAAAGTAGAAACCTCTAAGAAGCCAACCTCGTGCATCTACTATTGTGGTGCTTGAGTCTTGTTCTCTGTTACACTACAAGCTGGCGCTTAAGAGCTCCCAGAAACCAGGTTTTGCCTTTGGGTAATGTCTTGTGTTTACTCACAAAAGCCTATAAACTTCTACAGTGCCTCAAAACAATGTGGCTGGCAAACACAGTCTATGGCATGGATCAGTTTCCTGCGAGGCCCGACTGCATTGGCACCCATATCCTTGAGCTTCTTCATGGTTAGATTTACCAACTGATACTTATTTAGCCTCTTCCCCTGAAAAATTCTCACAAACTGCCCCAGTCCAAGTGACGTCAGCCACTTGCTCAACCCACCAGCTCTTTCAAGCTTCCTTTCTAGATTCGATGCCCGCAGACCTTGATTTAGACTTGTGCCCAAGTTTGGATAGCTACTAGGTGCAAGTAGTAGTCTTGGCTGCTTTATAGCTTTGGATATCTTAGAGATCCCAAGTAATCTCTGTGACTTTAAATTACTGACTTGCTGTGGAATTTCTAATTCTATTCTTCGATCTATCCTTGCAATCTTGGCTGAAGTTGGATTACGTAGAGGAAGGGCTTTTCTAGTTACCTGAATCTCCTTTTGGGCAGCCCATATTGTCTTCTCTAGTTCATTCACTGAAGAAAGTGCTGTAGATGTCCCCATTTGAAGTTGACAGTTGCTGCTGGCCATGTTGGACGGCCCATGGGGTGCTGCTATGGATATTTTAGTGGAAAGGGGAACAGCAGGGATTAGAATGGTCACTCGCTGCTTTTTTACAATAATCCAATCATCTTTGTCATGTTGTTGACCAGACTCTGAGGTGTCAATAAGGCAGGATGGAGTACCACTTTTCCTGCCAGCAGCAATTCCTGGGTGTCTTAGCTTTGTTTTCACCATGAGCTTAGGACCTGTTCGTCATATACTTGGTTATAGCAAAAAGCCACTAGATCAACCAAATTTTCCTTTGATCAAAAGCTAAAAAAAAAAAAAAAAACAATACATAAAAGATCAGCGTGATGTTGAAAGTAAATGCAGATTACTCTGCCCTATATATAATAAGAGTTTCCTCAGATGAACGGTGCAAAATACAATCATTAACCAAATTACAGTATTTCCAAATAATAGACATAATAAGTGCAAAATTCATGTTTTGGAACTCAATTAAAATGAAATGCATAAGAACCCAGCACATGAGGTGCACATGGAACAAAAATCTACAAAGACATGCTAGTCAAATTCCTTTTTACAAAACAACGATTGACATAACAATTTTCTCAGATCAAAATCAAAATATGGCAGTTCCCCCATGGCCTACACAAATAACCAATCAATGCAAAGCAAGCACTGAAAAGATAAAAGAAAAGTAAATTTTCTATGTGACAGTGTACATATTTACAGAGAATTCATCAATGGAAAATCTCTTTGTCGCAAAAATAACTGCTACAAAATCGAAGTGCTTTGTTTTGAAAACATGACTTCCATAAAAGCGTGCGCTGAATTGAGCCGTGAAATTTTATGCTCTGGTCCGTCTAAAAGTACCATAAATGCTAATGAATAAAGCAAAGATGCTTATTGTCATTTCACGGAGTCAAACAAAACATTAGATGTGAGTAAGGCTTGAAATCTCCAGTTTTAATCCTGTTTTCTGTCAATCAGTGTGTTTGCTACATACTCTTGTATCTCACGTAATAATTCATTAAACTCTTCAGACCTCCACACTAATCCCCTCCCAAGAAAAAACGCCATTTGATATGGCAATCCATTTCTTGTGTTGCATTAGTTAAGGAACTCTAGAAGCCTACTCTAACTAACTTATAGCTTAAACTGGTGGATGACAGTCTCTTAAAGTTGATGGCGTCTGAGATAAGTGCAGAAAAAGGGGGCAGTAAAACATATTATAACTTACTGTTGTAAGCTAGCAGAGAATCTAATTCATAGGTATGAAAGTATTTAGTAGAAAAGCAACACAGCACTATCTACAGCAAAGAAGCATAATCAAGCATATTACATCTGTATTTATTTTAGCTTATCTGTGATGGTTTTCTCATATCTATTATTACCATGCTTCCAGGGATCTCAGTGCTTTTACTGCCAACCTTTTTATGATGAACTTAAAAAAAAAAAAATTCCTACTAGGATCAAAATTAAGACTTGATTACACTAGATTAAACACTAAACATCATTGAAATAAAGACAAGCCTCTAGACTTGTAGGAAAAAGAGATCCAGGAAAAGAGACAAAAAGTGAATTAAGTACCCTAATAGAAACTTCAATTTCTGGTGATGTTCTAGAGTTTCCCTTCAAATCAGACCTACATTAACAATCTAAGAGCTCAACATAAAACATCATTCAACCACAAACTATTTTCCCAAAATTCAACTGCAAAACATCATGCTTGACTTTATCCCTAACATGACGGAAGCCGTTAAACTCCATATATAAGCATAACCAACAATTGGTTGTCCCCTTAAACACTTTGAGCTGCAGATCCATAAATAGAAATCTGAAGCCCAACCAAGTTTCTTTAAGCTTTTCCAACTCTATAAGCATTACTAGCCTTGATGCTTGCAAGGATACCACCAAAAACATCTAGGACAAGTTTATCTGGTAAGGCCACAGAAAAGGCACTTCATTTCAAAGCAGACTAATGTGTGATCATAATTATAATAAGTGGAAATCATTAGTGGGTAATTAGTTAGAAGGTTACTAGGTCTAAATGTATAAATAGGCCAAAGATGTAGATGTATCTGATATGAAAATTGGCATAATGAAGTCTCCCCAGTATTTCCAAAATCTCCCTCTCTAGTTCTCAATCCTTTCCTTACTCTCCTTTCTCTATCCTATCTTTCCTGTTCTTTTCTTCTTTATTCATTAGTGGTATTGGAGTCGTTCATGCTCGGCCTGTATGCAAGAAACTCGATCAAAGAAACAACAAAAAATCATAACAAATCAGAACAATGGCCGTATTCGTGCCTTAGAGGATGCCTCCTCAAAGTTGGCAAGTCTTCTAGCAAATGTGCAAGCACTTGCCAATCAAGTAGCCCATATAATCAAAGACCATCGCCAAGAATATCCAGATAGAAGCCATGCAAGCAATGACCGTCACCATCATCATCAACCACGAACAGAGGCACCCAAATACCAACCTCGCACATGCTTTACCAAAATGGAATTTCCCTAATTTCAAAAAGACGATATCTTGGGGTGGATTCTAGAGTGTGAATATTACTTCTAAATTGACAACGCACCAGAAGACTGGAAGGTTACCATAGCAGGCACCCATTTAGATGAAAAAGCCTTTCAATGACATCAAGTTGTGGTCTTGGGGGATGAGTACACATAATGGACTTGGGCTTAATATGCCAAAGCCTTGAAGACTTGCTTTGGCTCTCAATATGAAGCACTAATGGAAGATTTGATGAATCTCCAGTAAACAAGGTCTCTAGATGAATTCGACACCACAGCCTGCAAAGTCAAGCTCTCCAAAAACTATTTGGTGCAAACATATACAGCTAGTCTGCACCAAGAGTTCACAGCGCATGTACGTATGTTCAAATCGAGGACCGAGAGAAACGTATGAGTTATTGCAAGAACCCATGAGATTAATCATTAAAAAGCAAGATTCCAAACGCATGGCAGTGACTCATGCAGTTGCACAGTCCAGTGCGCAAGAAACTAAGTTGGGCAAAAAGACCATTCCTTTGATCCTTATCCACGTAGGCAAAAGGAGACAACCAGGTGGGGTAATACAAAAGCTCCATCTGGAAATTCTAGGTCGCACACTTTTAAGGGTAAAAATGTCCAATCTTATAATTCTTTTACACCAAAGACTAGCTCTACCGGCCCTGTTTCTTCTATTTCAGGAACTAGGTCTTCATGCAACAACACCAGAAGCTTTAAAACCTTAAGCCCAGACGAGGTGAAGAAATTGCGAGCCAAGAACCTTTGCTTTTATTGCCGATAGCCCTTCTCTAGAGACCATGTATGTGCCCAAATGCATAAGATGCAGTCACAGCTCATTGAATTAGAAGAAAAAGGCGTGGAGGAGGGTGAAGATGACATGGGACAAGATTTAGAAGTCCTTGAAAAATTTGAGGGCATACCAGAACAATTAGAGTGTTTTCAAATCTCTCTTCATGCTCTTCAAGGAAATGTTGGACCTTTGGCTATGAGAACACGAGGGTATGTGGGAAGGAGGCAGATTCAGATTCTCATTGATAATAGGGCCTCACATGCTTATATTGACCATGGTTTAGCAAAGAAATTGGGTTGGGAGGAATGTTCTTATTCAATGGCAAAATTTGAAGTTGCTAGAGGTGGGAGGTTGAAGGTTTTTGGGGTTCTTAAAAGGTGTTAAGTTGAGGATGCAAGGAGAAGAGTTTTAATCAGATTTTCAAATTTTGGAAGTCAAAACCTATGATATGGTTCTGGGTTTATCTTGGCTTAAGACTATTCATCAAGCTCATTGGGATTATGACAAGTTATCTATGACCTTCTGGTATAATGGAAGAAAGTGTCATTTACAACCTCAAGAACTACCAAGATATAGGATTGTTGATTTTAAAAAGATTGAAGGAGATTTAGATGTAGGAGGGCAGATGTTCATGTTGCATTTAGTAGAGAATGATGATGGGGATCTTCATTGCTCGAAAGTACAAGGAGATAATAGTTCTGCTGAAGCTGTGACAGAGTTATTATATGAATTTTCATGGGTTTTTAAAGAACCTAAGTCTCTTCCCCCATTGAGAGAAGGTCATAATCACCCTATTATTCTGCAAAAAGGGTCAAACCCAATTAATCTAAGGCCCTATAGGTATCTAGCTGTTCAAAATAATGCTATTGAAGACATGGTAAGGATCTACTGCAATCACAGTTATCCAGGAAAGTAGTTCACCCTCTACTTCACCAATTGTGTTGGTGAAAAAGAAAGATGGGCCATGGTGCATGTGCATTGATTATAGAGAACTTAATAAGAGGACAACTATGAATAACTATCCTATTCCTCTTGTGGAAGAGCTTTTGGACGAATTAAAGGATGCTAGATACTAGATCTAAGGGCTAGTTACCATCAGATCAGAATGGAGCCAAATGATATCTACAAGACAGCTTTTCACACTCATTCGGGCCACTATGAGTGGTTAGTGATGCCGTTTAGGTTTGCTAATGCACCTACAACTTTTTAAGGTGCTACGAATAATATATTTAGGGAGTATTTAAGGAAAGATGTCTTAGTTTTCTTTAATGATATTTTAATTTATAGGCCCTGCTTAGATTTTCACACACAACACTTGCGTTTAGCTCTGAAAATTCTGAGAAAACATTTTTTTTTTTTTGGAAGGACAGCAAGTGTGCCTTCACTGCCAAACAAGTGAAATATTTGGGTCACATCATACAAGGAGTAGTCTCAACTGACCCAAAGAAGATCAAGGCAGTCATGGAATGGCCAAAACCAACTACAATAAAGCAACTTAGGTCATTTTTAAGACTTGCAGGCTAATATAGGAGGTTTATTAGAGGGTATGGGCCCCTAACTAGACCTCTCACTGACTTGCTACAGAAGAATAGTTTTCAGTGGTCAGAAACAGCTGCTGCCACATTCAGGAAATTGAAGGAAACTTTAGTGGCAACACCTATCCTTGCTCTTCCAAATTTTTTTAAGGAATTTATGGTTGAAACTGATGCTTGCAATTCAGGCATTGGGGTTGTTCTGATGCAACAAGGTCAACCTATAGCTTTTTCCAGCAAGGCCTTAGCTCCTCATCACCTAAATCTTTCTGTCTATGAGAAAGAGTTAGTTGGTGTAGTACAAGCCATGGGGCATTGGCATCAATATCTTGAAGGGAGGCACTTTATTATTAAAACTGGTCAGCAAAGTCTCAAATATTTGTTGGATCACAAATTAAAGACAACATTTCAGATGTATTAGGTTACTAAACTCATGAGGTATGACTATGAAATTCATTACAAAAGGAACAATGATAATAGTACAGCTGATGCTATTTCTAGGATGCCTAAAAATGAGGTTTTTTGAGTTTCTCTTCATATTTGTTCAGATTTTCTTTTCTTGGAAATCCAGCTAAGTTGGGATGATGATGTAGATTTCAAAGCTTTAAAGGCTCATTTGCAATAGCATGGTGGTTTAGAAGACAAATACACTTGAGATGGTCAGTTTTTAAGGAAAAATGGCAAGCCAGTTGTTGGAAACATTCCAAGTGTGAGACTTAAGATCCTGGAATGGCTTCATGCTAGTCCATAAGGGGGACATTCTGGTGTGCAAGCTACTTATCAAAGAGTCAAGAAGCTATTTGGGTGGCCAAAATTATTTGAGGATATTAAAGATTTTGCGAAGCATTGTGATACATTTGCTCAGTGTAAATCTGAATCAATGGCTTATCCTGGGTTATTACAGCCTCTTGCTATTCCAAGCAAGGTTTGGGAAAGTGTCGCCATGGATTTTATTGAAGGCTTACCCAAATCCAATGGTAAGGACACAATTTGGGTGATTATTGATCGTTTTAGCAAGTATGCACATTTTTTGTATTTATCTCATCCTTTTACAACCTCTACTTTAGCACAGCAGTTCCTTGATCATATTTATAAGTTACATGGAGTTCCTGTTGAGATTATAAGTGATAGAAACCCCCCATTTATCAATCATTTTTGGAAGGAGTTTTTGAAAGTTTTGGGGGTTGAACAGAAGCTTACCTCCTCTTACCATCCATAAACAAATGGGCAATCAAAAGTTCTTAAACGCCGTCCAGAAAATTATTTCAGGTGTATGTTGGGAAAAACCTAAGGAGTGGCATAAATGGCTTTCTTTGGCTGAACAGTGGTATAACACTTCTTACAACATCTCTACAAAAACTACTCCCCATGAATTGCTGTAGAGGCAAGCTCCTCCTTTACATATTCCTCATTTTCCAAGAGATGTTACCGTGGAAGCCATTAATAGAACATTTACAGCACGAGAGGAAGCTTTAGGGATGGCAAAATATCATCTCAATCAGGCAGTTAACAGAATGAAACAATAGGCAGAGTTGCATAGGAGTGGTAGAGAATTTGAGGAAGGACAGTGGATGTTTGTCAAGCTTCAACCTTAGTTAAATTTCTGCAGCATCAAGGAGCTCTCAGAAATTGGCTCCAAGGTACTTGGACCTTATAGAATTTGTCAACGAATAGGTCCAGTAGCGTACAAAGTAGAGTTACCTCCAGAATCTAGAGTGCATCCTGCTTTTCATGTGTCTTTGCTTAAGCTCCGTCCTGATCCATTTGTAAAGCCACGGCAACCACCTGTAGATTGGCCTGAGCCTCCTCCAACTCTTATTCCAAAGACAATTTCGAACAAAAGAATGGGAAGAAGGAAGGGGAGAATTATTTCTGAAATAGTGGTGCAATGGAAGGGCCTTCCAGATAAAGAAGCAAGCTGGGTTCCTTTATTCCAGCTGCAACAGCAGCACTCTTCTTTTGTAATTTCTAACCCTTGAGGACAAGGGTTCTTAAGGGGGGTATCAATGTGTAATCATTATTACACATCATTATTAGAATAAGTGGAAATCATTAGTGGGTAGTTAGTTAGAAGGTTAATGGGTCTAAATGTATAAATAGGCTTAAGATGTAGATGTACCTTATACAAAAATTGGCATAATGATATCTCCCAAGTATTTCTAGAATCTCTCGCTCTAGTTCTCAATCTTTCCTTACTCTCCTTTCTCTATCCTATCTTTCCTGTTCTTCTCCTCTCTACTCATCACAGACCTTTTGAATGTAAGGAGATGGGGTTAAAAAAAAAAAAAAACAGGTATTTAGGTAGTAAGTTGCTCAAAAGATACCCCAGTTTGTTAGTGGTTGTTTTCATTAGCATGATTAAAAAAATAGATCTCAAACCAAATTCTCTATGTTTTAAAATTGATTTATTTCCTCACAACCAAAAAATCCAGAGGCTTTTTAAGGTCATGATCATCCTGCAACAACCGAACTTACATGGACTCAGCGATTTGGGAGAAACTTCACCAATCTAACCATACATGATAATGCCACGACTCTGTATTTCAGCCTAATCATATTTCAAAACATTCAAAAGAAATGGACTTGCATTATTTTGAGGCTTTCCAATATATAAATCATAATAATCTAGAGTAACTATAATTCAAGATAGGATACAGGATAGCACAGAAAACACTGCAACAAATAGTTCCACACAATTTCGAATACTGCATATATGTGAATAAGTCACCGATATCACCACTAAAAAAGCCACTTCAGTGACCACAATAAAAATAATTGCAGCAATTTCACTGGAGCAAATTTCACTTGCTACGTTTATCATGATTACTGCCCATGAACATTTCTGGCACTGAGTCGGTATGAAGAACCTTCTTCGAGATTCCAATCTAAGTTATGCATTGACCCTCAATGTTGTCCTAATTCTCTTAAACAAATAGCATTGATTTATAACACGAAATCCAGATATGAATAGAAAACCTAGTGCAATCAACAACGCAGTGGAAAAATATTAAATGGTAATGAAATAGAGAAGAGACCTGGAGTTCTAAGGATAACAACAGTGCAGCGTCAATCTCGATTTCAGCAATCGACAAGACTAACTTGGATCCTAGTCATGGATGTGCGTTCCTCCTCTCTCTCTCTCTCTCTCTGAAGGACCTTGCCCTGCCAGACCGTGAACTGATTATCGCGGGAATTTCCCCTTTTTTCTTGATCGTTGAGTCGAGTTGGCTGAAAGATACAATCATAAAATCGTTCTGTCGTCATAATTGTATAATAAATTATACTTGCTGGTTAAAAAAAAAAAAAAATCGTACAATTCCGTTTAATTTATTTTTTGAATTTGTACCTTAGGAAAAATATGATACAGTGCTATAAATTTAATAATTAAATTAAAATAACTAAATAAAATTAGGGAAATGACAACTAAAGACGCTATAAAACTATTAATTATAATTAAAAATTTTAAATTATTGAAATCTCAATATTTTTATTTGAAATAAAAAAACATGTGATTTTAGAATTAAAAAAACATTATTAAAATTAATATTATGAATCGAAACTGTTGTTAATATTAGTTGGAAAAATCAAAATGCACACTTAGGAATAGAATTAATAATATTAACGATATTCATGGGACATGACAAAATCAGGACACCCTTGTCTCATGTCTCATCCTAAAAAAAAGATTAAGATTGAATTTTTATCTTGTGTTTCGTCCAGTCTCAAAAGTAGTCTCATCTCATTTGGAATCGAGATGTGCAACTGTCCTAATAAATCAGAGAATGTTAAAGAAAGATTTGAATAATAAGATTCATTAAAATTTTAAATTATATAATTTATTAAGTTTAAAATAAAAAACAACACAAGTACATAAATCACAACAATTTAAAATTAATTATTGAATTACATTAATTACAACTCTATATTATGATAGTAATTATAAGTAATCTCTAAGTTATAAGAGTAGCAACAACAAACAATCAAGCACAACATTAAATCATTATTTTTTTACTTTAATTGAAATATACTAAGTTAATTACTCTTCCAAAAAAAAGTAAAAAAATGCAATATAAATAAAAATTATTAAATAGATACTCCCTTCATTTAAAAATGTAAGGCATTTTTAAGAAATTGAATGTTAAAAAATGTAAGACATTTTTAGTCTTTTGAAGTGTAATTGTTGCTTTTTTTCAAAAGTGTTCCTATTAAAGAATAACTTTATATTTATTGTAAGGTATTTAATAGAGGTAAATATAAAAAGATAGGATTGGTTTGAAAGCAGACAACTACTTTATTGAGGTGAGATTTGATTAAAAAGCTTTACATTTTTTAACACACGGAGTAGATATAAAAATAAATTATATTGATATAATTAATATATTATAAAAAAGATATCATCCTATTCACTCCATATCATTAAAATTATCAATATAAAAAACTTTAGTTTTATATAAGAATTGCAATTATTGAAATTATAATCAATATAATTAATATAAAGATAAATTATATTAAAATAATTAATATATTTAATGTTTTTTAAGATTAAAAATAATATATGTATATATATGATATTTGTGCAAGCGAGACGTCCCAATAGTAATCTAATGTCCCATCCTGTCCTGAATCCCTTTTTTGTCCCATTTTGATTGTTTTCAAGCTGAGATAATATCAGGACGAGTATAGGCTGAACATCTCTACATCACACTTAAGATCCTAGCTTTCCCAACTGAAATTAACAATAATCTCAACTAATGATAGTAATTTTAATAGTGCCTTTTCTTTTTTTTTTTTAAGTGGTTTGTGTATGTATTGACAAATATAAAATTTTATAAGTGATTTGCTTCATATTTAGAAGTGAATGTAAATTTTCAAATGACTATTGTGTGTTCACAAATTCCTTTTAAAAGTTTTATAAGTGAATTTTAATTTTATGATGAGGAAAAACCAATTCTCAAACATGATTCTTACTTTTTCCAATTAAGATTAACAATAATTTTAACTCATAATAGTAATTTTAATTGTATCTTTTTTAATTTTAAACTCATATTTTTTACTTCTAATTAGTGACCATGGTCTATTATTAAAATATCAATAATTTGGAATATCTAATTATAGTTAATTGTTTTATAAAATCTTCAAATGTCATTTCCTCATAAGATTATGCTATGTTTTTGTATAAAAATATAGAGTAAAGTACAAACCTGGTCCATACATTTTCAAGGAGGCACAACTGATATCCTAATGCTTTCAAAGACGTAATGTTGCCTTGACATCTTTTATAATCGCACAATGCGACAGAAGGTTCATGTTGATTATTAACATTTATTATTTGACCAACATACTTTGCTACTTTATTTGCCACATTTAATGTGGCTATTATAAAAATTAAAACACAAACTAAAATGCTGACGAGGTTGAAGAGGCTTTAGGTTTGTGAGATTGGCAAAGAGTATAATCTGCATCTTGAGGAAAGAGTTTGGCATGTAACATCTCGAGTTTTAATTTCCTGATTAATTAAATTTAATTAGGGTAATTAAGTAAATTGGAGTGGTGTGTGGTCGGAGAGGTCTAATAATCTTGTTTGATGTTATTTCAGCCCTAGTTGTATGTCCGGTATTGAGACAGGTTACTCGGGCATCGAAAGGAGAGGAAAAAAAAGAGTTAAAGCTGTTGTGCCATACACCGCGACTCACAGCCATCTCTAAGTGAGGGAGAACCTCTCTGTGCCATGCACCGCGGTGTTTGTGTGTCCGCCACAGCGCATGGCCATTTTCTGTACTTTATTATACGCAAATTGAGATAGAAAAAGAAAGAAGAGAAAAAGAGAGAAAGAAAAGGCACGTCTAAGCTCTGCTAGGGTTTACTTGGGGATCACTTTAAGAGTATTTTGAAGGTTACAAACACCGAAGATAAGTATCATACTCATTAATTTCCCCTTTTCTTCCACATTTATAAGATTATGGTTAGGGTTTGATAGTTGAAGTGGAATTTCGGTCCATATAGGTCATGTGTCTGAATTTATTGATTTAAATGGAGTTAATAGGGGTATATTAGAGTATTTAAATCTAGGTATGATGAGTTTTGGTGTTTTAGATTGTTGGGCACCATAAATACCCAAAAAATCCCATTTATTATGGTGGTTAAAAGTTTGTAATGCCATTAATGAGAATTTGATGGCTCATTAATGCTATAAGGAGCTAAAGGTAATTATTAAACCCAATGGTTAGGCTCCACTTCTTGTAAGGTGAAGGTTAGGCAATTTAAAAGTAGAGATTGAGGGGTTCAAATGGTTGAATTTGTTATGTTGATAGAATTCAAATTGATTGATTATAGCTTTGGCTCTTGGTCACCTTTTGGAGTGGAAATTCAAGCTTCGAAGCTAGTGAATTAAAGGGTAAATCTTTGACCTCTCAGGTTTTAAGGTAACTGAGGGAAAACTCTACCTTAGGTAGTTGTGTGTTAATTGATTGTTTGAATGCTAATGGTGGATATTACATGCATGAGATTGATTTTTATCTAACACTATGCATTAGTTTTCATTAAGTGTATGAACATTTGATTGAGCACAATGCTATTTTGGCTCAAAATGCAAAATGCAAAGTCAAGAGGATTTTATTATGAAAATGCTTATGTTTTGAAAATGAATACAATGATGAGTAGAGATAATTGTGTGTTAGTCATGAAATGAATTTGAGAAAAGATAAGAATACACACTTGAATAGCGCAAGGTCGTAAGCCTAACGTGATTGTTGTAATAGTGGGTATATGAAAATGAAAAGTGAGAATAAGTGAGTAATGATTAAGAGATGATCAATGGCGGGAGTTCGTCTAGGAATTTGGGAGTAGGGAAAATTCATATGGTAATTAGGCTGCCCTCCGGTGTATAGGGGCTATAGCCTTGTCCTATTGTCTATCAAGGGACTGTCCCATAGTTTGTCAAGAGATTAGAACCTAGCCATCTCCACTGGTTCAATGAGGAGAATAACCTAGGGTATGAGACACACTAGGGATTCGAGAATAGAGGAAGTCGTGGTTCAAGAGTGAGTCTTGTGATCTTTGGCCGGGTCACACCTCACAATTGGTGAGCCTGGGTAGTCCAGTCACACGAACGGAGCCTTGATCGATGTTATAACTCACGATTTCGGTCTAAAGAAATAAGAAGGATATAAGGTTAGTTGATCATTGCCTAAGTAAATACATAATGTGTCACACATGCTAAGTGGTAGCAAGTCGCAAGAGTATGGGTCTTGTCTCATATCTGAGAATATGGGGATAATGCACTTGGTTATATAAGTAATGAAGCTATAGTGTGATAAGTGATAAAATGTGATATATGGGTATTTGTTTTAGAAATTTGATTTCCTTATGCCTGTTTTTGCTTTATAATTGGTATATAATTATATAGAGTAGGTTTAACCTTGGTTACTGAGTGACTAGACTCACCCCTCTTCTTTAATACTTTTCAGGCTTTAGCTCTAGTGTTGAGAGGGAGAAAACTAAAGAGGCAAGGAATTAGTACCTTCCTGTATGCCTCTGGTTTTTGATGTAGTTGTGTAATAACATATGTTTGTCAATTCTAGAATGCATATTACCCATATTTGCACTATTTTGGTTTGAAAATGTTAAAATTATATTTTAAGCCTTTAGCCTTTGTGTATTTTTGTCATATATATATGCTCATAGGGCCATAATACTAATGCAAGTATAGAAATAAAGATTTGGGCATGTTTTGAATATTCTGAGTAGAATGTAATGTTATTTTTACCTCCCCCTTTATTTTTGATAAATTGGGGTTGATGAGCGAATTTCAATTATAATAATGTTACAAGGCTTGTGACGTGTTGTACTGGTAGTTTTAGGTTCATTGGACATGATCTAGGTGTTAGGAAAAGTTTTTGGCATTTGTTGAGGGTTTTTAACACCCATTTTGTATAAAAGTGTTAAAAAGTGGTTAAATTGTGTTTGGTTATCCAACTTCCTGGTGTGATATATTTTAAAAGTAAAACCCATGCCATTAGTTAGTATAGGAAAATAGCTTTTCGTGGACACCTAAATAATGTTAATAAGACGTCGGATGAAGAATTGGGGTGGGGCGAAAGTTCTCCGATTCTACTATCATTTTGATAGCAAAACCAGTGAAAATTTGTGCAACACACCGTGGCGCATGGCACAGAAAGCAATACGCTATGGCGCAGAGTGCGCCCGCCGTGGCGCACTGCTTTGTTTTTCAGCACATGATTTATTCTTCACCGTTTTTAACGTCTTTCACTCCCCTGAGGTATCCCATGCTTTTGAAAGTTTTCTTTACTATGTTGTGAAAGATTTTTATCGATATGAATTTGTTTTTATTTAGAAAAACTTGGGATCCTTTATTTTTGAATTAAAAATTTGGTAATCACTCTTCGGAGATAATCCCTTGATTACCATGAGCTTGATTTATTAAATATGTTTAGTGAAGCGAGATATTACATGGCACACGTTTAAGATCCCTCAGCCAATAGTGTCTGACCAAACTACCTTTATTAAGATTTGCAATCAATCCCTTTTCTAGTTCCTCCATCGTTCATAAAGCTTTTTGGAAATGGGGCTTTGTCTGCTTCACAAACTTATTCATAAACCCAACTAGACTTACATCAAGGTAAAGTTTAGGGGGATGAAGAGGCTTTCGGGTTTGTGAGATTAGTAAAGTGGGTGAAAAGGGGCAAGCTTATCGTTAGAGAAGAGTTGGTTGACAGTTCATGACTTGATCTAAACCCAAACTGACGAGATCAACGAGGTGTTTTTAGATTAACAAAATTGACTGTGTTTTCATATAAACTTGATATGAATAAAAAATAATGTCTCTCTTCAGTTTTCAAGTTTAATCTCAAACAACCTCACAAGGATGGAGGCGATGGGAAGGTGGTGACTAAAGCTCTGTGTGTGTTTTAGAACCTTCAATTGTAGGTTTTTGGGGTTGATCTCAAGCAACATAAAGTAGCGATGATTAGGGGTTTTTAGGTTTAGAGTATGGATTCATTGATTTTATCATCTGGTTTAACAATTTTGATTGAAATCAAATATAAAAGGGCAAGATAATTGCTTGCTGAAATTTGTCATTGAAAACATAAGAATGCTTGCTGAATTTTGTTGGATATTATTGTATATGTTTTGTGTTGGGTGTTCTTTCTAGATTTTATAATGCTCGTTGGATTTTGTTGGATATTATTGTATATGTTGTGTGCTGGGTGTTCTTTCTAGATTTTATATGCTTTTTTATTTAGTTTGTTCTTTAGCTGAAATTGCTTATGAATCAAAGAAGAAATTTATGTTTCATGATTGATTTATTGCAGGGTATTATTATATCTCATGGTTGCTTATGCATTCTCTAGACAATTTGTTCCATCTTCAATATTTTTCTTCCTTTACTGACAACCAAAATAAACATCTTACAATCAAACAGGGTTAATTCGATTCAACATTTTTTTTTGTCTATGAGAATTGGGTTATGCATTTGTGAGATTATTTAAGGAATGTTTATGGCTACTGAAATTTAAAAAATGAAGGTAGGGGAAAAAATGAATTGAATAAAACATATTAAAAATGGGTCCCATTATCAAACATGAACCTCCACTTGACTTGCCGATTAGGCATTTAACAGTTAAAATTAAGAGTTACTCCATTTGGTTTCCTTTTTAAGGTACTTTCTAAAATGTCTATTTGATTCCTTTTATGAGTCACGGTGTGATTTTGTAAGTAATATTTGAAAAATATTTTTAAAATTATCCTTCATGAGAGAGAAAAAATAATATGACATTACTTTTTGAATTTATTATATATGTACATATTTGAAATTTTATACATTCTTATTCTTTATAAATTTTTTTACATGAATATTGATAGATTGATAGAAATGACTTATAAAAAAAAAAGAAGAAGTACTTGTCAATGCAGTTAAACTATTAGATTAGGGCAAAATTATATGATTTTGAAAAATATTGGGATGATATTATACTTTTAAAAACATAAGAATATCAACTGTGCTTTCTTGAAGACGTCTTGGGCCGTTCTAAAACTAAAATTGTGCTTAAAAAAAACTGCAAACATGCACTAGCGCGGGCAGTAAGTGGCTCTAACTAATCTGGTCATTTGAGGATCGACTCTCGAGCTTCCTCTATACTATCGTCGTGGAAGCAAGGAGTGAAGGGCGAAGCTGTTGGCTCCTCATCGGATAGCTCTTCCCCCACTTCTTCACTCTTTGTCCCTCCGTTGAATTGTTTTCGACAATGGCTTATTTCTTCTCCCGGTTTTCCCGTCTGCGCTCTTCGTCGAAGTGTTTCTACGAGAATCTGAGAACCCTAAATTTCCATAACTTCAGGACCCAGAAAAATGCACACGCTAGAAATGTTATGGACTTCGAGAGAGCAAAGAAGCCATGGATGACATGGTCAAGCTCCGTGCTTCCTTTGGCTCTCGCATTTTCTGCCGGATCACTTGCTTTAAAACCCCAGTTCAATCCTTCATTATGTGACGCTCCTAATTCCAATAGTCGGTGAGTTTTTCTTTCGGCTCACCAATCCGTTTCAGCATGTCATAAAGTATCTGTTTTGAACACTCTGAGGCGATGGACTCTTTAAACGCGTTTATGGAACAAGAAGACGAATAGATTATGCAAATACAGCTGGTTATCCTCAGTGGAAATTAAGCTGGGGGAAATGGAAAGGGAGAAGGTTGAATGTTATCTCTATATATTCTTTCTTCACTCTTTTTGCTCAACTCCTTTATATTGTTCTACGGCAAATCACTGTTTCAAGTGCCATCTGCTAGATGTGTTAGCATATTGCCACTGTTTATTCTTTCAAACTGTCGCCATGTCGCTCTAAGTCGATAAGTAACTTATTTCATAGCTATGTTTCATTTCATCTTTTTTTTTTTTTGCCCCTTATTGCAATAATGTTGAATGCAAAGTAAATTTTGGACATATAATATGTTTTTCAATGATGATACTAGCTTGCATAAGCTCTGATCCTTCCCTGTACTGCTATATTGCAACTAATTCTCTTGATTTTTTTGGGAACTGTTGACTTTTTTTGGATCAAAATTTTCTCCTCCCCTCTTTACGCCAATTATAGTAACCGAGCAAACGGTGAAATTGCACATTTGCGTGCCTCAAAGAGGCAAGTTATTTATAATGTGAATGACATGGATATTCTTATATGGATGATAGACTGGGGGGGAAAGATAGCACCCAGTTTGTGGTTAAGGGATCACAAAAAGAAATTCCACAGGTTCTTCTCAAGGAGTTGGAAGCCATCTGTCAGGTGCGGGATTCAATTTAATTGCAAGGAACTCATAGACTTAAATAAAGAGAAGAAATGAATGCCTCAAAATGCCTAGATGGATTGTACTGTTCAAATAGGTTGGGTTTAAAACTTCAATCTCATGGTTAATGGTTTGAGTCCTTTATAATTCGACAGGATAACATGACACTTGATTACGATGAGAGATATATCCATGGAAAACCACAGAATAGCTTTCACAAAGCTGTTAACATACCTGATGTAATTGTTTATCCGAGGTGAGACTAACTGTTTACTTTCAACTGAGATATTTATGGCCACTGCAGTTTGCTTGTGATATTGATTTATGCCTAATGAGCTATGAAGCAGTTTTCCCTTTGCTTTTTTGGCTGAAAGGTTGTTTGAAAATAGACAAAACTGATGAAATCTAGTTGATTTCTTTGTTAAATGATTATATAGATAAATTAATAGTCAAAGTATGCTTTCATTTACATTTGGTCTCTGAATCCCACGGAACATCATTTTTCTATTTCCAATCCTTTCCTTTGTGCACACCTGATGCTTTTTACTTATTTTATTGAAAGGTGATGCAACGACTTCTGTAGCATACATTAAAGTTTTATAAGAGAAACATTATAAGGTCACCCATGCTAATGTGATATTCGATTTTTTATATTTCGTACTATTGATTTCAATTATGCATGTATTTTCTCTATAATTTTGACCAAAAGATAAAAAAAATTTCCATACTTCATACGATATCAAGAATGGACATGGTTAAGCCCAAGAAAGTAGGGGAGATTATTGATTCGCTAGATATGTTCTTGGAGTTAATGGTAAGGTCTTCACATATTTTTTCTCTCATGTGGTGATATTAATCATATTTGCAGATCTGAAGAGGAAGTCTCCAAAATTGTTCAAGCATGTAACAATTATAAGGTTTGAGTATCTTCAACTTAACCCACAATTCTAAGCAAGTTTAAGCTTATTGATTTGCCTTCTAGAATTTGTAGCATAAATTTTTATAGGATCTGGCCAAGTCTATATCCTTGATACATCTTTTGCAATCCTGCCCACTAAATTGCAATTTCCATGTTACTTCAGATCTCACAAACTTCATTTCTGTTCTTAGTTTAGCTTTGTGCTTGCTAGAGGTATAATGCTCATATTGGTTATGTTTCTCAGAAACTGCTGACCTAGGTTTTCCTTCTATTTATAACAGGTTCCTATTGTACCCTATGGTGGTGCTACATCGATCGAGGGTCACACCTTATCCCCTAATGGAGGGGTTTGCATTGACATGTCATTAATGAAAGTCTGTACCTGTTTATTTTCTATGATAGTGAAATATCTAAATGTAGTTATTTCAATTATTAAATCCGTCCTTTTTTTCTGTGGAATTGGTCTGACATCTTTTAGTTACAATCCCTGTCTTCACATATCTCCATAAATCAGGCGTGTTATACTTCTAGGAGGATTAAATATTTTTCCTTGAGAAGGGTTATGTTTCAACTTTTTTGAGGATAAAGAAAGTCATGTTTTTTGGGGGACAAGGAGGGGCATCAAAGGCAAGAGGGGGAAAGTGATCTCAAGCTGAAGTATGTTCTCAAGGTCGTATTGGAGAGGTGGGCAGAAGAATGAGGGACAGCTTTAAAAAGTTAGAAAGGATTTTCCTTCCCCTTCGGTCATTGTAATAAACTAGTGGCTTTTGTTTGATTGCATCAAAAAACTGAAGCCACATTTTTGCTTTCATTACTTGCTTCCTTTCACAAGGAACTGAATTGAATATGTACTATGAGAAAGTTGTGCTAGGAAGCAGCTAACCTCCAAATGACTGAAGCATTTTCAGTAAGATTACCATTTCAATAACTTGATTCATTAATGCTTGTACCCATGTGTTGACAAAACATTTGCATGCATTTATTCAAATTTGCAGCATAAATACAATGCATACGTGTTAAACATTAAAGATGAAACTTTCTTGAGATGTCATCTTTAGATTATAATGCCTGTTCAATTAATAGAGAGTGAAAGCATTACATGTTGAAGACATGGATGTGGTTGTTGAGCCTGGAATTGGATGGATTGAGCTTAATGAGTACTTAGAACCTTATGGTCTATTTTTTCCACTTGATCCAGGTTAGTTGAATGTCATTGTAAGACAATTTGCGTAGAATATTTATTTCCTATATTTGGTGGAAAAACTGGAAGAAATCAATAGTTTCAATTGCATATCCCTTGAATAGTGAAATTTCTACATGTTATGTGTAGGCCCTGGTGCAAGCATTGGAGGCATGTGTGCCACCCGCTGTTCTGGTTCATTGGCTGTCAGGTGGTCACTTTCCTCTGTTTCTATAGTATTTCATATAATGTTGATAAACGCTGTTGTGTTCTGGCTTTGGCATACATCACAGTTTCTATTACTCTTTAGTCACCAATCTGTGCAATCGCGTACTGTTGTCATTTAGCCTTTTGTAGGATTTGCATAGATGCCTTGCTGTTTCCTTTCTAGTTTCTACTCATATGCATACCCGCACAAGTGCACATATATAAGGCGAATTTACATCAGCCAATCTTTCTTCACTTTTTACTTTTTATTTCTTTGGTTTTTTTGGAACAATTAGTGTGAATTTAATCACATAATTATAAAATTTTATACTGAAAAATGGCTTTTTTTTAGCTACTTCATACTTTAGAATGTGGGTGTCCTTCATTGATTCAGCTGTACGTTATAATCTAGCCCTATGCCTACTTTTCAGTTTTATTTTTGTTTTACAGATGAATTTGCACTTATCATCCTTATTTTTTGACTTTTTAAACTCTTTTTCCATGTATAGAATCATGGTTAAATTCCTCTTTGTTACATCATAATCTCTTTAGGACGCCTGACATTATAATTCAAACTTCTACTTCTGTTTTTATTTGTTTCAAATGCCTTGTTTGTCATTGTACCATTTCTACTTTCACCTTTTGTTATCATGCACTCCCTTAGTCCCTATTATAATGTGTTTTCAACTACTTTACTAAAACCAAAGAATGATAGTTAACTCATTAAATATGCCTTAAAATGAAAAAAATCTAGCCTTTATTTAAAAATAGAAAGAGAGAGATGCACAATATACGATGAGCCATAAAATTAAATTTACAATGGGGATAAAATCAGAAAATGGTAAAATTAAATTTATGATGCTAGGCATAATGGTTTGGTTCGCCTCACTAATTTGCAGGTATGGAACTATGCGTGACAATGTCATCAGTCTCAAGGTTTGTTAAACCCAATCTTTGGTTTCTGATGCATCGATGTAATTTTGTATTTATTATGCTACATGTGTTCCAGGTAGTTCTTGCCAATGGAGATATTGTTAAGACAGCCTCTCGTGCAAGGAAGAGTGCAGCTGGGTTTGTTTTATTCCATTTCTCTATGGCTAAAATACATAAAACTCCCTTGAATTTTGAGCGAAGTGCATATAACTCCTTTCACTTTTAAAAGTTTAAAATTAACTCCCTTAACCTTTAATTTTGTTTTTCAAAGTCCCTACTGTTAATTTTATTATTTTTTTTATAAGGATTAAAATGTCATTTAACTAAAAAAAGTTATTAAACAAAAATATTATATTGTAGAATTATTTATAATCAATTTCTTATATTTTTTATATAGTTAAAGCATTGATAGCCAAACAAATGTTATTATCACTATAAAAAATTTTAAATTTTTATGTTTACGTTAGCTTTATCAATTTTTTTTGTTTTCAATAGTGTATAGTTTTATTGTTTTAAAGAATAAATTTTTATTTATATTTTCATGTTAAATTAATGTAATGCACATGGCTATAATATTTAAAATTTTAAATATTATCATGTTAGATTAATTTATCCTTTAATACAAGAAAATTTTACATCATTGATAACAAAAAAATGGATAAAACTAATACAAAAGTAAATATTTAAAATTTTATAGTGATGATAATATTCTTTTATTATCAATACCTAAACCATTCAAAAAAAATATAAGAAATTGATTAGCCATAGTTCTACGATATAACATTTTGTTTAATAATATTTTTTAGTTAAATGACATTTTAACCTTTATGAAAAAATAATATAATTAACAGCAGGGGGTTTTAAAAAACAAAATTAAAGGGTAAGGGGTTAATTTTAAATTTTTAAAGGTGAAGGGAGTCGTGTAACTGCTTCAAAATTGTGGAGGGTTTTATGCATTTTAGTCTTTATCCATTAATTTTACTTCTATTTTTTCCCCCCCAATTTGTTCCTTTTGAGACATAGACAAAAGAAAGAATGTGAGTAAATGAGGAAACAAGAAAGGGGGATATGAAATGGTAAATTTTATTCTCTATCACAAGATAATATATAGACAAGAAAGGGGGCGGCATCAGGGGGTTGGAATCTGTTAAAGTCAAACTTATCTGTAATGATCAAGAAAGTACAAAGACAGTGGATAAGATAACCCTTAGCATAGATTAGCATGATTAGTTGGACTTCAATATAGAAAATGTGTGATTAGTTTTAATTTTGATTTAATTGCAATGTGATGTTAGTTGTTTCATGTTTTGTGACTCTAATATTAATGGTATTAAATTATACATCTTAGGTATGATTTGACCCGCCTGATGATTGGAAGTGAAGGAACTCTTGGTGTAATAACAGAAGTAACACTGAGGCTTCAGAAAGTTCCCCAACATTCAGTGGTATGACTATGTTGTTATTTTATTTCATTCGTTGAATTTGTTTTTTCTCTCCAACTTTTCTCTGGTCCACTGACCTATAGTTGTGATCAATTTATTGCACATATGTGTCTATGCCGTCGTAATGTGATAAGAGATTTAACTTGAATGGCATGTTTTAGTGGAAGTTGTGTCATCCAAATTTTAAGCTTTGGTGGGATGGTCACCTATTTCTGGTTCCTGCCCGAGAAAGTTGTTGGTTTGGAAGCAGCTCATCATAGTTGATTGTGCTTGTACCTTTAGGACATCTCTACCTTTTTTCACTTGGTTATTCCTATAAATAACTTAGTTATTCTCTCACTAACTTATGATATCAATTTTCTTCGTAGCTCTTAATTTACATGTATTCATCTCCATATATGCAATCCTTAAAATGATTAAGTACAAGTTGCCCTTCATCTATTTATATCCGTCTCTAATATGCTCCTACATCCTAACAAGATATAGTATAATATAATCTTTCAAATTATTTGGAGGCGCATTCAGCTGTCAATATACTATAATTTTATTTAAGTCATCATGCCATCCCTTGCTAAATTGGATGAGAAAGGGTTTATTATTTTAAATCTCAATTGCTGCTTCTATCAAATTATCATTTTCTCATCGAATATCTTCAGGCACTTCCTTTTGTACCATACATAATTTTAATTATAGCTAAGTAAGATGCAAAATCTGTTTTTGGTGACAACTCCATTCTTTTTACATGTAGCAAATATTTCTCTGGATAACTCATTTATATGACATCTGCTTGCTGTAAGTTCTTGTTTTGGGTTGTTGCTATACCCATGGATTGTCTAAGTTGTTGAACTACAGGTTGCAATGTGCAATTTTCCTTCTGTAAAGGATGCAGCAGATGTTGCTATTGCCACCATGATGTCTGGTATACAGGTGGGACTCTGGCCTTAAATTTGGTCTCTGAGGAGACTTGATAGTATGGGATATCAAGTCCCACATTGAATAGTATGGGATGTTCAATAGGGTATATAAGTGGGTTGGTTCTCCCACTTCAACAGCTAGCTCTTGGAGTAGGTTCCCCATCCCACTTAGGTACCCATCAGTCTCTTTCTCTTCAATCATAATTTTAAATTTATTGCTTGTTAGGTTTCAAGGGTAGAGCTATTGGATGAGGTTCAAATGAAAGCTATCAATATTGCTAATGGGAAGAATTTGCCTGAATCTCCAACATTAATGTTTGAATTTATAGGGACAGGTGAAAGATGAATTTCTTTTGCCTCTTTTTTCCCTTGACCAGAATTTACGATGCATATTTGTATGTCGCCTTCATGCATTGTGTAATTGGAGAAAATTTGTGTTGATAAGCTAATCCCAGAAGACAGAAATGAGAACAAAATAAAGAACATAAAAATCAGGAAATTTTCTTCAGATATCATTTTTCAGCTTTATTGTCTGCCGATGATTTTGGTGATTGTACAAGATGAGCACAAGAACTCATACTGACAATAATAATGCATAAGAAGAAAGAATAGATCATAAAAAACTGAATGAGGATGTAATATGCTGGACCACAAGAGTCCACAGAGGAATAAGGGTAAGAAAGGAAATCTGCTTAGATGGGTCTGTTTATTTAATATATGTCATGATGAAAAAATAAAGAATATAAAAATGGTTATAAAATCACTTACATGTATTATTCACATTGCTTTCGAAGATGTTGTTGCAGTTTTTGATAAATGCTTCTTAAGTTTTATAGTAATTGATATACCTGACTTACTGTTATATATTTTCAGAGGCATATGCTCGTGAACAAACGCAAATTGTTCAGAGAATTGTTTCTGAACACAGTGGCTCAGATTTTGTATTGGCAGAAGAACCTGCAGCTAAAAAAGAACTTTGGAAGGTAGTATTTATTCCTTTATAATATTTTGCAATCCACTCTTTCCAATCTGAGTTTGTTCTGTGAATACTCTTGCTGCTGGGCTTGTTCCTTTTAACTTATTACACTACCGAGGAGGCAAACTATGGGTGGTTATTGTTTTGAATGTGTTTTTTGATGGATGAATAACGTCTTCCAATCTTGGAAGGAAGTTACTCCTGATGCCTGTTTTGTTTTTTCTTTTTGACCATGAATATCTCACACCTTTTGGGTGGGGGACCAACATTGCTTGGGAGCGGAGGTCACCCTTTCCTACAAGTGTTTGCAGACGCCAGACTCAAGCCCTTGACATTGTCAAGGCCCCTCAACTGTTTCGTTCAAACTTGCTTACCACTTGAGCCAATACTTGTGGGCTGAGGCCTACTATTGTTATGCAATTTAGATGCCGCTATCTCTAGCTCTTTTTAACCAAAAATTAAGCTTACAGTTAGTTTACTGTTACTTGCCTGGCATAGAACATTATTCTCAATGCTCAAGATTCTTGCTTTTTTTTTCTTTTAACACTGGAGCCTAGGCATAGACTTCTTAATCACGTGTTTTAAAAATAAATAATTAAATAAAGCTTGAGTAGTTTGTTTATCCTTTTTTCTTCTAATTGAAATCAAATAAGTTACCAACTTCCCCTCTATCTTTATTGTTAAGAAGAAAATCGCAAAAGAAGATATTGGGAATCTCATTATTTATGCACAGGCAAACAGCAAAAGAAAGTTAAACTGGTGAACTGCAAATTATAGTATAGATCATCTGTGGTTAAAAGTATTAGATTGTGGTTGGCTTCTTTTTTAAGTTACCCCATTGCAACCCAATTTTTTGTTTTCTGTCAGGCTTGTAACTTATGTATTCAGGTCAATTTCTTCTTTATGTGCAGATAAGGAAGGAGGCCCTTTGGGCGTGCTTTGCATTGAAGCCTGATTTGGAGGCAATGATTTCAGTTAGTTTTGAAATTTTATATTTCTATCTCTAATGTGTTTTTGTTCAGATAATCTCAGATTGGGTGACAAAACGAGTTTCTATGAAACAACTAAAAATTTTCATTTAATCCTAATAAATGCATTTGAACCCATATTTTAAAAATATGTGTCTACTTATTCAATTTGGATTTTATAGTGCTTATAGATGTCAACATAAACAATTAGAATGACAAAATGGGTTTTATTTCAATATATTCCTCTTGCCTATGAGGGAAGCTTCCAATCTTAAAATGTCTGCCCTTGTTGCCCCCGAGATCAAAACAGTGTAAAGAATGTCTGCAGAGGCTAGTAGCATGTGAATCAATAACTTTTGCTTTGCCTGACTATTATATGGGTATCTTGATGTGCTCACACTTGCTCGGCATTTCCAAATGAGTTGAGTTCTAATTGTAATTGATTTGCCATTTCTTTAAGCCTTGCTAAGGGCACCATTCCCTGGTTTTGCAGGATGTATGTGTGCCTCTATCGCACCTTGCAGATTTAATTTCAAGGTCTAAAAAGGAACTGGATGCTTCTTCACTGGTTTGGTATGTCTGATCAGGGTGATTTTTTGTTCTGGCTATTGAACTTGGATTAAATTTTAAGATCCATGTTGTTGGATGATGATGAATGAACAAATGAACTAGTGCTCATAATGCACGTTCCGTTTGTTGCTGTCTTATTGCCAGCACTGTAATTGCCCATGCCGGTGATGGTAATTTCCACACCGTTATTCTGTTTGACCCTACCCAAGAAGAGCAACGGCAGGAGGCAGAGAGACTGAACCAATTTATGGTTCATGCTGCCTTGTCATTGGAAGGTACAGTTCATCTTGAGTTACGCGCTTGATGGAATAAAATTATTGAAATATGCTGCTAGTGTGATGCTTCTGGTTCTCTGGAGCAATCAGTGGTTTGATGTATCTCTATGCTTTTTGGTTCATATGTCACTATGCTTAGAAATCTTAAGTTTACAGTAGGGCGAAGGGGAAACAATATTCAAGAAGTCATTAGCTAGGAACATCTAGTAGTTTGAATTGAGGAAAAGTGCATGAATGCCCATGAAATTATTTTTTGGTGCATCTATGACCAAATCATTAAATTTCATTTCCACAACATAATGGTCAACATTGTTGACCTTTGACGGTTTGTTCATAGATGCACCAAAAAAATAACTTTATGGGCACTCATGCACTTTTTCTCACTTTAGGCTACTGGATGCTATTAGCCAACAACTTCTTGGGTATTTTTCCCTTTGCCTTTTACGATATGTTGCTTTCTCTCATCCTTTGTTGATAAATTATCCTAAAAATTGTTTTCTTGCAACTTTCAATCAGGAACTTGTACTGGTGAACATGGAGTTGGCACCGGGAAAATGAAGGTGCTTCATTAATATTTTTTAGTTTTTAATTTCCAGATGATCAGTTACTCGTGCAATTTTTAATGATGCATTGGCAAGTTAAAGTTTTAAACCCCGGATATATTACGATGTATATTGCTTAAAGTTTAGATCTAGGAACCTGCTTTCCTGCATTAATTGTGACATGTCTAGCAGCAGCATTAAAAGTACCTAAATGAGAAGGTGTATTTAGATTTTAGAACACCATACAATCTTAGAACACCATACAATCATACGCATGAAGAAGACATGGGAATTTTAAATTGCTAATTATTCTTTTTCTTCTAGAAAATTTGCCTTGTGGAGGTTGGCAACAGATCATAATTGAATGCTTCTTGCTTCTATTTTTCAGAATTTAAATAGTACTTTGTGGTCAAGTTTGTATGATGCCTTTACTTTTTAGATATAAAATTTTTACCCTTTTGGTAATCAAATCCTCATCCTGATTGCTTTGTCAAGTACCTGGAAGAAGAACTAGGAGTGGAAGCATTGAGGACAATGAAGAAAATAAAAACAGTCTTGGATCCCAACAATATTATGAATCCTGGAAAGCTGATTCCTCCCCATGTTTGTTTGTAATTGCCCATGAAATGCGAGAACCGTGAAGCATGTTGCTGGTGGTTGTCATTGCAGTGTCTAACCTTGTTCGGAATCTGCTTTGTGTTATCTGAAGATAGTCACACTGTACCACACAAATTCAGTGCATAGAAATGACTCGGGCCAGTTCAGATTTTCTGGCCTCTTCCTGCCTATGAAGTTTGAACCTACATAAGGCGGCTTTCTTTTTGTTGTCTGTATAATATACTGATATATTCACCCCTTGATTATCCAGGCTAGCCTCTTCTCAACTTGAGGTTACTGTTGATTGGATGTAGTGTAAAGATTATATATGTTCACAAGTTCATTTTTCACTTCAGCAAAATTGGTGATGTTTGGAATGCGGAAATTTTGATTTTCCTAACATCTAAGAAAATGAGATGTACATAATGTCATATATACTCTTTCCTGTCCTTTTTGTAAGGCCTTGTTAACTACTTTTCTGAGATTAAGAAAATTAGTTAAAATTAGACGTCATAAATTTTTGAAAGGTGGTGAGATGAGGCATTTTTCTAAGTAATTAGCTAATTGGGGACCAGGTATCAGAGATACCGTTCCTCAGTGATGACAAAGAGAGTGACCTCCATTGGTCATTGGGATGTGCTGCTGTTAGGATATACTCAAATTGAACCATGTTCAGCGATGTTCACTTGATCATTGGTCCTTTTCTTCTTTCCTTCACTAATCCTGACAACATTCTTTTTCTGTTCTCTTTTACTAACTACTATATAGGAGATAAGTGTGCAACAGAAGTGATTCAAATATGGTCGGGGAAACAAAAGGAGAGTAACAGACAAAACAGGGGGGTCTAGCATGATTGAGCTCGGTGGTATGATTTAGCAGAAGATGGGAAGAATGAAATAGGTCTTATTTTTTACGGATCTTAAGTGAGAGTCACTATCTTATTCATATTTCTCTCTGGCTTTATCGTTTTAAAATATATGAGAATCCAATTTCATAAATTTGTAATTAAAAAAAGTATAATGAGTTGGCCAATGGAACAACTGACCCATGACATGGGGAAAGGGCATTAGGACTTTGTCTGTCTCGTTCCGGCTTCCTCACTTGCTTTAAGGTGTAAAAGCGACCCCATTCCCAACATAAGAGATAAGACCATGAGTTAGGTTCTAATCTATGATCCACATATTTCTCCACCAACTCCTGTCTCAATTTCATTAAAAACGTTGGCTCATCTCTTCAATTCTGCTTTTGCTGGCTCCGACCCAACTTCATGCGTATTTCCTTCTTGTCTTAAATATGATGATGACTTTCAACTACATCGTCGTTAAATTATTGAAATAATTTTTAAAATTAAATTTCTAAATTTATCCTTATTTAAAATCATGAATTTTTTAAAAAGTAAATTTTAACAAGGGTATTTTAAAAAATAATATTTTTCCTTTTTTATCATATTTATAAGTAACTTCCTTAAATTTTCATCACAAATTCTCTCATTTGCTCTCTATGAAATGTTAGAGAGAGAAAATATATTATTAAAATATATATATTTAATAGGGATGAGGCTAAAAAATTATTAAATTTTTAAATAGAATTAATATAAGTTTTAAGATTTTTTTAAGTTTCAATAAAATATGATAAAAGTAACTTTTAAGTAAGATAAGAAGAGTAGCATCATTTATTTGTTCTCAACCGTGGCTGATGTATAATATGTAAAAATAACGGAAGTACATTTTTTACACTCACAAAATCCACCCCCACCACCAAAAAAAAAAAAAAAGCCTTTTCCATCGCCTAGCTGTGTTACTCTTTTATAGTTATTTTCATTAAAGCCAAATTTAGGTCATCTTGGATCCTGTTTTTGGGTCAAAGTGAATTATTCAAAAAACATATTTAGAAATTTTCTTAATTTAAATTTAATATTGTTCGTGCTTGTGTATTTAGACATAGTTGAATAATATTAAATAATTATAATATACTCAAGTAATAACATATTCAAAAAACATACTCCCTCCATTCAAAAAAATAAAGTATTTTTTGAGAGGTTAGATGTTCAAAAATGTAAGACAATTTTAGTATTTTAAGGTGTAATCATTACCTATTTTTAAAAGTATTCCCATTGAATAAATTACTTTATATTTATTTTAGAATAAAACACCTTTTTAAATAGGAGTAAATATAAAAAGATATGATTAGTTTAAAAATAAGTAACTACTTTATTAAAGGTAAGATTCAATTAAAAATATCTTATATTTTAAAAAAAGAGGAAGTATTTAACATTTTAAGATATTAGTTAAACTTTACTTACTAGTTTGAATGAAAATAAATATATGCAAATTTTTAGCATAATATCAAGTTATTGAAATGAAATTTTTTTAAAAAAATCAACTAAAAATACAAATAATTATAATAGATAATATTACCATCTAAATTATGTTTAGGAAAAATCTTATATGTTTAGTCTTATGTATTTAAGGTACTTTTTTCTAACTAAATCAAACATGTGTATCTTTTATATATTATTTATTCTACAATAAATTCTTCTTGATATTATTAACATATTAAAGTCCACATGTTTTGATTTGATTATACAAAAAGTATTTTATGTATATAAAGCGAAATATATGAATCTTGCCTATATGTTTAGGTAAAATTGTGCTATGTGTTTATGTTATGAGTTTATCTATGGCTTTCAAGTTTACTTTCAATTAACAATAACTCTTAAGTAAAGTTATTGACTTATTTTTACAGTGCATTTTATTTTTAAATTATTATTTTTATTTTTTAAAGGGAAAATAGCAATGAAGGACTGTTGAAGGAAATTTATATCAATTAATAACTAATTATTATTAAAATTTGAATGAAAAAGATCTAAATGAACTGTTGTTAATTTAAAATAAATTATTGTTAAAACTGAATAAATACATGCTAAAAAAAGACTAATCTAAATTGATAAGTATCTATTTAAATTTTAACAGTAAATAATTCTTAATTAATATAAATTTCCTTCAACGGTCATTGATTGATATTTTTCCTTTTTAAAATGATAATTTTATAAGAAAATTATGCACACTATTATCTATTTTTTTTGTATTTATGTCCCAAGATAGTATCAAACAAATAATCATGTAGCATCACATAGATTTATTTCATATATTCTAAAAATTAAATGCAGAATTTTTTAATATCCCATTCATGATCTTCTTCTCATCTTCCTCCTCCTTTCTAGTAATTGAATAGGAAACTTTTAAACGAACATCAAGCTCCAAAATTTAATGAATTTGAATTGAAAAGTTAGATTAGTTGAAATACAACCAAATTAATGTTTTAAAATATTAAATATTACATTAAACAAAAATAAAAAATTAGGACAGTGATATTTAATTACTATTGATTATCATTCTTTTGAAGGTAATTATTTTAAAAGTATGACCTTATGTGAGAATTGTCAAAGTTGCTATCGAAAGTAAAGTCAATGTCAATTATAAACTTTCATAGGTAACTTTTATATTGTCATTGAAACCTAAATTTATTAGTGATGATGTAAAAAAGTCATACTTTCAACGGACTATATAGGGTAGGTGTTGAAAGTTGCCATTGAAAGTTTTTTTTTTTTTTTTGTAGTAATACTTGGTATTAAAATTTTACATTACATGAAACTTGCCACTTACACACAAAATAACTTAAATTATTTTAGAAGGATTCACCATATACATTTATATAACCGTGATTAATTTTCTAATGACTTAATTAGACTATCAACATCTAATATTTCCCCTACTTTTTTTTTCATTTCTTTTCATTTCTTTTTAATATCAGTTAATTTTTTGTCTTTTTTAAGTCTCGGCTCTTTTTTTTACCTATTAAAGTTTTATATTAATCATAAACCAAAACTTGTCACTTACATCAAAATAACTTAAATTAGTTTGGAAAGACTTGTCACATATTTTATAGATGTGATTAATTATCTAATCACTCAATGTAATGTGATATTACAACTCCATTTTTTTTATGGTCATAGAAATGTTAGTGTAATGAACAAATCAACAAACGCTCACAATATATGCAACAAGATAGACACGGAAGATTTAAAAATGGGCATGAAAGATTTGATTTGATAGCTTCTTCTCAAATCCGTTCAGATCATTACACTACTAGAAAAATATAATTTAGCGAGGGATCATCTATTCCTCTCTAAAATACTAAGTTAGCGAGAAAATTAACGAAGGATGTTGATTTCGTAACTTGACTTAAAATTAGGGAGACAATTAGTAAGGGACTGTCAATCCCTCTCTAAAATAAGAGAATTAGCGAGAAAAATAGTGAGGGACTGTCAATCCCTCTCTGAAATAAGATAATCAATGAGGGATTTAGCGAGGGATTCTATCTCTAGCTAATTACTACAAAAAAAAATTATCTTTTGACAATGAATTTTAATTATACATTTAATTGTTTCCATTTAAAAATAATAATTAAATTTAAAAATTAACTAAAATATTCATAATAAAATTATTTAATATTTTCTTTATTTTAAGTTGATTTTCATTAATAAAATAATATTTTATTAAAAATATAATATAAAGAATAATTTAAATAAAATATAAATATTTTTAACATATTAATAATTGAAAATAAAATTTAATATGTATATGTGTGTATTTTTATAATATATTATTTGATATATTTATGTAGTTAAATATAATATATATATTAAATTTATCATATAATGCTTATAGGTGCCTTTCAGTTCAACTAACAAAGAAGGAGAGTATAAAGCTTGGAAGGTATGAGGTCAAGGGTTCAAACCTTAGCTTTTAGTATAAACATGATGAATATATGATTTGGTAAGGAGCAAGTGACATGACGTAAGGTGAACAATGACGTGTCATGAGTTGTCGCACATGTAGTAAGTGATAGGGCACGAGATGATAGGTGACATAATGGTTGACAAAGCATGAGATTGTTGATGACATGTCACAAGTTGACATCACACATGTCGGGTGATGTGGCATAATTATTTTTAAATATAAATATATTTAGTGAGGGATTCAGTCCCTAGCTAATTTTAGCGAGGGATTGAATCCCCTGTTAAATTCCTTACTAATTAGCGAGGAAAATATAATTCCTCGCTAAATTTAACGAGCTTTTTTTTAATTACGAATTTAGCAAGGGATAAAATTCGTAGCTAAAATGCAATTTAGCTACGAAAAATGACATTTAACGCGCTAAATTCAATTTTTCTAGTAGTGTTACAACTGCTTTTAAATTAATCACTTGTTTAAGGCTTATGCCTTAAGCAACAAAATGCATTTGTCTTCTATTCATATATTAGTCTAGTTTTATTTATAAAGTACTTTCAACATGTTTTATTATAATTAAAAAAAACTTTAAGACTCAATAATTATGTCTAAAAATTTAATAATTTTTTAATTTTATTCTTATTAAATATGTATAATTTAAAAATATATTTTATTTTTCCAACAATTAATAGAGGTCAATAAAATTTACAATAAAAATTTAACGAGGTGATTTATAAATAAAAAAAAAATCTTCTTTTCTTATTTTATAAATAGGATTAGGGGTGTAAACTGTAAAGCCATGCACGATTCTCCACTACGCTTTTAAGTTTTGTCATCGCATGCTCGTTAACATATGATTAGGATTATGATTAGCCTCGTCAAAAGAAGCAACAAAACGACTGTAGTTAATTGCTGTCTGATCTCAGATTTAAAACCTAGATTAACGAGATTAATTTATTCATACGGATGCCTGACAGCACTGCAATTAAATGTAATCCACGTGTATATATCACAGTCATACTAATTTTCATATAGCATCAATTCCTTTCCATTATTAAATATAAGAGATTATTTGGTACTCTTTTTATCTCAAAAGATACTTTAGATAAAATTTTATGTATTAATAAAAAATCACCAAATACACTTTATAATTTTATTTTTTAAAAAAATATAAATTTTTAAAAATAATTTTTATTTAACACTCTATTGATAATATATGAAAAGAATAATATTAAAAAAATATCATTAATAAAATTTTATTTTTATTAAAGTGTCTTAGATTTTGAAATGCTGAATTTTTTTTTAAATATTTTATAATTTGGGATAGAGGAAGTATATGTTAACATGGCTCAAAAATTATATCAACTTTGTTCCTTTTAATTATTATTTGTCTGTTTAATGCTGAAAAAATGTTGGTTAATTTTATTTTAGAAATATGCTACTGTACTATATAGTATACACATACGAGCTTTGTTTTGCTACCATATTATATGCTCCTTTTCGAACTCATCTAATGCCATATGGCGTGAGATTAGTGGCCTAACACCGTAACACGTAAGCCATTACCTAATTAACACGTAATCATATTGCTTATAATCAAAATGAAAATGCTCGGCCACTAGCCAAACGTGGCTTTATTCGTGGTACCACCACTATTATTAGTAGGACCAAGACCAAGACCAACACACGACGTTTCTTCCAAAAAAAAAAAAAAAGGACATAAATATGCATTCACACCCAAGAACCAAGATACTTCTTGGACTGGAACTAGATTAGCTTCTTCCTTGTTTGTTTATTTATGCTGACTAAATATTTTAATGTTCGTATCGACGCTATTTTGGAGCATTATTATCCTGATGGCCTGGTTTCTTCCCTCGAAACCATCGAGCAGTTTTTCAAACGCCATCTTAAAGAACCCCAAAAAACAAAAAACATGGGTGAGTCTCATGATTCCTTCAAAAAATATATATCTTTGTCTGGTTCTACATATTTAAATGATGAGTCAAATTCGCTGGAGTTGCATGTGGTCAACCGTGCGACACTAATTCTAAGAATTCTGATCGATATGATTTTTTTTTTTTGACCAACCGACATGATTATGATATAAGAAATTCCCCATTAATAGAGTCCAAGTTTACTAGTGACCCTCGTTCAGTCAAGTTCATACAGTGTGAAAATAGAAAATACGAAGCATGCAGCAAACAAAAATCGATATAGTTGAAAAGGATATGATTTATGCCTCACGATAATGTAGATTTGAAGAACCTTTTTATGGGTAACTTATAAATACCTATGTGTAGCTATTTTTTAAATTGTGAAATTTACTTTGACTCTAATAAATTTCCAAGATCCAATGAACATATACGACTTTTTGTTTGTCTGAAATAGACAAAGAAAGGGGAAACAATATAAAGTATCGTCATGTTCAATTTTCATATTCCCATGGTTAGATAAAGGATTCACTTCTAAGTGATATATATACTCGAATATAACTCTTATGTGAACAAAAGATTTAATTTACGTTATTTGGTATATGGACCTTTTCTTTTTAAAAATCGATCAGACCAATATATTTGTTCATGCATTTTTCCACTTGTTAATTTATACTTCTTTAAAATTTACATATCGTGTTTATTGGCTAAATGCAGAAAATTCAAATTTAGACGACTGACTGTATTTAGAAAAAAATAAAGTGAAAGAAGGGCAAGTAAAACGAAGTGACTTGTTAAGGAGGTGACTTCCACACATACATACGTATACACATATTTTGACTGACTTTTTGTTACCATCGCATCGTCTCTTAAATTTGCATATATGACACATTATTGGAGATGATCACAATCACGTCCAATAAATTAATTTATTAACTAAATATGCATAGAATCCAAATCAAGATTATGTTATACAGGCATGTAAGTACCACACCGATATCTCATCCTAGATTATAATTAATGAAATACGCTTAAAATTAAAGGCATAACCATATTTTATAAAATTTTATTACTTACGTGAGTTGATGTAAAAAATGTTATATTTCAAGTGAACTTTTCAAAATCCAAGACCATATCACATTTATAAATAAAAATTCCACGAGCATATATATTTTACATACAGGATCTTTATAAAATGACAGCGTATAAGAAAAAAGAGAAACCCAAACCAATTCTCCAAAATAACAAAAACTGCATCACGTATGATCAAGAGCCACCCATTCCCAAAGCTCATCCCATCTGCGAAGTTGATATTCAAAGAACAAAATTAATAAACCAACCAACAGAAAATTACGAATTATAAAAAGGACAAACCAATGGCTCCGCATGCATGTGCCCCTGCCACTATATCGTGAAATTACACAACCACCCTCCTCAGCTCATTCCCTCTATATATACCAATCTATGTATGAATCCTCTCTCAAGGTAATCGAATTTACCAATCAACTAGAACTATAACCCATTAGAGTTTAGACCTATGGGTTCTCTTCCCCATATAGTCGAGGACTGCATGGGCTTCCTCCAACTCTACAGCGATGGCTCCATTTTCCGCAGCAATGACATCAAATTCAAGGATTCTATCGTTGAAGATCACTCCGTCCTCTTTAAGGACTCTCTTTTTCACCAAAGTTTCAATCTTTATCTTCGAATTTACAAGCCCCAACCATCCTCTGATTCTGATCTCACCAAAATGCCTCTGGTAATGTTCTTCCACGGCGGAGGCTTCTGCTTTGGCTCGCGTGTTTGGCCCCACGTTCATAACTGCTGCGTCCGCCTCGCTTCTGGACTCCGGGCGGTGGTGGTGGCGCCCGACTACCGGCTGGCTCCGGAGCACCGGCTCCCGGCGGCGTTGGACGACGCTGTGGAGGCACTGAGGTGGGTTCAGAGGGTGGCGTCCACGGGGGAGGATGCATGGCTGAATGGTGACGACATTGGATTTGACCGCGTGTTTATTGTGGGAGACTCGTCCGGGGGTAATATTGCGCATCATTTGGCGGTTCGGTTTGGATCCGAATCAAGATATTTGGATCCGATTCGCGTACGAGGTTATGTACTGTTGGCGCCATTTTTCGGTGGGGAGGTTCGCACCCACTCAGAGGACGGTCCCTGGGAAGAGGTTTTGAGCCTAGAAATTCTCGACAGGTATTTTTTTTGTCGTTTTTTTTTCCTTTGTCCTGGACAGGTAATAATGAATTTTTTTTTTGGCCAACAGGTAATAGTTACTATTAATTGTTGCGTAATTATACAGACTTCCCCCACATTTTCCTCTCCCACTATCTTATCCTCTACTCTGTGATAATTTGCGTGTTAGTAAGTGTTCCACTGCATTAGTCTAAAGTCCAGTTGTGTTCTTTGTCTTGTTCTTTTTGTTGGAGGGGAGACGTGCATATGTAGGGTGAGACAGGTCAATATTCTTTACATTTTCATTCTTTTTTTTTTTTTGCATTTTATATATGCAGTTAATTAGTGACTCTAAACAATTTTAACGACACGTTAAGTAAAGTTACAACTTAATCTGGGATTTAAATATTCTAAAGTTGGGATTAATGCATTTCTGTAAAAAAAAATTTCTGGTACCTTTATTTATCTTATTATTTTTAAAAATAAAAAAGCTCCCTACCTTTCTTAAAACGGAAAATTTTACAGAAATTTACCAATCCCAATTTTAAAAGATTTAAATCCCTCAATTTGTGTATGCTTGTGGTGAGATCATATGCATATATATATATATATTAGTGAATTACTTGAAATATAAAAACTCTAGACCCAGGCAAAAATAATATAAAAACATTAGAGAATAAACAGTGAATACAGTTCACATCCATATTAAAAGTAAAGCTTGAAAATTACTATCCTTGCTATCATTTAGGATGAAATAACGATATAATTACAAATTACAATGCTAAAACTTCACACGTTTTAGCGCATAAAAATCATTATTTCATAAAATATAGTATTAATAAAACATTTTCATGCGGGTCATTTTCATGCATTTTTTTTTCTGGGGGCCAGCTGATAAAAAACATACATATTTAATAAATCACTATTAAAATACAGGCGTAGCCTTTTTTGTGCCCTAAAAAACATAGTAAACATGGACCACATCATAATATATAGGAGAAGGAAGAATAAATTCAAAATAAAATGATTGGAAGGAGTGGGATACGAAGGTGAGGGAAAGGGACACGAAGGGCGGTGGGGGGTGGAGGGTAGTGGATGGGTGTGCTGTGAAAATAATGCAAATGGGAGCGTGCGTGACCTCCCTCTCATGAAAATCACTATGTGTCACTCTTCACTTCGCTTGTTTGTTTCCTCCATATGTTTACACACTTGAATATGACAACCACGTACTATTTTCCTTTCCTTCAGAGAGATCCATTCACTCTTAGCTCTTCTCTCTCCCACAAGCTAACCTCGTAAAAAACGTGAACCACCACATTCTCTGATTAATATTAAATTTCATGAAAGGTAATTTTTGAAATAACCACGTCGTCAAAGCATGTTGTATGTTGATGTTGACCCTCAACACTATCCTAATTTTTTTTGTTTTTTTATCTCACTTGGACCCGGCTCTTTTAGCTAATTAGATTTTTAAATCTATGCACATCCTCTGCCATGCGGAGAATAACACTTGTCAGTTCCATGTTGGACCTCTTCATTATATTATGTCACCCTCGTGGCGCCACCACAACTTCCACGTCAAAACACCTCGACCAATTAATTATGGAGATGGGTAAACGTATTTATCATTAGCTTTTTTGCTGGTTGTTTTTAAAAGGAATTTTGCTTTTGGGATTCCTATTCCTTTTCCACATCAATTATATTGCTTTCGCAATTATTTTATTTCCCAATTTTATGGGTCAGATCCTCCACATAGCAAGTGGCATCATATTCCTGCCATACATTTTGCACATGCTACTTTAGTTCTGTGTAAGAATATGAACTAGCTAGATTACGGACCTCTTAATATAACTATATGATTTAATATATCATATTCTAAGCAAAATGATAGTGCCACTTCACTTAAACCTAACTAATATAGACTATGTGGCAGATAAACATTTGAATTCATACAAGATTCTAATTTCAAGTTGCGTCACTTCCTCACCGTATGAAAAAGAAAAAGCCGGTGCACCCTCCCGCACATGCAAAACACCAAGGATGATTGAATCATCCAATATCGACCCACTAATTCAAATTTCACTTTCTTAATTATTTCAACAAACAAAATAATTAATTCGCATACTTTTCTCAAGTGAGGGTACGCCTAATCCAACATAAACGATGTTCTTTTCTTTTAAAGTTGAAACCTTTTTTTCCCTTTCTTTTCACAACGAAATCCCACTAGCTAGCTAGTGCATGAATAAATATGGTCCAACAAGGTTGTTGCTGATAATATTGTTGATATTGAAACAGATTTTGGAGGCTTTCCCTGCCTGTTGGAAAAAACAGAGACCATCCATTGGCCAACCCATTCGGACCAGAGAGTCCAGATCTGGGACAAGTGCAGCTCGGCCCTATTCTGGTGATCGTAGGAGGAAGAGAATTGCTGAAGGATAGGGCAAAAGATTATGCAGCAAAGCTAAAAGAACTAGGCAAGAATATTGACTACTTTGAGTTTGAGGGAAGACAACATGGCTTTTTCTCGCATGATTCCTACTCACAAGTTGCAGAAGAGGTCGTGCAAATCATTCAAGGATTCATGCTTCAAAATTCTGCTTGAAAAATCTTCTCTCTTTCATATATGTATGATTGTATTGCTCATAATTTTAACGTTAAAACAAGAGTCGATCTTTAGGATTTTAATAAGATTGGTATATAGTAGTTTGTGAATAAGATTAATGGAGTGATGCTCATAGCTTGTTTGTGGGTGTCACTGTGTGTGTGTTGTGCCGCAGGAGGAAATGGGGTTGCCATTATTGGTGTCAATATAAATAATATTTTATTTGTAGTAACGAGTGGGACGTAGAAAGATAGACAAGACAGGGATCGAAGAGCGAGGTTATTGAGTTGGGTCCAATCAAATGTCATTTTTTTCCTCTGGTTCTACTCCCCGTGTACACACAAAGAACATGGTAATATTTTTTAATAATAAAATAATTCTATTCTTGTCTTGTTAAAAAAAGAAGAGAAATTAAGTGTGTGTAGTACTTATTATCATCATAATATTAATTAATATGATTGGAGGTAAAATTAAAAAATTATTATAATTTTAATTAAATGATAAACTTTTATTAATTAGTAAAATTTGATTAAAAATACAATATATAAGAATGGAGGTAATATTTATAAATCACTTTCAACACATTTAAACACTAAAATGAAAAAAAAAATTAAACTTTATTAATTATATTTAATAAGTTTCTACATCTATATATCTCTTAATAAAGACAAAATAAACTATTTTTAATATTTTTTAACATATATTAAAGACAAAAATGTAAAGATGAATATAAAAAATAGTGATGTGTTATGTAAATATAGCTAAAATTAATATTCTCTCTCTACCATATAAATAAAATTGGAGGAATATGATATGTAAATTATTCATCTTCAAAATCCTGTGCATTGAATGTGGTAATGTTACTAAACTAATATGATTTTGTGATAATTATTGTCATCAATTATCTTCTACCATAGGCTTACGCTTGTCAGCTATTGTGAAATCAGTCGTTTTTTTCACCGGGAAAAAAAAAATTAACTACCTTTGTAAGGATTGGTTTATATTATAAATATTATCGATCAAGTTTTCTTATTATGAAATATATAACAAGCTTAGTGAACGAAATTAATGTATACTTTGATCGAAAACATAAACTTTAATCTTGTATTTGTCTGGAGTGATTGACAATAAATTTCCATCTGATTGGATTAAAATACTCAATGCACTCCACAGCGGTGAGAAGTGTTTATTTTTCCTTTTGACAAAAAACTATACAATCTCCAACAAACTATGTTATCGTAAACAATATAATTTATTTATTAAACTTTGTGTAACACATATGACAAATTTCTAGTTTTTTTGGCGAAAAGATGATCGATATCTAGTTATAATATAATTAATATCAACAAAAATTAGTCTAATTATTAAGAATATGACTCATATCTTATAAAAATGCAGATTTAATAAGTTCGTCAACATGATTCATTAATAATTTAACAAATATCTTTTTATAAGAACTCTTTTATTGTGTTTGGCTTGCAAGAAAAACTAGGAAGGAGAGAAAATAAAGAAAAGAGAAATACAATTTTATCCCATTGTACTTAGCTAAACAAGAAAAAAATAGGGACGGGAAAAAATTATTAATTTTATATAGACAATATTAATATTATTATTTATAAAAATATTTATATATAATAAAATTTAACATAATATTATATATATATAATAATTTCTATCATATTATTGATTGAATAAAAACATAATTATAAATTATTTTATCTAATACTAATAAAAAATTATTTTATTCAATTTATAATTTTATTTATTAAATTACTAAATATGTAATAATATTAAATTTTTGAAACTACAATTAAATATAAGAAACTTAACTAAAAATTTAAAATTAGCATTTTCCTAATTAATCTAAAAATTAAATTTATTTTTTGTTTAACAAAAAATCCATAATCAAAATATAATTACATTACAAATATGAAATTTTGACAATTAATAGGTAAATTTGAGAATAAAAATTTCTCTTTATATTCAAAGAGAAAAATTGGAGGTTAAAATATATAAATCTTATTTATTATTTTTTTTCTTTTTTCTTTTTTTCTATACCCAAGCAATAGAAAAGGATATTTCCTCTCACTTTCCTCTCCCCCTCACTATTTCTCTCCTGTATTAATCATGAAACTTGGTTTTAACTCATGTGAGGTATGAATGCAGGAGAGAACCCTTTCTAGTCTCTTCTGCCCTGACAATATGAGCATGGGACCCACATCTTCTCGCATTGTGATTTGTGAGGATGGGAGGGGCCAAAATGGAATGTCACTGGGAGGGAATGCCGGCCTCGAATCAACCACAACCCACCTATTAAAAAATATATAATTGCTCCAATATACCAAAAAAAGACAAACAACACACGGACACAGTAACCTATGCCCATAATATTGATGTCTTATTTTCAGGGGAAAAGAGAGAGAGGGAGGGAGGGAGGGAGGGAGAGATCATGTCTCGCATCAAAATCTTTTTATGACGATTTGGTGGGTCCGCATCCCCGATCTCCTTCGCATAATCGAACCTAGCCGAGCTAACTACCAAAAAATTTAGATCAATTTAAGTATTTTACAAAAAAAAAATATAAATAAATAATAAAATAAATAAAATACTCTCCTTTTTTTTTTAATGGAAAATGCTTCAATATAATCAAAAGATTAATATTCAGAATAGATTAATCTGGTCATTTCTCATCTCTTTCTACTCTTGCCTTATAAAAGATGGAGGATGGTTAAAAAAATCACTTTCAAAAGATGGGGTGCTCGCATGCTTGGCTAAAACATGTGCGTTTCTAATGAAGTCGTCATGGATAAAATTAAGATTAACAATTCAATCTCCACCAAAAATTCATCTAACTTCCTGAGTAATGTCTTAAAAAGGATGGCTTGTTTGTGAGTCCCTCGAGATCAGGTTGATGGCGTTCAGAGATAGCATATTAGCATTGACCTTCCTGATTCCCTCCATTTTTTTTTTTTAACATGAATTGCTCTTCACTTTCCAAACCATAAAGGGTTGGTGCTTGAAAAGATGGTAAGCAACTTTTGGGGAAAACATCCTTGGTTTCTGGGCCCAAGCTTCTCATCGTTTTCACTATACTCGAACAGTCGAGCCATGATGAAATGAAGGCATTGGCGTGCGTACTTGACACAGTGCGGAGCAAAACATACATATGATGGCCCCATAAAAGCCTTGGATTTTTATCCAAAAATAATATTCGAAAATGTAACAGGCTAAATTTATACGGAGTAGAAAAAAAAAAGTTCACTAGATTGCCCAGGATTCTGGCATTGAAAAAGATTCGATATTGTTGGGGCCAGCCAGTCTGTGAGGGTGCTGGGAAGTAAATAAACTGTTTTGAAAATCGAATGTGTCAAAGATGCAGAGTTTTAGATATAACAAGAGGGATTCTGAGCTCCCTTATCTTGTTTACCCAAATGTAAAAATACAAAAAGATTGAAATAAAAGGTTTTTTAATTAATTAGGAAAATAATGCAAGAGTTGTACTGATTACAACTAGAGAATTGGAAATAATCTAGATCTAAACTGGGAATACAAGAAAAATAATACAAGGAAAGCTAATTATTTGGTCGGTGTACTTTCTTTCTGGTCATTAATTTGAAGTCCTTTATAAGCGTTTGGCTAAAGTCATTATGCCTAAAAGATCCGGAACCCGTGCACAGAATATTAGTTACCATTCACATGAGACCACACGTGCTCTCATGAGATTCATGACATGTTATATAACAATATCTTATCCACTCAATGGTCCTTAACTTCTTGAGGGGTAGAGAGAAACGGAGGACCAATAGAAGCCACAGCCTCTTTAACCTTTTAAATTTTTAATAAAATATAAGGATTATATATTTTTTACTCCTCTAAATTGGCACATTAAAAATTATAAAATACTAGATTAAATTTTCATTCTAATTTTATATGTAGTCCCTTAAATATGTATAGAGCAACTATTTTAGTAATTTAAAGATATGATTATTGTAAAATTTACTTATTTTCAACAAGATAATGCTATATGTGCTATTTAAGTATTGATATCATTTTATTTTGCTTTCATTTTATATTTAATGAAAAAATTGTGAGAATTATCATTAACAAACCTTGTTAAATATTGTAACAAAAATTTTAAAATATATTGAATGCCATGTGCTTGATATCTATTATAAAATTACTTATCCAAAAGTTAAGAGATTTAGTAAAAATGTTCTTCTAAAAAAATAATCAGGGTATTAAAATTTATGATGTGAATGGTTTTTATTCCAATACAATTTGATCTCATTGACATAAATATTTTATGACAATTGAGTATTATTAATATATTGATATATTTGTTTACTATAATTATCAATTAAAAAAAATTAAATAATAAATTTAATAAATAAGTAATATAGCTTATTATATTAAATAGAATTTTAGATTCTAATAATATATTTAAATCATTTAATGCTCATAGAGATGATAAATTTTTCACCAATTAATGATAATTCATATTAAGAAGAAAATTGTTAAAACATTTATTGTAGGCATAATTACTAATGATTTTTATATCATAAAAAATCGATGAGCAAAACTTAATATGTGGGTGTGTATTGTTATATGTGTGTGAAATTAAATATAAATATATGTTGAAATATTTATATTATGTCAGTGATATATATATATATATATATATAGCTTCTTTTTAATTACCATATACATTTCATCATCTTGGTCCTTCTTAATAAAAATTCCTGGCTTTGCCCTTGCGTTAAGTTATTTTGAATCTTATGGGTCACATTGAGTATGTGTGCGGCATGAATCTTTTTATGAAAATGAACCCAGCGTTGTCTTCATTTAAATATTGAGCTTGTCATTTTGTTTAGCTTTTTCTTTATTATTTTGGACTAGCATTTCATTTTAAGCCCAAACATAAATATTAATATGGTCCAACAACATTTCACTGAATTTGGTGTTGCCTACCATTCAAGACAGCAAAGAATCTCTGGTAAAATCATTTCATGGACCCTCAAAACCATAATCACATAAGCAAATGTTGGATTCTGTTAGAAAGCGTTGTTTAAGCAGGGGAGAAAACAACCTGAAGTGCTGTAAATGATCTGGACTGTATCATATGGTGCTGAAGACCTAGGCTAGGAATTGTCGTGTCTTCAATTGATGGACTATATGAAAAAGAGAAGTTGACATTAATATATATGATCATGCTTGCCTGATAAGTGATATATCTTAAATAGAACTTAGCATGTATGGCTACAACTGGAGAGTGCGAGACCCTTGTCTCGTGTAAAGTTCTTTAAACCAAAATGGACTCCCCCGAAAA